TGAAGTTTTCTCTGAAACTGATTATAGTTCTTCTGATGATGAATCTCATTTTATTTTTATGCTGAATACTGAATTTAACACAGATAATGTTTCAATTTTCTCTTCTACAGGTACATCCATTACCAACGAAGAAGGTATGGTAAAACTCAAGAATATTATGAGAAAAACTCATTTTATTTCTGATGATAAAATTAAAGAATTACAACTCATCAAACCAGATGAGATTTACAAGGCAAGTTGGTTTAAAAAGTTCCAACCTTGGTCTAAACGCCATATAAAAAAACTATCTGGTGATACTATCGCTACTAACACTAAACAAGGATCAGTAAAAATTTATCTTTTTACTAAAAAGAAAATAACCAATTTTCTTTCTAAATACCCAAAGGTCAAATACATCCATATCGGAATGATTTTGATCACCATTAAACCACTATTCTTATCCACAAAGGATATTCCCATAATAGCTGTTTTAATGGACCATCGTTTTCAAAACCCTGCTAATGCTGTAATCGGAGGAATCCAATCCAATTTAGCAGCAGGAGTAGTTTTATTTAAAGTTAAACCAAACTTTTTTATTTCTATTTTTGATGAAAACATTGAAAAATGTTTATGTCTTCGAATCAAAATACTCAATTCTGATTTTGATTCAACCTCGCATGATCTTTCAATCAACTGGTCAGCGGTTTATGAATTTACAAATACTACTAATACCTCTATCAAACCGATAGATTCAAATATTATTGAAATTTTTGAACCAAACTCTTTTGATTCAAAAATTAAATCTAGATTAGTAAATCTCGCAGACTTATCAATCCCAAAAAGATGGTGTCTCGAAGATCTTACTAGTACTTCTAAAAAACAGAAAGTTTCAAGTTTAGAATTTTTCTCATCCGAAAAAATCTTTACTTTAAAAATCCAATTGAAACAACCAGTTTCAATCCAAATCTGCTTTTACCCCCAGTAAATGTTTTTAAACATCAAACAGATGATGATAATGAGAGTATAACTAGTAATCAATCTTTTTGTACTCCTTATCGAAGTTTTTTTTCAAGATTTCATGGTACCAACAGTACGAAAACCCTACGAAGAGTAAATAGTATGCGCCAATCAGGTAATACAGAATCTGCTCAAATTTTTATTTTTGCCGGAGATAATCCATCTCAGCAAGGTACAATCGATAATCAAACCCATTATCATTCTGTTAACTCTGTGATTAACTCACATACTTCTTCTTCTAGAAAACCTAAACATGAAGATATAAAAATGTTTCATTCTATAAATAATTTTCGCATCTCTAATGAAATAATATCTTTTGCTAACAAAGTAAGATATTATATTTATATTGAAGGTTATTTTTATTTTCAAAAACTATAAACACTATAGTTTGAATATTTTGATTGACACAGGGGCAACAATCTCTAGCTGTCAACCTAATGCTTTGCCATCAACCAAATGGCAACCTATGAAGCATCCTATAATAATAGTCGGTATCGATGGTAAAGAAACCATTGTTAACCTAAAAGCAAAAAATATACCTATTGCTTTAAACGATATAAAATTCGTTATACCTAAAATACTATATTTTCCCAATATGTATGGAGACATGTTATTAGGAAATAATTTCATACATAAATATTTACCCTTTTCAGTTTTTTTTTATTATCTTGTTTTTATTATTGATAAAAAATCAATAGATGTTCCCTTATTATCCAAGCACAATCATGTTTGTGATAATGGTTTTCAACCAGAAATAACACATATTTCTGAACTTAAAGCTATCAATGAAAAACATTGGCTTTATAGAATTTTGCAGGAAAACTTCAGTGAAGACCCATTGAAGCTTTGGAAGCGCAGTCTAAGATACTGTGAACTTACTCTTCAATCTCTAAAAGAGATTATTTGAGTAAAACCAATGATCTATACCAAACAGGATATAGATGAATTTGAAGTTTAAATTTCAGAATTGCTCGACAAAGGTCTGATAGAACCTACTACCAGTCCACATTCCAGTCAAGCATTTTTGGTAAGAAACCATTCTGATATTAAACGAGGTAAACCCCGTATGGTTATTAATTACAAGAAATTAAACCAAAATCTTGTTTTTGATGGCTATTTTATCCCTTGAAAAGATGTTTTAATTAATTTAGCAAAAAATGCTAAATACTTTTCTAAATTTGATTGTAAGTCTAGTTTTTGGCAAATCATGCTAAATGAAACCTCTAACCTCTTACTGCTTTTAGTGCACCAGCAGGCCATTACCAATGGACTGTTATGCCTTTCGGTCTATGCAACGCCCCTCAAATATTTCAGCGTTGGATGGATAATATTTTCAGCAAACATAAACAATTTTACTGTGTATATATTGATGATATTTTGATATTTTTTAATACTTTAAATGAGCACAGAAAACACCTGAATCTCATTGCTCAAGAATTTATTTTACACGGTATTATTTTAAGTCCCAAAAAGGTTTGAACTTGAAAAAATCAAAATTGAATTTCTTGGTCTTAATCTTTCTGTCAACGGACTAACCCTGCAGGATCACATTATTTCCAAGATCAGAGACTTTCCAGAAGACCTGGATAATGTCAAACAGCTACAGCAGCTGTTAGGTATACTTAATTATGGTAGGTAATTTTTTAAAAACCTTTCCAAAAAGGAAAGCTATCTTTTGCGTAAATTACGTAAAGATAATGATTTTGTCTGGACACCTAACGATTCTGATATTGTCAAACAGATCAAATCAGATTTAACCACTATACCTAAGGTCTATCTACCTAAACAATGTGACCTATTAATTTTAGAGATAGATGCTAGTGATGAACATTGGAGATGTGTTTTAAAAGCTAAAATCTACTTAAAAAAGATGAATTGATTTGTGGATATAATTTTGATAAGTTCAAACCGAACGAAATAAATTATATTATTTTTGAAAAAGAATTATTAGCCATAAAAAATGGTGTACAACGATTTCACATCTATTTAGCCCTGGAGTTTTTTGTTATCCGAACAGATAACCAAGCAGTCAAAAACTTTCTCCAAAATAGAAAGCTTTCTGATAATCCCAGGTGAATTATGTGGTATAATTTTCTTTAATCTTATCATTTTCAGGTAGAGTTCATCAACGAAGATAAAAATCTCATTGCAGACTTCCTAAGTAGACCTCATGGATCGAAAAAAAAATCCAATCCATGATACTGGTAGACGGAGAACTGTCAAGAAGAAATCAGGTAAAAAATCCTCTTCTTCTTCTTCCTCTTCTACTCCTTCTTCTCCAAGACCCCAGATCTCTACAAATCCTAACCAAAGATTTAACTTTTACACTAATCCTAACCAAGGATTATATCTCTACCAACAACCTCTTTATCGACCCCCTTTCATGAGAATTCAACCAGAATACTCACAGTTTGCTCAAGATCCAAACGACTGGACTCCTATGAGTTACTCTCAAATAGTTTCTTCTACAGAACAACTGTTAGAAAGAACAAAAGTCTCTCACCCAGAGATAAAAAAATTTTACAGTATAAAACTTGAACCACAAGTCTATAATCTGCTAAACAAAGTTTGGAAATCCCATCTCTCAGAAAATAAAACTAGCTTTCGTAAAGGGATGATCAACTTAGCTGAATTTTTAGTCAAACAGGCTAAAGAATTTTAGACTTTTAAAGAAATAGCTTCCAAAGTCTTCTATCAATAAATCTGCTAAAATAGTAAGATATTGATTTCTTTGCTTTGGAAGAAAATCAATACAGTCTTCAAGAAATAAATAATTTCTTGAATTTATGTGAATATTTTGAGAAAGATAATTTTGTTTCTTCTAAGCTAAACAAGCTTAAAAGAATTCTTCTCTTCAAAAAAGCTGCGATGTTCTTAACCCCAGAACTATACCAGCAAATTAAATTTTCTATTTTACAATCAACAGAAAAACTGTTGGTTGAAAAGTTTTCAGATTATTATACTTCTACATATATGTATAATACATCTTTTGGTGAGTACATACCTAAACTAAAGTTTCGACTTGACCATGAAAGTTTTGATATAAAAAGTATTGAACTTGGTTTAGTTGGACAAATAACTGTACAAAATTATTCTTTTCACCTTTTAAAAGATTTTTCAGCTTTTATAAAGCACCGCTTTATCGAATGTATAAAATGGTCAAAACACCTTTTTTACGTTCATTTTACTATATACAATTTTTTGGGTACCTTTCAACGAGAAATATTTTACCAACCCTACCAAATATGAGAATTTGATACTGTATCCGGTGGACACTTTCTTCAACCTTATGCTATACTTGATCCACCCACAGATCACATCGAATTCTCTGATGATTTAAACAAAATCATCTCTAAATATACCAACCCAAACTCCTATCACTTCCAAACCGAAACTGACCTTATGGACAAAGTAAAATTCTTTTTCCATTTAGCCACCAAACAAGACTATCCAAAAATAGCCTGTTGGACTGATGGCAGACGCATTTTTGTAAAAAGATTCATTGAACCCCATGAAGATCTTGACATCGAAAATGCACCAAAAGCAATAGAGCTTTTGGATAAATTATCAAAAATGGAAGATCTGGATCATCTAACTGATCTCCTATACCAGTATCAGAAAGGATGGCAGATGTGGAACAAATCACATTCAGACTCTCCACACTCACCCCAGTCCCTTAACGCACTGGATGAAGAATTTCATAACTTAACCAATGCTATGGAAGGATAAATTGTGTAAATTCTAATCCAAAATAAGCCAGAACAAATAACCGACACAAAAGGATAAAACTCCATTCGACGCCAACGACTAACAGATCGAAAATACTGTAGCAATCAACTGTAGCAGAAAAAGACAAAGACCTACTACGAAAGATACTGTAGCAAGTCACTGTAGATAAAATTCTACTATATACTGTAACGGACAACTGTACAAAATTACTATTTATAAGTTAAATTTTTTCTATTTAAAACCTCATTGTATCTTAGCTCGAAGGAAGCCAATTCTACACACCTTCTTTCTCTCTTACACTTTCCCTCTCTACTCTTTATCCTCTAAGTTATATATAGATATAACTTTCGTAATCTTTATACATAGATCCTTCCGCACCCCCTTGTAAAGCCAAATTTTTATCAAACACCAAAGCCAGACTGTTGATTGGCAGTCCCATCAATCATCAATCTCCTTCTCTTATTGTTTTTTATTTCTTTATATATCGTTTCCTACCCTGCCCAGAAATTCAATCAAATTATCTCAAAAGAAAAGCATGAGCTGGTGGTGGGCCGGTGCCGTTGGCGCTGCTAGGGCTAGTCCTCATTTTCTCTGGCTTAATTGATTTCTGTTTATTTTCAGTATGAAATTGTTTATTTTTTGTTTTTTTTTTTAATTTTTGCAGAAGAAATTTGATGAAGATGAAGGACCGACAAGCTTCCAGAGTGTTGCGTTGATAGTCGGAGTGACCGGCATAGTCGGCAACAGTCTGGCTGAAATACTTCCATTATCCGACACCCCCGGCGGCCCATGGAAAGTTTACGGGGTGGCTCGACGGCCCAGACCCAACTGGAACGCCGATCATCCAATCGAGTACATTCAGTGCGACATATCCGATCCGAAGGACACCGAATCGAAGCTCTCCCAACTTACCGACGTGACCCACATCTTCTACGTCAGCTGGATCAACCGATCATCCGAAGCCGAGAACTGCGAAATCAACGGTTCCATGCTTCGCAACGTCTTGCGTTCCGTGATCCCGAACGCACCCAATCTTTGCCACATCTGTCTCCAAACAGGAGTGAAACATTACCTCGGACCGTTCGAGTTGTTCGGTAAAATCCAACCGCACGATCCGCCTTTTACAGAAGATTTACCACGGTTAAACGCTCCCAACTTTTACTACACTCAAGAAGACATCCTCTTTGAAGAAACCGAGAAAAAAGAAGGATTAACCTGGTCGGTGCACCGACCCGGTCCGATATTTGGGTTTTCGCCTTACAGTTTAATGAACATCGTTGGAACTCTTTGCGTTTACGCCGCCATTTGTAAACACGAAGGGAAACCGTTACTTTTTCCTGCAAGCAAAGCCGCTTGGGAATGTTACTCTGATGCTTCGGATGCGGATTTGATTGCGGAGCAACATATATGGGCGGCTGTGGATCCGTATGCGAAAAACGAAGCTTTTAATGTGACAAATGGGGATGTTTTTAAGTGGAAGCATTTGTGGAGCGCTTTGGCGGAGCAGTTTGGGATAGAAGAATTTGGTTTTGAGGAAGGGAAGAATTTGGGGTTGCAGGAGATGATGAAAGGGAAAGAAAGGGTGTGGGAAGAGATAGTGAAGGAGAACCAGTTGCAGGAGACGAGGTTGGAGGAGGTGGGAATTTGGTGGTTTGTGGATGTGATGTTAGCAGCGGAGGCGGTGCTGTCGAGTATGAATAAGAGTAAGGAGCACGGATTTCTGGGGTTTAGGAATTCTAGGAATTCCTTTGTTACTTGGATTGATAAGATGAAGGTTTACAAGATTGTGCCTTGATTCAATCTCTTGTTTCGAGTTGTTTCCAGTTTTTGGTGATGAAGATGAATTTGCTATTGCTGATGTTGTTACTCTAAAATAAGTACATAAGCCAAGCAATTAATGGCAAAAGCAAGGAACCGTTAGATTGGTGAAGCTTTTGTTGCGTTTGGCGAATGCTGTGTGTTTTTCTTTTCTCTTTTTTGGCTTCTGATGCTGTATTATTATATTTCGTACAAGCTTGAATTATACAATAGAACTTATTGATTAGACAAAGCCCTGTATATCACTTTCAGATCAAATTTGGAATTTAAGCATTTTGTTGTTACAGAATGAGAGGTAACTACGAAGCAAACGGATTACTGATCGAAACTAGTTACAGTCGTTAAAGATTTGTTTCTAGCCATATTGGACAAACTAAGTTGGTTTAACTTTGGAAATTGATCATTAACTTCGTGAAGTCTTATCATTGAATTGAAATAATACTTTTACGGATGTCAAGCACTTTGCCTGTGAGGAAAAGAGTTAGATGCCCTTTGACAGATCACCAGTATGAAAGTAGACCGTCTCGATATCCCAAGAGCAAGATAGATTGAAAAGGTTTTTAAAATTAGGTTTTAATTAATTTATTAATCAATAGATGTGACTTAATTTACATAATCGATTGTTATTAAATTAATTTGTAAAATTTTATTTATTTTTATTAATTTTTTTGAAAATTTAAAATAATTAAATTGATTAAATTTTAATCAAAATATTACAAAATTTATATATAAAACTAAAGGTATAAGAAGTTGACCATCGCATTTTAAGTTAATAAAATTTTTTATTTAATAATTTAATACTTAATTATTTTTGTTTAATAATTTTATATAATTTATTTTAAATCTAAAAAATTGAGAATTCAAAATATAATATAATATATTTATTATTTGATTAATAAAAAAATTAATTAGATTTATTAAATTAATTTTTAAATGTAAAAAAGTAAAATAACATATTTAATTAATTTAATTTAAAATTAATTAAATCGACCGAAATTAACGTCCTTAAATCCAATCCAACCCAATTAAGAGAAAACATAGAATACTGGAAAGAAAAAGCAGAACAAATAAAGGGGATTCCAAATGATTTATGTATGGTGATCATGGCTAGTGGCTGGTGGGACAGTCGTCGGCTTGGATAGGCGTAAAAATTTGTCCAAAGCCAATATCAAAGAATGGAGCAGCCCTGGCCCATCAGCCTTGACCCAAAAACATTTTTCCTTACACTTATACTAAAGGGAAATTTGTGTAATTTCAAGCTCTAAACCCTTTTCGTGCAAACTTCAGTTCCTAATCTGAATCTGTGCTCCAATTCTTGTTCTTTTCATTGAAGTTCAATTACGTAATCTTAGATACCATCCTGTTTCTTACTGTTCTGTAGGGATTGATAGCATCTGCTGCTTTTATTCAGCTCCGAAGGCAAAATGATTACAGACTTCAGCGGGTTTGGTGTTGGCCTTGGTGTTGCCCACGTTTATTTTACATTTTTTTCGATATTTTATTCAAGGAAATTTCTTGTCTTTGGGCTTTGTTCTTTTCTGTTTTTTCTGTCAAATTTGTTTTTAGGTTCTGGTGTTGGATGAGGCTTCAGAGTTGGACGGGGTTTTGAGGTTCTTTTTTTTTTAATCTTCTTGCAAAATTTAAGCTTTCAGATTAAATTCTCATGCATAAAGATTTCACTTCGGCTGAAATATACGTACCCAACACTGGAAAATGGGTTATGTGTCCCTGTAGTCATTATATTTTATCCAATGAAGTGGAAATTACTCCTACTTGTTTTTATCATTTGTGATATATGGGACATGGACATAGGCACTTTTTTGTTTGCCTTGGTGGTTGTTGTTAGTTGAAGATTAAATTTTAATTGCATATTCTTATCAGACATTTGACTCCCCCAAGGTAAGTTCTGCCTTTCCTCCTTTCCCTATCAATATCCCAAGCCCCAACACCTTCGAGTCAGCCACCCTTTCTGATTCCGTCTGTCTCATTCGCCCTTCAATCTCAGGAAACCCAGGCCAGCGGCGTTCCTTTCCTCTTTGTCTGGATCGGTATCCCAAGCTCCAACACCGACCACCCACTCACCCTTTTCAATACTGTCTTAATCTCTCACTCCCCTCGATCCCAGGAGACCCAGGCCCCATCGGTGCCCTCGATCTTTTGGAGGAAGGTAAATAACTTGGAATTGGTGTTATTTGATTTTCCTTGTTGCTTCATAAACACTGACAGTAACGCCTCGGATTTTCTTTTTCTTCGTTGACAAATGTAGGATATATTGTTAAATGAGCAAAACTAAATCTGCGGCTCACATCAAAGAAAGATGAAGTTAAAACAAAAGCAGAAACATTAGTAATAGCTATTTCCTTCATAGTTTCTACAATAATTATGATACCGTAAGTTGTGTTTTGATCTGTATAGTAGTGTTTTATTTTGTGAATTTGATTAGGAATTTTAAAAAATTTCGGATTTGTTTATTGTCTAAGGTTTTTTTAATTATTATTGTTATTATTTAACAAAAAATATTATTATTTATTTACTTTAATTAATATGAATATTTTTAAAAATTTTCAATTCGAGCTTAAGTACTAATAGATGAAGTCAAGAATGAAAATCGAACTTATTCTATATTTAATAAACAAGTTTAATTGAATCAATTTAAATAATTTTATTTTTTTGAATTAAATTTAAATTAAAAAAAAAAAATTTGATCGTGAAGTTTTTAATCTTAAATTTAAAATTAAATTCAAAATTTTCGCCATATGAATTCGTTTCGGTTTGATCACAACCGTAACCGCGGCTCTCTCACCCTTTTGTCCTTTTCATGCTCTTTGATTAATCTCTCTTCTTATAAATTGGAGAGAAAAAAAAAAGACAGAATTTATTACAACCTAAGAAATAAATGTGGCTCCAATCTCTTACCAAAAAAAAAATGTGGTTCTAATCCAAATTTTAATCGAACACCAAAGCCAGAATTTTAGTTCGCAGTCCCATCAATTATCAATCTCCTTTTTTCTTGTTTTATTTATTTCCTACCTTGCCCGCAAATTCAATCAAATTATCTCAAAAGAAAAGCATGAGCTGGTGGTGGGCTGGTGCCATTGGCGCTGCTAAGGCTAGTCCTCATTTTCTCTGGCTTAATTGATTTATGTTTATTTCCAGTATGAAATTGTTTATTTTTTGTGTTTTGTTTTAATTTTTGCAGAAGAAACTTGAGGAAGATGAAGCAACGAGAAGCTTTCAGAGCGTTGCGTTGGTAGTTGGAGTGACCGGCATAGTGGGCAACAGCCTGGCTGAAATCCTTCCATTATCCGACACCCCCGGTGGCCCATGGAAAGTTTACGGGGTGGCTCGTCGGCCCAGGCCCAACTGGAACGGCGCTCATCCAATCGAGTATATTCAGTGCGACATATCCAATCCCAAGGACACCGAATCGAAGCTCCCCGTCATCTTCTACGTTAGCTGGATCAGCCGGTCATCCGAAGCCGAGACTGTGAAATCAACGGTTCCATGCTTCGCAACGTCTTGTGTTCTGTGATCCCGAACGCACCCAAGCTTCGCCACATCTGTCTCCAAACTGGAGTCAAACATTACGTCGGACCGTTTGAATTGTTCGGTAAAATCCAAACTCACGATCGCCTTTAACAGAAGATTTACCACGGTTAAACGCTCCCAATTTTTACTACACTCAAGAAGACATCCTCTTTGAAGAAACCGAGAAAAAAGAAGGATTAACCTGGTCGGTGTACCGACCCGCTATTATATTTGGGTTTTCGCCTTACAGCTTAATGAACGTCGTTGGAACTCTTTGCGTGTACGCCGCCATTTGTAAACACGATGGGAAACCGTTATTTTTTCCTGGAAGCAAAGCCGCTTGGGAATGTTACTCTGATGCTTCGGATGCGGATTTGATTGCGGAGCAACATATATGGGCGGCTGTTGATCCATACGCAAAAAACGAAGCTTTTAATGTGACAAATGGGGATGTTTTTAAGTGGAAGCATTTGTGGAGCGCTTTGGCGGAGCAGTTTGGGATAGAAGAATTTGGTTTTGAGGAAGGGAAGAATTTGAGGTTGCAGGAGATGATGAAAGGGAAGGAGAGGGTGTGGGAAGAGATAGTTAAGGAGAACCAGTTGCAGGAGACGAGGTTGGAGGAGGTGGGAATATGGTGGATTGTGAATCTGCTTTTTTCAGGGGAGGCGATGCTGTCGAGGATGAATAAGAGTAAGGAGCACGGATTTCTGGGGTTTAGAAATTCTAGGAATTCGTTTATTACTTGGATTGATTAGATGAAGGCTTTCAGGATTGTGCCTTGATTCAATATTATTTATTTTATAGAATCCTGAATTATACAGTAAAACTTCTTGATTAGACAAAGCCTTCTATATCACTTTCAGATTAAATTAGGAATATAAGTATTTTGATGTTACAGAATGAGACGTATCTATGAAGCGAACTAGTGAAGAACGTTTCACATGTCCAGATTACCAATTTATTTGATTATGTATAGATACTAGTTACAGTCATTCAAGAGTTGTTTCTTCCTTTCCAGCCGGATTGGACAAAATAAGTTGGTTTAACTTTGGAAATTAATCATTAACTTGGTGATGGCTTATCATTAAATTGAAATAAGACTTGTACGGATATCACGCACGTTATCCAAGCGGAAAAAGAGTTAGATGCCTTCTGAGTTTTTGACTGATCACCGGTATGGAAGTAGACTGTCTCGATATCTCAAGAGCAAGACAGACCTAAAAGGTGTTTAAAATTAGATTTTAATCGATAAATTGATCGATGTGATTTAATTTAGTTGATCGATTATTATTGAATTAATTTTGATTAATTATTAAAAATATAAAATATAAAATATAATATATAATATATTTTATTATCTGATTAATTTAAAAAATTAATTGAATCTGTTAAATTAATTTTAATTGATTATTTTTTAAATTAAAAAATTTAATTTAATTTAAAATTAATTAAATCGACTGAAATGAACACCTAAATCCTACGGAATTTAGAAAGGAAGAAGCCGAACGAATGAAGGGAATGCCAAATGATTACGTATAGTGATGTGGCCGGACAGACATCGGCTAGGATAAGCGTAAACATTTGTCCAAAGCCGATTTTAAATAATGGAGCAGGCCTGGCCCATCAGTCTGACCCAAAAACATCTTCCCTTACCCCTAAACTAAAGGGGCACATGTATAATTTCAATATCCAAACCTTTTTCCGTGCAAACCTCAGTTCCTAATCTGAGTCTGTTCTCCAATACTTGTTCTTTCCATTGAAGATCAATTACGTAATCTTAGATACCAGTTCTATTTCTTACAGTTGAGTAGGGTTTGATAGCATCTGCTGCTTTCATTCAGCTCCGAAGGCAAAATGATTACAAACTTCAATGGGTTTGGTGTCGGCCTTGGTATTGCCCACGTTTATTTTACATTTTTTTCGATGTTCTATTGAAGTAAATTTCTTGTCTTTGAGCTTTCTTCTTTTCTGTTTTTTTCTGTCAATTTTGTTTTCAGGTTTTGGCGTTGGATGCGGCTTCGGAGTTGGATGGGGTTTCGGAGGTCTCTTTTTCTTTTTCCTTTTTTTTTTAAATCTTCTTGCAAAATTTAAGCTTTCAGATTAAATTCCCATGCATAACGATTTCACTTCGGCTGAAATATATATACCCAACACTGGAAAATTGATAATATTTGATCCAATGAAGTAGCTAAAAAACAAAAAAAACCTACTTGTTTTCATCATTTGTGAGATATGAGACATGGACATAGGGACTTCTTTTCCGCCTTGGTTGTTGATGTTAGTTGAATATTATAATTTTAGTTGCATATTGATATTAGATATAAGACTCTAGGTTGAATTGTTGACGTCAGATGAGAATGAAGTACCGATTATGATCTCTTCATTATCAGTTAGTGATCTTTAATTGTGTTCATCGCTTCATCTGTCAGTCTTAGCTTGCTGGAGATATCTTTTGAGATGTTATAAAACTATATGGAGGATGATTATTTCTGCTGATGCTGTTGGGCATTTTATTTGGCAATTTACTGAATCATGATAGTTAGAAGGTCAAAAGATCAGAATGTGTCAATTCGTTGAGAATTGGTAAAGTGCTTTTTGTTTCCTGTTATCTCAGACACTTCCTCTCTTTGCTGGAAATGAGGTTTGAATCTTATAGCATCTTTCTTTAATGAAGGGAATGAGATCTCTAGCCATTTCTTTCTGTTCTGTTGTTGTCTTTATTAGCTAGTGAGAAAACTATAGGAATTGTGATTGTGAAGGTTTGGAACTTTGAGATAGTTTAACAAGCTTAAACTTAGGATGCCATTTTTTTTTTTTTTTTTGTATAAAATTTATAAAATTATTTGTTTTGTTTTGCTCCATCAGGTTTGGGATGCATGGTGTGCCTTTTAACTTTTGTTATGCAGTAGACAATTCATTCCATTGATGGAAAATTATAGATGGTTTAATTATGAACTTTGTAATCATTTAATCACTGCTATTTCATACTTTATAGATATATGTAAATTCTTACACCTTCTCTCTAAATCAAGGTATTGTCAAGATTCTAAATTTATGAATATTTTCTTCTCACTCTATGGATGTGGTAATAAGCTTTATCTCTTATTTGTGATTTTTTTTCTCACCTTCAGGGATGCCTTTGAATATCTTAGGGCTTGGTGCAGGTATTTCCTTTAATACTTAATGAACTCCAACGGTTCCTTTTTTTATCTTCTTTGCGGACTCTAAATTATTAGTCAAAAGTCATTCACATTGTATTTATTCTTTATATGAAGGTGGTGGCTGTGGTGTTGGCTTTGGCCTTGGATGGGGCTTTGGGTCTGCCTATGGTGGCCAGTATAGGTCATCTAGGGTCATATTCCAAGGCTTAGAATTTGGCAAAGAGGATCGAAGTCAGGATGGTGCGTTCAAAGAAACACCAAAAAGCACCAAGGAAATTCGTGCGCAACAATAATTTCAGTTTGGGGATTGAATTCAGACGGTAACGAATGAGATATGGGTTAGAGAAATGTCATATTTTGGTGCATTTGTCCACAAGTTTTTGCCTTCAAGTAGACAAATTAAACGGGGAAATCCTGTATTTACTTTTGTATTGAAGGTATTTAATGTCTAGTTTGGAGTCATGCAAGTTCAGCAGGAGGAATCAATGAAATTGAGTGGATTGGTCAACATTCTTTATCATTTTATAGGTTTTACCATCCAAACCAGAAAAATAATGGTACATATTAAAAGCTTGAATAAGAAACCTCGGATTTAAAGCTCATTAATCTTAACAGTTAGAGATAGAGGTGATAAATTACGAGTTCAAAAGCTTGAAATGACTGCAACTAGTTGGTTGTAGTAACAAGGACATTTCGAAACTCTGTTCCAGGAAAAGCCAGGTGAGGTGACGGAGTGGCTTAGCAACCTACAATTTAAAGTTCTAGTCCTTTTGGGCTTTTCTTCAACAATTCCTGGACGACCTTCGAGCACGTCTTTGGTACCTAGTCTGCACGGTTCTTCCGTGGAAGAGTAGTAAGACAAACAAACAAGAAACAAAATCAAGTGGTACAGATTTTGACCAAAAAAGGATAGAAAATACTTGAGGTCAAAGTCGTACTACTGAAAGAAAGTGACGTGTCTTATCTGACACTCCAATTCCTGAATACATAGAATGGAGTGTGGAGACCTCAAGGCCTGGCTTCCTAATCTGTTGATTTGCTTGCTGTCTTCAATCAACGAACTCAGTTACTCAGCAACATTAACCAATAACCAACCACCAGGTAGACACGTGACAAATCCTCGATGGTCTTCACGTGCATGTCCTCCCCTTTCATCACCAAGGTTGGTCGGTCGCGTGCCGACTGCTCAGAGCAACCCGTCCCTATCTTCCACGCGATCCCACTTCCCTTGTTTCATTCATCCCCAAGTCTCCACCTCTTCTACCCCCTCTAAAATACACTAGTGTGTGTCGCCCTGACAAAAGGAAGCCTGGTCGCTCCTTTTCAGTCTTTCTTACAAGAACGATGGCTGAACACAGTTTTCACCCTCTCACAGGTTGCTCAACACAAATCAAAGAAAGATTGCTGGCTTGTCATCGATGGCGGAGTAATCCTGCTCTCTTTTCTTCCACACCCACGAATTAAATACTGATCAGTGATCACGTTCGTCTACATATAAATTGTCTATGTAGTAAATCTTGAGACTTGACTAATTCTTGTAGGTACTGAACGTGACAAAATTCCTATCCAGGAGGAGAAGAGGTGCTGCTAGAGTCAGCAAGGAAGGATGCGACACAGGAATTCAAGGACATCGGACACAGCAAAACGTCTCAGAACTTGGTCGTCAAGTACCAAGTTGGCGTTCTCCAGGGTTGCACTTTCAATATGATGCAGCTGTCCAGGTTGCTTCAACTGAGGAACCCAAAAAAGAAAGAGATGAGTGCTTTTGTGATCAAGGATGAGCACATGCATAAATATGTAGCCCTTGTCGAGTTCATCGTGCCACTCTTGGTTGCTGGTTCCTACTTCCTTTACAGATACCTGACCTTAGGCTCATCAATGTTCTAATCGATTCGGTATTACCAGAAATTTCAAGGTGAACCACCAAGCCAATATCAAAATGCCTTTTCTTCCTTTAAAATAAATCTTGGTCTAGAATGTTAAAACGTTAGAATTTTGCTCAACCTTAGTATGTTGTCCTTTCTTTTTATCTTCAGTTGTAGTCCTCTTGATTGTCGCAGTTGATGACTGTTGCAAGGAGAATTACCATATTCAATTACCATGACAATTGGTAAATATTACAGCAAAAAATTCTGCGTTTTAGACTTCAAAAGCTAAACTCTTGCAAAGCGAAATATAAATGAGTTGAATCAACGGCTAACGGTGAAAAAGTTGGAACTCCTAAGCTATGTACTTTTGCAGCATCTAATTAACAGGATATAAGATCAGTATGTGACTTGAAACTAGGAAGATAGAGGCGACGCGGTCATTCTTTTCACACCATTTCCTTTCTCTTTTCTTCTTACCAAACACAATAGTAACCATGCAAAAAATGAGATGAGACAAGGAACTTCAACACTTTCCATAACTGAGGTCTGATAAATTAAATTTCCCACTTCTTTTCTACACTTCGTAATTAGTTACAACTTGAAAACGAAATAAGGTGAGGAAGGGGGATTGAAATGCTACAGGCTTTGTACTAATACAGAGTACTCTCTGAAATGAAAAAGAAAGAGCATAATATTACAAGATCCGACAGCTTCAGTTCAACTCCGTCATCCCTCGGCTCCTTAATTGAACAAACAGACCTGCCCTTTATCTGCAAAGTAACAATCGGAACGGAGAGACAAGAAGTGGTCAAGGAAAAGAGTAGGGACAAAAGGTGCTATTGCTTTTTGTTCTACTACCTTCACCCAAGACCTGGATCGGTATAACATCCAGCGACAGCATAATCTGCACAACATATACTCCTCAACCACCTTCGACCAAACAATTAGCCACTGAATATAAACTGCCGCCCAAAGATACTCTGTCCTTCATATTCTATGATAAGCGATTAAAACTGCATAGGATAATAACAACTTCTTAGACTTCGTGAACTCAATTTCAAAAAATGTGAATATGGTTACAAAATATAGCAAGAGGCGGCACTAGCACAACAATCTGAAAGCAGACGAAGCGAACAATGCCTTTATTGCAGGAATAAATCAGGGCACTTAATCTTGGTTCTAATTATTTTAATACATCCCATGTGATCTCCGGCGTGTCACCGTCTTCTACTAGCAAAAAGTTAATCCTTCACATAATGAATCCCCGACCTATGTTGTGCTATCTAAATCATCAAAAGTTATTGACTTCTAATTTGTTTGCAGTGAAAGCAACTACCATCATTTATGCATAACTTTATTTAATAGCCCATCTTTTCTTGTATTAGCATGCATCCATCTAATTGCCAAAAAATTTGTACCCATAAACCAAAATTGTTTTAGACATCCTTCAACTTGATAGATATCCTACAATTAATTTTAATATCCAGCAGCACTCATCCATTCTATTCAACCAGCTTTAGCTTCATCAAAAAATCCTCATAATTTTCTCATCTCTTATGAATAATCAATCATATATACCAAAAATGATACACTTAGGAAATTTGTTGCTGTGAATACTTCTACACCATCTTCATTTTTATTTCGAAACTTGTTAAGATTACAAGTCATGCATTCTACATGACCTAAAACCCTAAGAATTTGATGTACCATTCACCAGATGTTAGTCTCATCTACTCTAATCATTTGTCCACAATTAGTATGCATTTGGAATCTCTAGCTCACAATGCCATAATATTTATGAAATACAGAATCTAAGGTCCATGGGCTAGATATGTGTTTCTATTTGTTACTGGTCTATTTGGGGTAAATTTTCTTCACTTATAGTTTGCTTCTTTCAATCACTGGCCTCTGCACATTTTATTGCTCTCATACTCCATTGCAATGAGAATTCACCATTCAATCTAAGCAGCATAAAGCACAGAATCTAAGTAGCACAGATAACAATGAATAATGAAAGTCTTTACAAATGATAAAAATATTGCTAAAAATTTTGCTCAAATTTAAAAAAAATGCATTAACGAGCAAGTGTATGTAAGCTTTTTTCCTAATCAAATAAGCAGAAAATATAAGTAACAATCCCAAAAAGGAAGAATAAAAATAAGACAAGTTTCAGGCAAGCTCACCAATCAAGCAAAGTAAGAGGACAAACCAAACTGCTAGTTTAATGGGACGACCATATTGCATTTGATACTGAGACCTTTGAAGCTGTCTTTGAATAGCCCCATACCAGCCGTAAAGTTGCTTATTATAACAATCATCACAATCTAGGCAACTCCTAGTTCTTTCATTGCATGTGTTACTGCCCTGCAGGAGCAAATGATAAAAAGGGAACTTATAAACACTAATGGGACAGCATAGAACATGGTAGCAAAAGGTCAGGTTTCAAAACCTATATTTGAAATAGTACAGCAGTAGAGTAGACATTCACCGTTGCCAACTGTGGAGGTCTCAACAACTCTGTATCAGACTCTTGTTGATGATCTACTGCCTTACACTTCCTGATTCCATTCTTTGACCACTTCAACTTGGCTACAGATTCCATGGAATTTAGGAAACCAGAGACGCTTGGTACCTTACGTGGAGGAATAGAGGGCTGACCATTGGAAGAATTCTGCTGTAAAACATCATCAACAATTGCAATCTTCCAAGCACCAATGTCAGCACTAGCACTAGCAGTCCTCCTATGCCCATGTGACTTCTCGTCCTTAGCCTCAGAGGAGCTCCAATCAACAGACTGACCTGCATTCTTCAAGCAATCTGGCACTGATTCTTTATTGATTCCTCGTGGAATTTCATTATCCCTACCATGACTCTTAGGAGGAAGTTTCTTGTCTACAGATGCAGACGGTCCGGACAAAAATAAAGCAAGTTCATTGCATTCACCCTCATTCAAACGCACCCAATGCATTGATGTCTTACCCTCAGAATGGGCTGATTCCTGCAAAGATTTTTCTATCTTTAAAATCTGATCCTCAATTGCTACAATAAATTCACGATGCCTATGTCTTGCATCCTCACTTGAACACTGACTGTAACTTGATTGGACAGCCCTTTCAAACTCCTCTAACTACAAAACAAATTCAATTCCTCAAAATGCTGAACCAATGACAGCACCAATGCAAACATTCACGATTCATGAAAAAGATAGAAAGCATAAGACGACCTGCCATTTGGTAGTGCTAAGGGCGGTACGCAGATCCCTACGAAGTTCCTCGAAATTCCATGAACTAGAATCGGGTTTTTTGGCGTCTATCCATGTCCTATATGTCGATTCCATCCTTTCAAACGCGAAAAAAAAAAAATAACATGAGACCAGTTATGTTCAAACAAATACAAAACACAGAACAACGACTTACTAAAGAAACGCAAATTTTCAAGCGATTATTGAATAACTAAAATTCTAAATCTTAATTTTACCATTTGGGAACCTAATTAAAAAAAAATCATGCTTTAAATCTCAAAGACATGAGTCAAAGCTGTAATCTTCTTTAGGTTTCAAATTATGTCTATAAAACAAAAGAAAATTAATAACAATTAGGAGAAAAAACAATCGAGCTGCAAAATGAACCCTAAAAAATAAAAAAAATTATTTACCTGTCAGCAGATTCCTGAACTTCTTCAGCCACAGAGAAGAAAGGATCTTTCTCCCACCGATCAAAACTCGAAGCCATTTCAAAAACGAAAGAATAAAAAAAAAAAAAAAAACCTCCTTTTCGAGTAATTAATCAATTAATTATAATTAAATGAAACCAAATCAACAATCTAAGTTCCTCTAAAAATACCGAAACTGACGGCGTAGATCAACGAAATCCTTTAGATTTGATATGCTAAGGGATTGGAGATTAAAAGAGAGGGTGAAAAACAAGAGAGAGGAATCAGAGGAAGAGACGGAGACGGATATCTTTACAAAGTCAAAGACAAAACGGTCATAGCAGCCACGAAAAATGATTAATTTTTTTAACCAAAAAAAATTAATTTTTTTTCTCAAGAGGAAGTCGTTTTGTGCTGCTGATTGTGTCGTTTTGTTATGGAAGTCAACGACAGTTTCTAAACTAAAACTAGTGTACGTATGGATAGACATGGATTTATAGTAAGATTTTATTTTTTGGACTCAATCTAGAAAGTGTTCACTATCTTGTTTTTTTTCTTCGGTCATTTGAAAATCAATAAAGAAATATTAAGCTTACTTTCATTTGAAACGAAGAAAGTATTTGATTTTGTGAGATCCATAAATCTAAAATTAATCATATCACATGTAACAATTAAAAAAAAAAAAAACCAATCACCATAGCATTATGGTTCATTAAGGACATAATTATGAATTTAGAAAATTCAGGGGAGATTCCCTTAACTATACCATGGTTTAGTGGAGGCAACTCAAAAAAAGAAAAGGTCTTGACTCTTGAGCTGTGTCGGACATGGAAACAGAAGGAGAGCACTCTGCGAAGCTGCAACAAACGGCGACGTAGCTAAAGTGATTTTGATAAAATCCCTAGCCGACATCTCCTTCTTCGACAGCGATGTACTCACACCGCCAAGCTCGGCCATACCGATGTGGTCAAAGCTCTCCTTGACGCTGGCGCGCCCTGGACCACTCTTTCTCCATCTAACAAATCAGCTGGTGACTTCGCCATGGACTCTAGCCACCAGGACGCTTTTCAAGTCCTTCTCAATGCCGGCAATCTGTTACTTATTTGATTTTACTTGTAAGTATATACTGGAATTTTAATATGGAAGAGATTAAGAGAGCTGAAAAATTCATTAAAGTGAGTCATTGGAACCACTTAGAGCAATTCATTAGAGCAAAGAAAAGCTCCCCATTGATTTGAAAAGGGGGGAATAAATAGGGAATTATATAATGTGTGACATTAAGCATCTGTAATTGAACAGGAATCCAGGCTGAAATGGTTTTGGGAACCATTGCTAGGAAAACAGAAAAGGATGGTGATTCTGAAGAGGATTACTTGGAAGATAGGGTTACTTTTAGTGAGGACAAGTTGATGGACTCTGATATCAAGGCTGTGACTGTGATGATGGTTTGGGAGAATCCATTGATGGAAGCTTATGCAAACACTGTTTGCTCTGGAGGTGGTAACATAATCAATGTTGGTTTTGGCATGGGTCTAGTTGATGCAGCTATTCAGCAGTATGGTCCCGCCACGCACACAATTGTTGAGGCTCATCCGCAGGTCTACGAAGGCAGGCTTCACACTGGTTAGGGCAAGAAGGATAACGAGAAAATAATATTTTGGGAGTTAGCAAGATGTTCTTTCTCAGCTTGAATGATGGTAAATTAAGATTCATTTGACCACTCAATCTCTATGCATATATATATATATATATATATATATGTATATGTATGCATCACCATGTGTGTCATTCATCTGCTATGATATGTTTTCCTATTATTCTGATTAAAGATTAATGCTTGAGTTGCTGAGATGGATCAACTTCATTACAAAAATTGGTCGTAGGCAATGCTAATTAAGTCTATCGCCACTCTATAATTATATCATTGGACTAAATTACGGTTTTTCTGACTTTGAGATATGCTAATAAAGCTGGTTCATTCATTATTTTATCACACTAAGACATTTCACCGACCAAACTCCTACAATTTTCATGAACATGTAGTATAGTTTCTCTGAATGAGTAGAATTTTTTTAGTTTGACCTCTAGTAGTTTGAGTTCCTACCTTTAGAAACGTAGACACAAAAGTAAAAAAGCTATAAGAAATAAGTGCTAACTGCTAATGTAGAGTAACCTCTTATCATGAAAATGAATCCGTGTGGTATATATAGGCCTACCTACCTATATAAATAACTCCTTGAGTTGTATGCAAAACCTTTGTATGTATTTTATTTGACAACTATAGAGAATATTATGAAGATCTGAGAGAGTTTCATCAGCATCTGCATAAGTCATTGAAGCCTGGAGGAATCTACTAGTTTTTTAATGGCCTCTGTGGAGGTAATGCATTCTCCCAAGTTGTTTACTGCCATTAAGTTTCACTAGAACTAGAGAATCTGGGGTACCCGACACAGTTAATCTCCTTTCCTTCTATGCATTGCTTGGGAGAAGAAGTTTGGGGAGGTGTGAGTCAGAAATATCGGCAACTTGATAAGTATTATCTCCCTGTTTGTCAGTCTATACAGGACTCTGAATGATGAGTACATATTTCCAATGTGAGAATTGTTTTTCTCCTGTAAATTTGGATTTTGATCTCAAAAGCACGTCGATATCATCTTTGACCATTTCCAGACTTTGGATGGTTAGGATTATGTAAGATGACCGATTATATATGATGTTGCAGTATCTTTTTGCTGCTGGATTGACTATGTTCAGAGAATTGGTCATGGAAAAAGAACTAATCCATGTGCTGAATCTATCACCCATTCCTTTGGCTGGTTAAGCTTTGTGGTTGAAAAAAAGGACAACTTAGTCAGAATTCTTTTTTATAGTTTGATTCTATTTAGAATACTCATCCATAAGCAAAATTTATCATGAGTCAATATTTGCCTGAAGCAATCATTATACATGCTTCAGATAACAAGGAAAAAATGAGTTTATAAGGAGAGATACATGAGTCAATTAATATTTTCATCATTGCCAAAACAGATATCCTATCCGAAAGATCTTTTAACTGTCGTAATGAATAATTCTTTGTTTAAATTGTTCTTCAAACTACCTAAACTGTAATGAAAATCTATTTTCTCCAGTTTCTTGTTGGTTATTTTCCCTTGTTTCCTTTGGTTTTACTGTGGCAAAACCTTGCAATACACATTAAAAGCAGCCAAATCTTAGATGCCCGTGATTAATATCCTATGTTCTGTTTTATCTGTTGGTTATGCTGCAATGCTGAGGGGCAGACCAAAAATCTTTAGTTGATTAGCAATGCTTGATTGCCGAGGCGGCAAGTCTTTGCGTAAAATCTTATAGGTATGAAGTATGAATTTAATGGCAAAAATAATAGAAATAAAAAGAAACAATTATGATAACAGTAACTCCTTTTATGTTGCTCAATTGTGTCAACCATGAAACACAGGAATGTTGGAAGAATTCAAGATTTATACGAGACGAATCATAACTAGGAATACTGTCTAAATTCACATGCCAGTTCCTTATACATGAAGTCATTGTACAATTATTCCCCACCTTGTTACGAACTTTTTTTTTTTTTAAACCCAATTTACTGTCCCCTAATTTTCTTGGATAGCATTTATACTTACAACTGGCTCTGCCTGCACAGTTGCTGTAATATTAGATAGTATAAGACGGATTCATTATACTGTAAGAGAAATCTCTAGTGCTTTGAGGGCACTTGGCAGTTCCAGTATTAGTATCATGAACCCAATTGTTGTCATGGTTATGTCCAGCTGAAAGCAATTGGACTACCAACAATGTGTTTTCCGTCTGACCATTCCAGACGGGCAAAGCTGGTTGTACCAGATGGCATAGAACTAGCTTTGAATGTCACGGTATAGCTCTTTTTCTCGTATTGCGCGCTGAAACTTAGTGTTGCTGGCTCAACCGAGATTTTCACTGCTTGTGTCTCTGAATACAAAGAAATTTTGTATGTTGCGGGGGCACCAACATTAGTAAGGGTTCTTGTATATTGGATGGTGCTTGAGACGCCAGTACCACCCTCTTTGCCTGAGGCAGTTTCCAAAGGAACAGAGAAGGATGGGTAATTAAAATCTCCCAGGGTGTACTTTTTGCTTGTCAGACAGGTGAAGTCTCTGTGCGTAGTGCTTTTAATTTGATTTTGTGTGTAGTTCAAGGCACAAAGAAAACCAAGATAGTCCTCAACAGTGGCATCGTAGACAAGGCCAGGATCAAGGGCTGCAACTGGATCCACATGCCCGGCACCATAATCGAATGGTGTTGCTGGTCCTCCTGTGGCAACATCTTTAATCTTTTCACCACTTTTGTAAGCTGTGTAGGCTGTGGTCATGAGGGCAGATTTAATGGCTGCTGGACTCCATTCAGGATGAGCAGCCTTGATAAGTGCAGCTAACCCACTAACATGGGGGCATGACATTGATGTACCTGAAATGATGTTGAAGTCTACATGCCTGTGGTCACTCGCTATTCCTGTCGGACCAACTGCACGAGTCCAACCTGCAAGGATATTGACTCCTGGTGCAATAATGTCTGGTTTAAGTATTGCTGGAGTGACTGGATTTGGACCTCTAGAACTGAATGCTGCTACCACGGGAGATGGTTGAACACCTAATTTTGTGGTTCCAGGACCAATTATGGCTGTTGGGTTATGATCAGAAGATAAATATTTCTTGATTGCATCTCCAGTCTTCTGCCCAACAGCTGCTGAAGGTAAGAGATACGCATCGGCAACTAGCTCTTCTCCGTAAGTATCAGTGTTTGTCAAAATCATCCCTACACCACCAGCAGCCTTCACCACCACTCCTTTTTGCACCCTCGCACTCCCCCCTCGATCACATACCACAATCTTCCCCGAAATTTTTTCTGGAATCAAACTTCCTGCCATGCAAAGGCTTCCACTACTTGAATTACTCGCATTACCACCATAAACTAGTGGCACCGAATCAGATAACTGCTTTCCATTATAAAGTGTCACGCCAGAGTATTGCTCGTCGTTTCCCAGAGTAATAGAGGCAGGGAAATCACGGTCCAATGTTCCAGCACCCACGGTAGTTATCCATGGTGCAACATTTGACAAGCTGCTGGGCCTGGGTCCACTATTTCCTGCTGAACAAGATACAAAAATTCCATACGCGGCTGCTGTGAATGCTCCAATGGCGACAGTGTCACCATAGTACTCCGATATTCCTCCACCAATTGACATTGAGATAATATCCACTCCATCCGCAACAGCTGTGTCCATGGCTGCTGCAATATCAGAGCTAAAACACCCACCAAGCCAACACGCCTTGTAAATGGCAACTCGGGCATGTGAAGCCATCCCACGTGCTGTCCCAGAAGCGTATCCTAGCAAGTTAGCATCAGGCACAACTGACCCGGCAGCTGTAGTTGCTGTGTGAGTTCCATGTCCATCATCATCTCTTGGAGACTTTGATTCCATGGTTTCATCAATGGGTCCAAACGCAGCTTCATACCCTTTTGAGAAAAATCTGGCACCAATTAGTTTCCTGTTGCAGCTTGATGAATTGAAGTTTTTGCCCACCTCACACTTGCCTTTCCAGCCAGATGGCACTGGTCCAAGCTCAGAATCATCAAAGCTTTTCAGCTCGGGCCAAACTCCAGTGTCCAATATGCCAACAATCACTTCACCCATTGAATCAGAGGTGGGGAAGAGGGCACTGTTCTTTCCTAATCCAAGGAACTCTGGTGTTCGAGTTGTGTGCAGTTCATATCTTACTTCAGGTAGGACAGAGAGAATTCCAGACTGTTTTCCAAGCGATTCAGCTTCCTCAACTGTTAGTCTCGTAGAGTAGCCGTGAATTACGTTTTCGTATGTGTAAAGCATGGATGCTGATTCTGAGACAGATTTTAAAGATGAATCATACCATAGGGAGTGATCAGTGAAACTTTCTGGCATGTTCGACTTATCCATGTGAACTATGTAAGTTATTTTGGCTTGCCGGATCTTCTCTTCTGCTACCACGCATGCGCAACACAAATTCAGAAATAGAAAGATTTCTATTAGTTTGAACTTCATGGGCTTCATCTCCGCCGTCGAGCAATTGACAGGTTCTTTTTTTTTGGTAGAATGAATTTTGGAAGAGAAACAAAGCTCAGGCTGAATTAAGTAATAGGTTCTCTTCCTAGTCACCAAGGGTCTACTATATGATGAGATTGGTTTGCCTCAAAATCCATTCCTAAAAAAAAAAAAGCCCTTGTTGAACACTAGTAATTTCTTGTTTCAATGATTGATGTTTAAAATAAAATAAAATAAAATAAAATAAAAAATATATATTTATATATTAAAACACCTAAAATCCGATAAAATTTATGGCAGACTGTAATTACTAGCAAGTTGGGACTAAGGAGCGAGCCGCAAATGATTGCCACTATTATGGGTTTTTACATTTCTTGCATCAAGTCATTCTTCTTTGCTAATGGCTGTCAAAATGGGAATTTGTTTACTTCTAATGGCCCGAAAACAGGGAATTTACTGTTGCTTGTTAAGAGAGGTTGGCATTTAAAGTTGATTTAGTGCTTGCTGTCATAATGTATTTGAGCAAACCACCTAATAAATTCGTCGTAAAGGCTCACAAATGCGGAAGGAAGTCGCTATGCTCAGTGGCTAGGCCCCACTTTATGTTCCACATTTTTTCTCCATTTTACTCTGAATGCATCAGATACAAATCTAATTCAATACATATACTTATAATTGAGAAGTTTGCAGCCTGACCAAAGCTCAAGTGAATAAATTCCAATGTAAACCTTTACTTGACGGATAAAGGATGGAAAGAGAAGTTAAAATAAAAGGGAAGCCTGAAATTGTCAAAGATTTTGTTTTGGAATAGACGGTAGAGATTCCAAATTTTACAACAATTAGGCACTCTGTCACACTTTAACAGCTAAGCAAAGTTCCTTTCAATTTTAGTCATTCCATTTAGACATTTACAGGTCACCATCCGAGTTGAGCACTGCTTTAATGGCTTAATCTGCCTGTTGCTTTCATTAGTCTGTAAAAATTGTGAATCTTGCTGGCAAATCTACACAGAATTAGCATGAACATGTATCATGTTGGGGATTGTCTCTTTTCATGAATTAACACGAAAAATGAAATACCAGGGAATTGTTTTTCATTATAAATCTGCACTAAATGACAAAGGGGAAATGATAATGATTGAAAGAAGGAAAAGACATAGTACTAAATGGTAATAATGGTGACTATTAGAATATGTTATCTTTCTAGATCGATCAGCACCGCCTTTTCACCCAAAATCCCACCTTCGATATCTACCAATGATCATATACAAAGCGATAGTGGGGAATGGATACCACTAATTTCCCATTTGTTCAAGATGCTGACAAGGATTGAAGCTGTCGGCTGTTTAACTTATCTTTAATCCAAGCATTTATCATTGCCATGTGGTGGTGCCATTGTAGAAACTCATGGATTGGCATTTCCAAGGCAACTAATGCAGGGCAGAAAAAGAGAACTTAGACTGTGCAGAATGTGAACATCGAGTCATTAAGTCATCTGGCCTTATAAAATTATCAAAAAAGTAATCAAAAGGTTCATAGGAAAGAGAGGGTTTTGATTAGATGATGGAATTATTGGAATGCTTAATCACAACAGACTCGAAAGCTTTGTTTCTCCCACTCTCTACTTTAGTGGCAATTAGCTGGAAATGGACGCCTACCCCTACCCTCTAATAATAGCCAAGTATTTATAGTTATTGTCGAAACTAAAATAGGTTTTTTAGGACCTAGCTGGCGCTGTTCTCAGTCTATTTCTCCAAAACTTTACTCCCATAGAAGTGTCAATTTGTCTTTATATGAACTGCTGATGACCATGTAGCCTTTTTTCGCTGCTCCTTTAGCCACCTCTAATGTATAACCCAAAAGAGAAACAATCTGCAGAAGGTATATCTACTCGGTGAATGGCCATAGGGTTAAAACTGGACGGGTATATCTATTGTGTTGTTATTAGGTACCCACTGGCAATATTTAAATTCATCCAAGTTATCCCAAGTTTTATTTTTTATGCTGAAAGAGATATTTAGTGATTGTATCTTAATTATTGTAATTAAAATATTAATATTTTATCGACATATCAAGCTGATAAAAGTGAGATTTTACGAAAATTTTAATAATTCATAATAAGTTGAGGATGATCCTAATTCTTATATCCCACATTATCCAGATAAAATAATGAAATAAATGATATAGAGATATTATACTACCAAGGAGTGTATATAATGCGTGATCATAATAAGTGAGCTTGTGTAATTTAAAGTTTTATAGTGAATGATCATATTGATTGATCACAAGCCTTCAACTAGCACTCATACTAATCTTACCGGACTCAAAACATTTAATTTTGGACCTCACAAACCTGGGTTCTTTTAGATGTTGATGAGGTCCATCTTCGGGCTGCGTATATCTTCAGAATCCAGTCTATTTCTTGCTTTATTAAGCTTTTTTCTGTGGTCAATATAAAGGTTAATCAATAGCGTTTAAAGAATGGGAACATTGGACCATTTCCCGTTGGAGATGGTTCTTTTTCATGTCGGTACCTTATCAATTTCAATTCATCTCCAATCATGTTCGCAAATTAATAGATATAATGAGAAGGAAAAAGGAGCAATGGTTGGCTGTGGTTTCAGAATCTTCAATCTTTATTCGATTCCTTGAGCTTTTTTTTTTTTAATGGAATCAAAGCTTTCATGTCCTCCGACCCCCTTCTATCAGTCAAATTTGATGTTTATGTTTCGAAACAAATTTAACATGGATCAATTAGCGGTTCCTTTCATTTTCTAAACTCTTCTTGTTTTTGCTTTGCAAGATTGTTAAAAAGCTTGAGTTACATATTAGACTTGTTGGAAACATATACAAATACAATATTCATAAACTTAGTTTAATTGATAAGAAAAAAATTTTCATTTCTTTATCAATCAAAGTTTAATCGAGTATTTTGATATCAAAATCTTGAATGTGTTATATCAATAAAAAAATATAGATTTTTAAAATCATTTGAGAAAACAAACGCAAATTTTAAAATTTATTTTTGGAGTTTGCTTATCTGTCACTTTCGCAATAAAATTTTAGTAGTGAATGTTGAACATTGAAATCCATCAATCATCTCCTTTTTAAAACTTTTCTTGAAACACGTTTCGTCGCAATTGAATTGACAGCCATCAAAGCCGCTTGCAGGCTCAAGTTCAAAGGCAGTCGCAGCCTCAATTATTAAAGCATGCGGATCTGTTTAAACATCAAGCGAGAAAGAGGATAGCAAAATATCAAATGGGTGAATTCGAATTCTTTGTAAATGACGGTAGCCATAAACGTGGATGGAGAAAGACATGCCCAAATCACTCATTTGATTCGTCTTTGAATTGGAATGACCATAATTCTGATAGGGAAACAGATGGCCGGGCCAGCAGGATCAGGTGCAAGGCATTGTCATGACTTTTTTTGTTCTGTTCGCTTGTGGTTGGGTAGTCGGATCAATTCCTCTTATCATTTTCATTCAAGGATTGACGTCCACTTCTTTGAAATAATATATTTGTATTCATTAAGATGGGTCTTATCAGGATCAATTTTAAAAATAATTTCATAATTAACTAATTATGATTAAGATTTATAATTTAATTGATTCATTCAGTTATTAAATCTAAAACTTTTTAAATATCTACATAACTTTCACCATTTCTTTCATAAGTATGTCATTTGCTTCTAGTTCCTATTAAACGTTGTAGATAAGGACAACTTTTTTTATCGTGAATTCAATTCAATAATTTGCTCCAGCCAGATTTTTTTTTTCTTACAATCCAAGACTTTGAAATTGGGATCATATGCTGATCGAGGGGGCCCCCAAGGAAAATCCAAAAGTAAGGTGGTTTGAGTCCAAGAATCAAGTGTACTAACTACTGAGAATCCTATATCTTTTACCAAAAACATTAAAAAAAAAAAAGAGTAGGTTACAAACTGACCCCACTAGGAAGACTAAGGAGAGAAAGGGTCAATAACTCCATAGTTAAATGCGAATTCAAAAGTTGGTGACAGAGTATTCAAATAATTTGTCACAAGAGTACTGTTCTAGTGTTTCCACCTAGTGGCAACGTCACTGGGTCGTTGGTCCTCAAGCAATGCTTAGAGCACCATTACATGGTCCATAATTTCAAATTCTTCAAGCTCAAGTCAAGCCCATTTTCTTGAAAGGCCTTCATTGCTAGAGGCAAGGCCATAGACCCAAATCTGATTTTGGCGTGGTTTCTTATAACCCAGGAAACCATTTTTATTCATCCCAACCTTCCCCTAATCCAAACCAATGGAACAGATACTCGCCAAAAATGCCCCCTGGGGAGCTGTGTTCATGCAAAGTGGGTCATTGGTCCAGCACCCTCTAATATAAATTTTAGAGTCAAAGAATAAAAGTTTGCTTGTAGAAATAAAAATGTAAATGATTGAAAAGTATACAAGCCAAAGGAAAGAGGCAAAGCATTGAAACCATGAACACTAGGTAAATGCATACAATAGCATTTTACTTGAGCAATCACAACCGGATAGCCATTTGAGTTAGTAGAAACATGGGTGTTTCACATGTTATTTACACGCATAATATACAATAATTAACAGTTATTTAACCACGCGACATTATTTACTAGCAGGAAAAGGATAAACAGCACGAAAGATTAATTCAGTCCAGGCAGATTTTTATACATGGTGGTGATATAGTCTTGTTTCTGACCATGCAAACCCAGGAGAATGGCCCCTGTGGTTGGGGAGATGAAGTCATGGTAATGCTAATCAGTCTTTGCCCTGAAATTTCATAATAAATAAAGTTATATTTAATCTATTATGACCAGAAGCAACATTCTAGTAAAATAAGTAATCAGACAGTTCTGTCCTAGATGTTACCCAAATCAATAAAGAACCCAAAATCCTGAACTTGATTACACTTGAATTAATATATGCCCTCTAGAGAATCACCAATAACAAATGTTGAATTAAACAGATTACAGAAATAAGCTTCAGCCTCACATTCATGGAGGCTTGTGATAATTATTAACACAGCTGGAATAGAATAATCATTCATCAACAATCTTAACTCTCCAAAATCATAAAACTTGGAAGGCTATTTAAGTTTACTAAAATAATAAAGAAAAAGGATCATTTGCAACATGATTTGCTGTTCTAAAAGATGAATCAAGTTGTTTCTGTGCATGACAGAAGCTGAAAAATGGAAGCACTTGCCCTTTCAGCAAGTACCTAGCTCCAGAATAAGAGGAATGTTTACACGTTATCACATTTCTCGTAGATGCCTAGAAAGTTGCTATTAAGTTACAGGAGTACTACAGATACAGGTTCTAATTCTGACATTATCAAGTTATGGAGAATGGATCAAGTGAGAGAATAACAGCTATCACCATTTAGGTAATTCAGCTACTGGAACCCCAGAAAATGAAGAATAATGAATGAAGAATGATTTTAATGTAGTTATCTTCTCTAAAGTAAGTTAAGAAGGTAACAGTCGTCACTCCTTTAATCTGTTTTGCAGACCCACCAAAATATTTTGTTACCAGATTTCGGGTGCTTTTCTTTCAACATTTTAAAGATTTATATAAAAGAAATGTTGTTAAGTTTCTAGATGAAATCTGTGGTGTTTTTAGCCTTTTCAGGAGAATATCTGCTCAAAAGCAACCCTTAAAATGTATTAGCATGGTAAAATAATGACCTGAAAGTGCAGCCACCACATAAATTAGTAGGCCATCATCCTTTTCCTTCTGAAGATATCGATGTTATACATAATTTAGATTTATGACTACAAATATCAAGACATTTAGATCCTGCATTGTCCTTTGCTTGTCAGCTATTTGAAACTCGTGACTTTGAGCATACACGCATAAGTTGTGCATGTTTGTTTGAGAAAATGGTTTTTCCATTGAACCTATTCATAACATCTTTCATTTCACATAAGCTATATAGGGAGGAGGGGGAATGAAAATAATACCTGCTTCTCAAAGCTTGTGTTCTCAGTTATGTCACCTCCTCCTTTAGGAGACTTCAAATCCGCATTCCTGCAGGACATGAAAGCAGTGGCTCAAATTTTTGGTGTGATAAACAATGACATGAGCACAAAAGAAAATCTAAGATTGCCAACATCAAACCACCTTTCTTGGGTAAAAATGTTCTGATGATCTGGAAATGAATTTATATCAGGGGCCATGGCACCAGGAATTCCTCGGTCTGCTTTATGCTCTCCCTATACAAAGAAGTAGGTCAAAATAAAATTTGGCAAATATTCTTTGTAATGGAAGTCACTAAAGAAATCAAACAAAGTCACCGCCTGAAAAGCAAGGGGCTTACATCAGAATTGTCTTCCATCCACCCTGGAACTCTGTCTGAAAGAAGGGCAACATACTGCTCCATAGCCGCCTCTGGATTCATGTTCCCCAGCCTTTGCCAAGCATTCCTTGCACAATGCAAGCAGTGCCGTCCATCACTCACACATAGCAGCTGTCAACCCTGTTATTATAACTACCAATCAAGCTATACCGTGCAATTTGGTATAGGCTAGACCCTAATGAGTTTCACACTCAGCTTTTTTTCTTAGTTCAACAAAATTTCCCAATTATAGTGGTCAATCCAAATTCGACCAATATAGAAAGTCTAATGATTTGTGTCATTCCACATTGACTTAAGTGTGTTTTAAATAGCTCTAGTCATATGAGGCATTAAAACAAAAACTGGACAATGTGTTATCTCAAATTTGTCAACTAATGATATATGTTCATTCTCAACTTCCGTTCTATTGGTTAATTGTAAGATGGGAAACAAAATGACCAATAATATAGGCTTCCCACCCTTCTTATTTTATCATCTGATCACTTAAAGTTTTCTCAAAGTTAACCACACTTTTCAATTTGCGATTTATAAATTCATTGTGTAATCGCTTTCTAAATTGTTTAAACTAAAAATCGTATCGGTGGTTTTGACATATGATAAAAATTTAATGTATCAAGGACGATATGTATACTTCCAAACTTCAATTTCTTTAATCTATTGAGCTATTGATCTTTTCCTCCACAATGAACACAAACGTGAGAGACATGTCCAACCATCCACATTCACACCAACCAAAAAGATAGAGCAAAAAGAAGAAGAAAAATCGATCAACAAATAGTCAAATATGGATACAGGAAAGTTTGCTACCATTTGGAGTGAGAAGAGACCATGAAAGCCCGAGGCTGTGGCTCCCGACAAGGCCCTTCGGTAGCAATCTTGTGGAGTCCATAAAGTTCCATCTGAACATCATTCCCCAAACCTTCCAAATCTCCTTTATGCTCAACAAACTTCGCAGCATCAGCAAAAACCTTCTCCAGTTCACTCCTCTCTATCCCCTCCCAATCATCATCATCACTCTCTAGTTTCGCCTCCTTTTCTTCTTCCCCAAGTCCTTTCCTTCGACTCTCTTCAACGCTAATCGCTTCAGGTTGCAGTTTGGTTTCATTTTCAGCCTCTAATTCTTCACCAATTTCCCCAACTTCTTTTTTCTCCATCTTCTTTTCGACAACAATATCATCAAGCTTCACCTCGATTTCTGCTTCACCGACCTTAGCTTGTTCTGCTTCAAAATCATCGACCTTCTTTGCAGTTTCTGGAAAAAATTCAACTTCCTTTTCACTTTCAAAGCCTTGAGCTTTCAATCTTTCTACAGCCTCATAAACCCCACCTTCTCCAGCTTCAGATTCATCAACCTTGTCAGCAGTTTCTTCAACACATTCAACTTTCTTTTCACTTTCAAAACCATGATCAACCCCAGCTTGTCCTGTTTCAAAAACATCGACCTTATCAGCACTTTCCTTAACAAATTCAACTTTCTTTTCGCTCTCAAGGCCTTGAACTTTCAATTTCTCGGTAAACTCCAACGCTTCCATGATAATCTCATCATCAACATCAATCAAAGATTTTTCCTCCACCCCAGAAACAGAATCACCACCCATAGCCAAGGAAACAATCTTGGCTATAAAGAAAGAAAAAAGAAGAGCAATCAAAGCTGTCAAAAAGAGCTCCAGGATAATCTCCATGATTAAAACTCACAAACCCAAAGATTAAAACAGAAAGAAAAGGTGGGATTAATGAGAATTAAACTGGTCTAACGATGAACTATATAGGGGACCTTTTATTTTTTTTTTGCAAAATTGTAAAAGATGTAAATAAATAAAAAGAGAGAGAAGGATGAGAAGGAAAGGATATTTGTAGAGCAGAGCAAAGCATATTCGGCTGTGAGAGGGGAATGGGATTGGGATCGCTTTCGCTAAGTAAATGGAGGCGGAAGTGGGACCCTTGATTGGCTGGCAACATTGGTTAAATCACCGATTTTTTTAGAAAAAAAGTGCATAAGCCGCCAAATTGAAGCTGACGTGGCGACAGTTTACGCTATGCACCGGGTCGATAACTGTCATCCTGATTTTACTTCCGTGTTTGATTTTTCCTCATTCGCATTAATGGCGCGTGTGGTTACTGTTTGGCTACAATAATTCTCTCTCATAGGCTTCTTTTCCTGCATTTCTGATTTCCATTTCTTGCTGTTAAGGTTTTCGGTTTTTTTCTGTTCCGAAATGTAAGACTTAAAAATGTTAATGTGTTTTGTAAATATCGTGATTTGCGTTGACAAGGATGTTCTTCTTTAATAACGACTTTTAACTCGTTTTTTTTTTTCAATTATTTTTTAGTTTTTTTCATCCCATAAACCATTTTTTTTTTGCTTTAAAATAAAATAACTATGATAAGCTCTAAGATCAAAACACAAAATGATCATATTATTTTAAAATAAAATTTTAAAATAATAAAAAAAATTTAATTATTTCAAATTTTTTTAATAAATTGATGATAAATTTTTATATATTTAAATATAAACTAATAAAAAATAAAAAATTATTAATTTCATTAGCTAATAATATCTCAAATATTCAAGTAATATTTTTAATTTGATCTTTTAGTTTCTTATAAAATTAAAAAAAAAACTTATAACTTATTAATCTGTAAAAAAAAAGAAGAGTAAATCACAACTCAGTAAGTGTAGGCTCATATACCTTATCGGATCAAGTATCGTTTTCATATATATCATATAAATCATTCAAAAAATTTATCAAATCATGATGTCAAAACATTTAAAAAATCATCATTATGTCAAATATTTTGTAATCTATAAATCAATATCAAAATATATCAATTCATAAATCATTGCAAAATATGTCGCTATTCAAATATCATAATTAAACCAAATCATAAATTAATTTTTAAAAATCATAATAAAGCATTATTATTATTATCATTTGTTTATTATTAGCTACGGTCACTATTATAATATGTGACATTGATCGTATCAATAATTTCATCATTCTGATCATTGTTAACTATTATAAGCTGTTAGTCAAGGCTTAATGCTAACTACTATAACTCGTTATCAAGGACGTATGATTATGGCTATGCTAATTATTGTAACTCGTTATTCAAGATTGTAGAACTAGTTTTGATATCGATGATCTCACTTTTTAGATATGTAAAAATATAATAATCATAAAATCATTCCTTAAATATAAATCATTTTTTAATTTAATTCATAAGCAAGATCTATCATTTACATAGTAAATACACAAAATAATCATATGTTTGATCGTATTTTCATATATCGAAAATAAAGAAATATAATACTTATTCATTTAGAAACATACATATATATAGGTTCGAAAACAAGCAAAGTGTGTGAGATTTTATTTACATCATTTCGATTCCACTATTTGATTTTTCTCTCAAAATAATTAATGGCTTATTCAAGATCATTTCAACATAACATAAATTAATCAACCCATTTTGAGATCATTTATGCTAAAAACAACTAAGCTACATAAGGGTTAATTCAACTAACTAATTCTGGTAGCTTGCACTAATATCACTAAAATGACCATATCTCAAATATCTAATTCAAAATTAAGATATTTTTAATGCATTAAAAACTAGACTTGATACGCTTTATAATCATATATGGTCTACCTCTTAATTCTTTATATATTAATTGTAATAATTCTTAAAATTCATGTCATATGTTGTTGCTAGATAGTATGTATACTTTCTAATACAAATTATATATTTATTCATAGGAAACTTCAAATTCAATTTTGCTTCTTTAGATGGAAAATATACTCAATAAGCTTTTTAAGTATATATGGCTTAATCCATAATTTCTTACATAAAATTTAAGACAACTTTCGTAATTCATTACTAATGCTGCTGTCATGTTGCCTATACCTTCTTAAGTAAAAATTTGACAACTTTTTATAAAAAACTCAAAATCAAGTTTCATTTGTTTCATTGGAAATAGATTCAACAAGCTTTTCAACAATATATAATACTTATAGTAATAATCTATCCATTAATACAAAATTTTATTTTTAATTCATTGTTATAGATAATAGTATCTCATCAAAACAAATTTTTTTCTTTAATTTTTAAAAACCAAAATATCTACTTTCATCATTTAAAATCTACTCAATAATCATTATTAAATCTTAATAATATGAAGTAAATAAAACCCAATAATTTACTTAAATTGATCATAAAAATTAAAGAAAGATTTCATAATTTTTCTTGATTTTTTCTTATAATTTTAACTCCAAATAATAACAACCAATATGATATTTTTCTTAAATAAAAAAAGGACATATACTCACATTGAGGAGATTAACTCGATTGTAACCTTTGATTTTGAATTTTGAATTTGATTTTTCATGCTTTTTAACTCTAAGCAAGATGAGAAAAAAGAGCTCTACTTTTCTTTTCTATTTTACAATAATTAAGTTTTCTCTTCTAAAATGCATTTGCCAAACTCTTAATAAACTAAAGAGTTTTAGTAATAGTCTAGCTCAATTATCATTTGGGCTGGCGTATTACAACTATACTTGATATTTGATAATGCTTTTATATTAAGATCATGAAAAAGCAAATTTAAGTAAGAATTTAACATTCATATACTTTTATTTTGTAGTTCTATTATGGAAGGATTATGGTGATCTGAGCTGTATTGGTAAAGAGTTACCTCTTACCAAATTTTTTTTCTATATTTAGCAAAAAATACTCGTTAAATCACTCATTTAAAAAAAATATTTATCTAATTTAAAATGTTGCTATGAAAAATCCTTAGCCATTAAAGGCCTTCTAGTCTATGTGGAAATGTTTTATCATTAACCATCTCCAATTAAAACCAAAAAAGGAGAAAGAGTCTATCGCTTCTCTCATATCCTTCTTATATATAACCAAAACTTTCTTTTAAAAACCCTAAAATTTTCAAACATCTCATCCATGGTTGTGAAGACTCAAAAGAAAAGTAAGAGAGCTGATGAATTGGTTTTTTTCAAAGAAAAAACCAATATAGTTGATGAATTTGCTAAGCCACAAAACAAGGCTTTTGAAGAGCTTAAACTCTTTATTCAAGAAGTTCTTAACAAACACAAATTCACTGTTCCATCTCTATCAGAAGAGAAAATTCCACTTCTTGCGGGCTTGCTTGACAAAGAGCTCAAGAATCAATTAGAAAAGGTTATTTTTATGCACGGATTCGATAAGGAGGGCCATCCTGTTTGCTACAATGTGTATGGAGAATTTCATAACTAAGGAATTCTATTTGAATACTTTTTCTGATGAAGAAAGACTATCCAAGTTGTTGTGGTGGAGGTTTCAGTTCTTGAAAAAAAATACGAAGAAGCTTGACTTCAGTGTCAGGGATACCATGGTTCAGGTTCATGATCTCAAGAATTTTGATGGATCTAGCAAAAAGGAGCTTAAGCAGGCGCTTAACTAGCTTGATTATAAGTATCTGAGTTTGTAATCAAACAGGTATATTCACTTTTTCAATATTTTAATATTTTTATTTTTTGTTAAAATTTAAAATAATTTAATGTTTGTTAAATATTTTAATATTTTTATTATTTTTTTGTTAAAATTAATATAGTTCAATGTTTTGTTTGGATTTTGAAGGTGTTTATCAATGTTCCATTTTAGTATTTAGCTTTAACTAGGATGATTAGTCCCTTCAAAACACAAAGTACCAATAATAAGTTTGTGTATCCAAGTCCATCCAAATCTGTAAAAACCCTATTCAGGTATTTGGATTTCACTAATTTCTTCTCTTTTTAATTTGCTTGCTCATGAAAAGGTATCTTACAATTCTCTCTAGACATTATTGCATTGTTTGATTAATATAAATTTTTTAATTGACTTCTAATATTTTTCATATGGTATTTCATATAATTTTTTTTTTTAATAATTAGATGTATTGCTCCTGAATAAGTACCAGTCCAATATGATGGACTGAGCAGAGATGGTGACCAAGAATTTACTGTTGCTGATATTGTCACGGAGGTTACAATAGTGCCAACAACCAGTCACGACATTGAATTCCCTGTAACGGAGGTAAGTAAAAAAGATTTGGATTTTTAATTTTTATTCATATATATAATATAAAAAAAAATAAAATTGTTGTTGAATTAGCAGAAATTTCATCCGGTTTTGTAGTTCCGAATTATGGGTTGGGATGTCATATATGGAGTTATATTTGTGCCGACTGTTGAAGATGAATATCCTTTGATTTTCAAGAAAAAGAAAAAGAAGGTTATCCTGGCTGATGCAACAGTGATCCGTGATAGTTTTGTAATTGGTGAGCCCGGCAAGGTTGTTCTCACCATTGATAACATGACCTCAAAGTTAATAACGCTCTTATATGATAAAGCCTTATTCCAATTGAAATCAGAAGCCTTCAACCTTAGTAAAAATTCCATAACTTAGAATACGAACAAGAATAAGCTTGCTTTTGTTTTTTAAACTATCTTTTCTTATAGGGAGTGCACTATATTACAATTATGGTCAATTATTTAAAATCAACTATAATGAATTTTTTTAACATTTTAACTTTAATTAAACTCAAGATATTAGTTTTTTTTTTGTTACATCATAAAAGTAAAATTCTAATACAAATAAGGAGGAAAAGAGAGATCTGGCTTGAAATTAAGCTCTTGATATTCTTTTTAACGTCTTTAATCACTAAATCAAAGATTTGAAAACAAGATATTAGTTTAATCAATTAACATCCGCCTCCTAAGTTTTGGTGATTACATGTCATATCAATCTTCTTGTTATTACAAGGAAATTGCTGTGAATCAACTTGATTTTTATTTTCTTTTTTAATAAAAATTACAAATTTTCCTTCTTTTCTTACTCTTATACTATAGGAACATGATCATCTTAATCAGACAAGTGAAAAATATAACATTCTGTTTTAAGGGACAGTTGGAGTATTGGTCTTTAGCTTTTATGGATACAAACCTAAATGGGACAATTGGTATATTTTCGGTTGCATTTCATTTTTTCCTTCTCACACTTTTCCATCATATCAAGCATAATGCGGATATAAATGTGAAAGATACATGCTATTATCATATATTTATAATTGATTTGAGTGATGAGGGTCCAAGTCAATTTGTAGGCCGAGGGTTTCTTTATTGTCATTTTTCTTAGGTTTAGTTTACTATTACTGTTAAAATTAACTTTAGAAGTTAAAAATTAATTTTGATTCAATTTTAATAATAAAAGATATAATTTTTCAGTTTAAAAATTTAATTTGTAAACCCAAATAAAAAGTCCTTAGAAGATGTGATTTTGCCATAAAAAATATTTGAGATAAAAATTATTATATTACCTCATATTTTAATATTTTATTTTTTTATCTTAGACATTTCACTTTTTCACTACAACATTAAACAATTAAAATTTCTAACAACATTTTTCTTATCACATTATTTAAATCCACTTTTTCCAACTTTATTTTTTTTCATCCATAACAATAATAATATTAAACACTTAAAATTTTAATCACACTTTTTGCAAATGCAAAAGAATGCTAAACTAATCCTCATCTTGTAATCCTTGTTTGCCTGGACATTCCCGAGAGTTACTCCCCTTATTTGGATGGTTAAGGAACTTAGAATGCTGGGAAAAATTACTCCTTGATAGTACCTTTACTATAACTCGACAGCCATATTTCTCCTTGTCACCATCAACTGCAGTCTCAGCCAGGCTACATCCACAAATGTTTAACATATGCAATGTCAAGAAATAAATGACATAGCATGGCCCCAATCCACAAATATTCGTGTTCGCTATTAATTCCTCCCTACATTTTTTTAATGCATTATAGATGATCATATGACTAAACTTCATTGAGTTTCCGAAGCTTCTCTGCCTCGACCTGCTTTTGCTCCCATTCTTCCCTAGCATTCCGGTTCATCGTCATAATTTACTGCCGAACATTTGAGGTGATAAGCGTCTACTGCCAAGACTTCTCAAAATCAACCCGATACAAGAGATTCATTCCAAATTAGAAAGATATAAAGAAAATTCATGTTAACTGAAAGGAATTGAGGCTGACTGTTATGACGTCTGATTAAATTGCATATGAGCCCACACATTCTTTCCTCCACACACTAAAGATTCAGATACATGAGGAAATGTATAAACTCATTAAAAAGAAATGGGACAAGAAGCTAGCATCTAACCTGGGACAAGCATCGTTCAACATCATTGCTTATATTCTTCAAACCACTTTTGGCCTCTGCAAGAAGACACAGAAAAAACAGACATGAATTTGTGAGAAAGATATGGCTTAATGAAAAGTAGATGTAAACGTGTGAAATTAAAGAACTTTAGACCAGGGAGGTACAAAGAATATTAATTAATTTCACCCAGTTTCTTCTGCAAAGGGGTTTTCTGCAAATAAGTCTTTCTTCTTCCTCTTGCACAACCCTTCTATATGCTTCAGAAACTCGACTCTCATCCTTGAGGCCAGAAAATAGTTGTTCCTCCTCTTCCTATTTGATAGCAGAATGTTAAAAGGATGTGATTTCTATTTTTAGGGCTTATATATCTTTACATAATTACTTAATAATTAAATTTAGGCAGAGGTGACCATAATGTATCATAACCTGAGATTGACTCCGCTGAAAGCAGTGACATCATTCAGTTGTTCAATGCTCTGATCTGAAAAGGCTGCAAACACTTTTTGCTTCATACTGTCTGAAGCCCCATTGAATATGGGCAAAAAATGAAGTAATAAGAGGTTAATATCAAGAAGGAATCAAATGATTCTTAATTGATCCTTGATAATGATTCCAGGCTATCATGCAACAGAGAGATTTATTTAACCTTCACAGTGTTGGTGATGAACGAAGAGCTTCAAGTGGTTTTCTTCTGGCCAACAGAAGGCCTTTTGTGGGATGTTCTTGCATTGACCCCAGCTGAAGTGGGCAAGGTGGATTCTGAGCGCTTAACTGATAAATATAGAACAAACATGGAAATTTGACAAAAGAAAGCAAGAAGTCATAAGCATGCACTTCAATGGGGAACACTAAATTATATAAATTTCAAATATGTGAACTGAAAAGAAAGTAAATTCAAAATTCAAGAATAATAACATATATAAAATTTCATGTTTCAACCGCGCTGTTAATGTAGGACAGATTTTGGGATCTTTGCCTACTGTAAAGTCAGAACAACTAAAGAGCTTAGTCTAACACGTCAGCAAGACAGCACATGATCCATTAACATAGGTCAAGGTTACTTGCCCAATAAAGACAAAAAATCCTGAAAAGACTATCAGACAAAGTGACAAACAACTCGGTTCCCTACATCAAAGTGGCTATACCTAGCAATTCGTGTATACGAATGTCATAACTAAAAGAAAGAATCAGTCCAAGATGCAAATATTTAAGGTATAAATTTTCATGTAGAGTTTCTTCTAATAGACATAGCAAGAGCATCCAAAATCGTCCATCAAAATACACAATGAGAAAACATAGACTTGTAACCAAAAAAAAAAAAACATAGACTGAGATGAGCTTACCGGGACATTAGAATCCATAGACTGAGACGAGATTACCGGGACATTTGAATCCATTTGAGTCGTGATGGAAGGAGAAATCAAATTAGGAGGTACCATAGTAGTAGGTGTTAAGAAGCCAATTTTAGAAGACTACTTCTCTAAAGACTCATCCTTTGAAATAGGCATTTACCTGTCTTACTGGTGCAGTAGACAATCCTTGGGTTGCAAATAAACGAGGTCTGTCCTGCTGCTCGGCAGTTTGATCAACAGATTCTTGTTTCATATACGTCACTGTCAACAAATGCCAGGATTTGGCTCCTTAATTGATGAGATTTGCTAAGGAACTGAACTGCTTGAAAAGGGAAACAGATACACACTGCGATCTATTTGGTCATTAGTATATTTTGCCTCTCAAGCTTAGGTCCACTCATCATGTTCTTTGCCTGATTGATCCTCCTACAGGATTTGATCCCATACTTTGATGATGTGCAATTTGCCTAATTTGAGAATCATGAGGTTGCAGCTTTAGAGAGGAACTTGAAGTATTAACATTTGGCCGAGAGTATAGGTACTACTCCTGTACATGGCAAAAGAAGTTTGTGGGAAATTCAAATGTTGTTGCTGCTGCTTGTTAATTCCTTGTACAGGAATTAAAGAATGATCTCTTTCTTGATTCGCAGTGGTTGAACTGGAGGAAGAAATTTTGGTTCCTAGCACTCCAAAGCGAGAATCTGATTGGTGATCCATCTTGTGAGATTTTTTTACTTGTTTTCAATGGAAAAATAACTTGAATTAGTCAGCATGGAGACAGCTGGAGAAGAGGCGTGAGATGGATTTGCAGGAGAATTAGGGCCTTCTTGGGGCAGCTGAGCTAATGAATGTGGACCAGCGAACTGTGTGGCACCACCAACAGATGCCGTCCGTGGAGAATTCTGTTGTGCTGCAGCCTGGGACTGTAATAAGAATTGGTTGGAACTTATTTGAAAGTATGAATCCGAAAGTATCGCAAACGGTCCTCTCTCATTTTCTTTTCAATTTGGAACACTTCTAATTTTTTTTTGAATCTCTTCATTTTTTATTTTGTCTCTTTTAGTTTTATCACACATCCATCTAAACATTCTTATCTCCGTTACGTTAATTTTTTTCTCATATTATTTCTTAACAGCCCAACACTCAGTTTGATATAGTAATGCAGGCTCTACAGTTGTTTTATACAACTTTACTTTTAACTTTAATGGTATATTACAATCACACAAAATACCCGATGTACTTTGTCATCTCGCCCATCCTACTTGAATCTTATGTTTGACATTTCTATCTTAGTATCACTCTAAATAATTGATTTCATATATCGAAATTGGTTACTTTTTGGTACTCTCCCACCATCTAACTTAATTACATTAGTATCAACTTCTTTGTGACTACTAAACTTGCATTCATATATTTAGTTTTAGATTTATTTAATTTAAAATCTTAAGACTTTAATGTACTCCTCCATAATTATAATTTCGTATTAAGGGCATCACAAGTTTTAGTAACTAAAACTATATCATTGGCAAATAACATACACCATGGTACCTTATCTTAAATACATCTAGTGAGTTAATCCATAACTAATGCAAAAAAAAAAAAAAAAAACCTTAGTGCTAAGCCTTAATTGAATCCTAAAATAATAGGGAAGCTATCTGTCATGCTCCCAACCATCCTCATATTTGTTACCACTCCTTCATCTATATCTTTAATTATGTTAATATACTTTAAAGAGACTCTTTTTTTCATTAAGGCTCACCAAAGCACCCTTCGAGGAACTTTATCGTATGCTTTTTTCAAATAGATAAATGTCATATGTAGATCTTTCTTTCTCATTTGAAAACCTTTCAATAAAAGCCTCAAAAGGTTGATTGCCTATGTTGTGGAGTGTCTTGGCATAAATCCAAATTGGTTTTTGAAAATAGTGACCTCATGTCGCAACCTAGATTCAATTACTCTCTCTTAAAGTTTTATAGTATAACTCATAAATTTTATTCATCGATAGTTCAAACAATTTTGTATATCACCTTTATTCTTATATAAAGGCATAAGGGTGTTCTTTCTCCATTCTTTTGGCATCTTTTAGGTACATCAGATTTTGTTGAAAAGATCCGTCAATCATCTTATCCCTATTTCAAACAAGCATTTTCAAACTTCAATTGAGACTCTATTTGGTCCTATAGGTTTCTTTAATATCATTCTACTCAAAGTCTCTTTAGTTTTATAACTTTTAATATTACGCTTAAATAAACGATTTACATTTTGAGAAGGTATATTCGACCCACTTATATCATGTTTAAAACTACTATTAAAGAGATTATCAAAATAATTTTTTTATCTCTTTTTAATCTCCTCATTCTTCATTAAAACTCTTTCGTCTTTACCTTTGATGTATTTAACGCCATAAGATCTCTACTCTTCTTATCTCTCATTTTAGCAATTTTGAACAAATTTTTTCTCCAACTCTTATATTTAGTTTTCTATATAGCATCTCATGGATCCTACTTTTTAAGTTTTTTTTTTTTTTGTTATGTGAGTAAAAGTTGCTCTTTAAGTCTTGAATAGCCTTCTTAGTTTGCTTTTTTGCTTTCTTATACTTTCGATAACTCTCCACATCCTTATTGTTCCATAAATTTTTATAACTATCTTATTTAGCTTTAGTTGCCTTTTGCATATCCTCATTCCATGATCAAGATTCTTTTCCTAATGGTACCTTACCCTTAGATTCCCTAAGTGTTTTTTAGCAACCCTTTGAATTTTGGCTGTAATATTTTTTCACATTACTTTTACATCCTCATTAAGCTTTCAATCAACTTCTTTTACTAATCTATCCCTAAACACTATCATTTTGTCCCCCTTCAAGTTTCACCACTTAATACGTAATTTATGACTCTGATATCTCTTCTTTAACTTCATGAAGTGGAATAGATTAAGTACTAACAATTTATATTGTGTGGCCACACTCTTACATGGTATAACCTTGCAATCCTTACAAATATTTTTCTTTTTTTTCTTGTAAAAAAGAAACCAATTTGACTAACATTCGATCAATTCCTAAATGTCACCAAGTGTGATTCCCTTTTTCTTAAAACATGTGTTTAATATCGTTAGGTCAAATGCAGTAGCAAACTCTAAGATAGTTTCTTTGATATTGTTTCTTTTTTTAAAGCCTTATCTTTCATGTACCTTCTTAAAGTCATTACCATCCATGCATATGTGACTAATCATGTCTCTTCCAATATATAATTTTTCTCCCTATGGTATAGCTCACATTATCTTGTCTAAATCTTCTCAAAATTTAATTTTTCTCCCTATGGTATAGCTCACATTATCTTGTCTAAATCTTCTCAAAATTTTTGCTTACTCTTATAATTCAAACCTATTTGCAGGGCGTAAGCACTAATGACGTTAACAATTTTTTCTTCTAAAATAAGTTTAACAAGTAAAATTTTATCTTTTTTTCTTTTAACCTCAAGCACATTATTCCTCAAATTCTTATCAACAATTATCCATACTCTATTTCTACTATTCTTTTTTCCTGTGTACCAAAACTTAAAGCTTTATGTTTCTATCTCATAGCGTTTTTCCCTACCCATTTAGTTTTTGGAGACACATAAGATTAATTCCTTTTCTAGCCATTACATCTCTTGTTTCTACAAGCTTACCAATTAATGATCCTATATTTCAAGTAGTTAAGCATAATTTACCTTTATGGACTAGTTTCTTTATTCGTGTTTGTCTACCAAAACATGAGAACCCTTGCTTATTTGACACCGCACGCAGGCGGTAATGTGGCACGTCACTTTCGGGTGACGACCTAGCAACCCTTGCATATTGAACATTACATCCAAGCTTCAATGTAGCGTTTTGCTAGAAGGTAACGACCCAATGAGAATTCTTGTTTTGATCTTTCATCATGGTTTGACTATGTTTTGCACTAACTATCAACCTATCGCAACCCTCCTTCTTTATCTAGGCTTGGGACTGGTAGTGTGATAACACATAGACAGAGTTGCCCATATATTTCATTGCATTTAGAATTATCACCACTCTTCATTAAGGTATTATGATAGTTCTAACATATTTTATACTAAATGATACTAATTTTATGACAATTTTTACATTTTTACATTATGATACTTTTTAACACATTTTACATTAAATTATACCAATTTTACAATTTTTTTTATATTTTTATATTAATATTTATTTTTAGGTTTAGAAATTTTTTTATTTATAATAATTTTTTATGTTATCAATTTAATTATTTACGTTACAATAAAATCTGTTACGTTTATTTTTATATTTTATTATATTTAAAATTACCACAACATTTTTTTAAATATTACAACACTTCAAATATATTTTACGTCAAATTATACCAATTTCACAATTATTCTCATCATTTTATGTTAACTTTAATTTTTTGTTTTAAAATATTTTTTATTTATAATAATAATTTTTTACATTACTTACTTAATTATTTACGTTATAATAATATCTTTGTATACTTATTGTTACCTTTCATTACGTTTAGGATTATCATAATTTTTTTTTTAAAATATTATGACACTTCTAACTATTTTACACCAAATGATATCAATTTTATGATTACTCCCACCTTTTTTATATTAACACTTATTTTTTTGTTTATAATTATTATTTATTTGTAATAATAATTCTTTATGCTGCAAAAAATATTATTTATGTTATAATAATTTTTTTATACTTATTCTTACTTTTTAATATGTTTGAAATTATTATAACTTTTTGTTAAGTTATTACAACGCTTCTAATCCAATTTACATCAAATAATACTAAATTTACAATTATTCTTATCCTTTTATATTATGAAATTATAGCATAATTTACATTAAATAATTTCAAATTTTCAATTATTCTCACCTTTTTATGTTACCACATTTTTTTTTGTTTAGAATTATTTTTTATATTGTTAATTCATATTTACATTACAATAAAATTTTTTATTCTTATTCTTACCTTTTATTATATTTAGAATTATCACAAAATTTTCTTAAGGTATTACGATATTTCTAATATATCTTACATCAAATGATACTAATTTTATAACTATTCTCACTTTTTACGTTAACACTTATTTTTTACTTAATTAATAATACTAATTTTTTTGTGTTACCAATTTATTACATTTCAATTTTATCTTTTTATGTTTCTTGTTATTTTTTATTATGCTTAGAATTATTATAATTTTTTTCTTAAGGTATAACAATACTTCTAACTATTTTACATTAAATAATACTAATTTTACGATTATTCTCACCGTTTTACATTAACTCTTAATTTTTTTTAAAAAAATATTTTTTATTTATAATAATAGTTCTTTTAAATTACCAACTTAATTATTTATATTCTAATAATAAATTTTTACGCTTATTACTACCTTTCATTACGTTTAGAAGTATTAAGACTTTTTTTTTAAAGGTATTATGACTCTTCTAACTATTTTACTTCAAATAATACCAAGTTTATGATTATTCTCACATTTTTTTATACTAACACTTTTTTTTTATTTAGAATTATTAATTATTTGAAATAATAATTCCTTTACGTCGCCAAAAATATTATTTATGTTACAATAAATAATATTTTTTTATACTTATTCTTATTTTTTATTACGTTTAAATTTATCACAATTTTTTGTTAGGATGTCACAATAATTCTAATCTAATCTATGCCAAGCAACACCAATTGTACAATTATATTTATCTTTTTACGTTGCGACACTTTTAGCACATTTTACACTAAATTATTACAATTTTATAATTGCTTTCACTTTTTTACGTTAATATTTTTTTATTTAGAATCATTTTTATTTATAACAATAAATTTTATGTTATTAATTTAATTATTTACATTATAATAATATCTTTTTACTCTAGTTATTACATTTTATTATGTTTAGAATTTTAATAACTTTTTCTTAAAAAATGTTAAAACACTTCTAATCATTTTATGTGAAAAATATCAATTTTACGATTATTCTTATATTTTTATGATAACACCTATTTTTTGGTGTAAGATTATTTTTTATTTATAATACAAATTTTTTTATATTATCAATTTAATTATTTACATTTTATTTTATTTTTTTACATTTTTTACTTTTCATTACATTTAGATTTAACACAATGTTTTATTAAAGTGTAATGGTACTTGTAACCATTTTACACCAAATAATACTAATTTTATGATTATTTTCACTTTTTTACATTAACTATTATTTTTTATTTAAAATTATTTTTAATTTGTAATAATATTTTTTACATTATTTTTGTAACAATAATATTTTTTTATGTATGTTGTTACTTTTCATTACGTTTATCATTATTACAACTCTTTGTTAAGTTGTTACGATACTTCTAACTCATTTTTTGTTAAATGATATCAATTTTACGATTATTATCAAATTTTTATATTAACACTTATTTATTGATTTAAAAATTATTTTTTGAGTTTAAGGTAATAATTCTTTTTCGTTGTTAACTTAATTATTTATATTATAATAATATCTTTTCACGTTTATTTTTATTTTCGTTACATTTAAAATTATTATAATTTTTTTTATTTAAGATGTTACATATTTCTACAACATTTTAGTCGAATAATATCAATTTTTAGGTAAATTGTTGACCTGGTCATTAATGGATTAAAGCCCACTATATATGTTGATGGGCCATTATCTCTAAATTACAACACCAGACTTGGTTGTTCTTTCGGTTGAAGCGCACCTTACCGAAATGGTTAGCAGCGGCAACACTTTAAAAGGCTTGAGCAAACTCTGCCTTCGACTCTCCTCCGATAGCCATTTGCTCCTCCATGGCAAAAGCTTCACGGATGCTTCTCTTACGAACCTAAGGTGGAGATTTTACTCTTTGTCTTCCCCTCATAAACTCCCAAGTTTCAAAGGATCTCCTCCTTCGCGTTCATTTTCAAGCTCGTCATCGTCGTCAGAGGTTGGGTTTTTGGGATGGTATTTAGGGAAGCTCGGATCTAATCCGCTTATTACAAAAGCGATCACAACTTCGATTATCTTTGCTGCTGCTGATTTTACTTCCCAGGTAAATCCCTAGATTCTCGTTTTTCCTCAAACCAAATTTAATGTTCCAAAAGTTTCAAATTTGCGAATAAAGTCTGAAATTTTGACATAATTTCAGGATAATGTAAGAGTTTCCTTCAACATTTCATATTTGCGAATTGTTTATAACTAAAGTGTGATATCAAAGAAAGGAGATCACTCTGTTATACACCCATGATGGCTCCAATTCTCTTGTATACTTAGAGGATTGTGGAGCTGCAAATTACCCAATTTATTAGTTTTACAATGTTTTGTTGGTATTTGATTCTGACTAAACTCTGAAACTATTCGGTTGCTCTAGATGGAGATACAATTCAGCCTTAAGGAAGAGATGTCAGAGTCTGTTGAACTCCTGTTAGGTGTTTGCATGATGTTTGCATTTACAATTGTTATGCATAGGGGGGAAGAATGGCTGTGCAACAATACAATTATTATAGTTTGTTGAATTATGATTTTCTGTGACTTTTTTTCTTAAAGATTTGCATTTCTATAATGCTGCTGTTTTGATCTGGTGATTCACCATAATTTCATTTCCTTCTCACATGTTTATAAATGACATCTTTGTTAGATGATCACATCAGCATCTTCTGGATATGACTTGGTAAGGACATTAAGGATGGCTGGATATGGGTCGCTTCTCTTGGGGCCATCACAGCATCTTTGGTTTAACTTACTGTCTAAAGCTTTACCTAAAAGGGATATGCTGACAACCTTCAAGAAAATGTTTATGGGGCAGGCTATCTTTGGACCTGTGAGCACGACTGTTTTCTTCTCCTACAATGCGGCTCTACAAGGTAAGAGATTTTTTTTTCTTTCTTTGAAAGGAAAAAGAGCTACTTTTTATCAGTACAATGTTGGGACTTTCGGTTAAACTATATTCCCAAATCTCAACCCGCTTGGGTGGGACCTATTATAGTCCTTGTGGAATTCAGCAGGCCATATAGTAGATATCTAACCATCATTATTTCATGGACTCTTTTCAGCTGAACTCCTGAGACCTTTTCTTGGATGAAATGGTTGCCTGGCTTTAAAACCCTTCGTTTTATTGTCTTTGTAATGGGACCTTGTTCTTGTTTTGGTCTTTTGTTGGCTAACTCCAGCAGTTGAATCAATCCTCTGAAAATGGAGCACGATAGCTTAGTTCTTCTACTGCTAGGGTTTTCAAAGATGAAAGCCTGGTCCCCTATCTTGTACTTATCGTATATAACTTTCAGGTTGTGTTTTGTGGTGTTCTGTTTACAGTAAAGCATTAATCTCTGACTTCTTATTGTGGTGCCAAACTCAGGTGAAAGTGGTGAAGAGATTGTGGCTAGATTGAAGCGTGACCTCCTCCCGACATTGATAAATGGTGCTATGTTCTGGCCAATCTGTGATTTTGTTACATACAAGTTCGTACCTGTCCATCTCCAGGTAATTTTGTGTTGCTTCCATTTTTTGTTTTATGACTCAGTTAATGAAATCCTTGTTTGAGCAGTGGAGAATGTTATTGCGCTGTTACAACTTTCCCGCTATAACTAATACCTTGCTAATATTTTTTTGACAGCCTTTAATGAACAGTTCATGTGCCTACATGTGGACAATTTATTTGACATACATGGCAAGCTTAAAAAAAGCGAGCATTGACTAATGAGGCTTTTGAGTTTGAATCTTGAGGTATTTATTCTCAGAGTTGTTCAAGTTAACTGCATTAACACGTAATTGAGATACACTAGTGAAAAGCAACCTTTAGGATTGAATATTTGCTATAATGCAGGTAACCATGCCTCAAGTTGTTTAGAGTTAGATTTTTTAAGTCAGCTTTGTAGCTGTTTTAAGCATTCTGATACGTGATTCTTGGTATTCTTTTATTGAGCTATTTCACGATGATTTTTTTTTTAATTACTTATTATTGTATTCTATTACAAAGGAACTTATCATTTGGTAATTTGATTTCTGATATTGCCTCTTCATATACTGAGTCTAAAATCTAAATAGATGGAACATGGATATGATTTAGGTTGATTGCCTCCGTCGGTTGGTTAGTCCAATGGTACCTGGCTTTTTTCGTCTGTATGTGACTAGTTTTGATGGGTTGGAGGAACGGATTGTAAACGTTGAATCGTAATTGACGAAGTAAACAGGACTCAATAAACCAACGAAACTATGGTAAACATAAAGAAAATGATAGTATGAATGGCATTTGGAGAGAAAAATTCTAACAATTCGAATATTTACATAATATTAAACGTTGACGATTTGTATATTCATTTTATATTTTATATAAAAATTACATATTATAATTTATATCCAAGTAAAAATATGAAAAATATTTCTTATTTTTTTAAAACATATTTCTTAAAATTTTAAATTAATGTTATTTTTTATATTTTTGTACTATTTTGATATTGCTTTTTTAAAATTATAATTATAATAAAATATTATATTTATATTAATTAAAAAATTAATTATTACATTATAATTAAATTATAATAATTAAATAATCAATTAATAAATTAAAACATAATTAAATAATCAAAACAATTAAATTTATGCGTAATAGAACTTGAGACATTCTGAGATTTGCTCTTTGATACTGAACCAAAGCCTCATCCTTTGATCACATACAACCGCTAACGTGGCCTCGCCTACTAAATCCTCTACTTTCTTTTCCTCTTTTTTGAATCTTGCGGTCAATGTCACGCGACATTTGTTTGGCCTCAACCAGACTCCACAAAATTCAACCACACGCCACGGCAAATCCTTGGAGGGTCCAATAACATAACGCGCTCACGTGGCTGTACGATACGATAAACAAGTAACCAATTGCAAACCTCCACGTCGGATAGAAAAGCACCACCGGGTCTGGTAGTTACCAGATTTGCCGTCGCGATCGAAAGCGACAGAGTCATTTAGTCCAAACACGTGTCCTAACGGCTGAAACGACAAGTGGCACCCTTACGACGACATGCTGTCGTCATCCGCATACGCCATCTGTTTTTATTTTTGGTTCAAAAAAGCCATTAAAATGCAGAACACGAAGAGCTGTGCATTGCCAGAGCAGAGAGGAAACAAAAAGGAAAAAAAAAATACAGCGAACGAAAGAGAAAGAGAGAGAGAGAGAGAGGTAAAGCAAAGCTTTTAAACATCTAGTTTCTTACTTCGATTTAATATTTCTTGGATTATTAATTTTTCTTTGATTTTTCTTTTTGGTGAATTTGGTTGCAGGAAATTTAAAATCTCATTTTTTTTTTCTTTTTCCTTTCTCAGAGGATTTCTCTCTCTCTCTCTCCTCTCAGCTGGAGGAGACGAAGAAATTTCAGTTGGTAGAAGAATGCAAGTCTTTGATAGGATGACGATTCCAATGCGTAGAGTTTGGGCCGGTGTGGCCACGCGCTTCGGGGTTCGTAAAAGCGGTAAGTCTCATTTCTCGGCAACCGTCTGATTCATTTGCCGCCGATTTGATTATTTTAATTTCCGTTTGAGATCAAGAAAGCATTTTTCTTTTCTTTTCTTTTATCTTTTTCTTAGAAGTTTTGTAAGTGTTTTTTTTTTTTTTGTCAATTGAAATGTTTATGAACCATACCATCATTTTGGCTAAGATTTTTTATTAAACAAAATATTTATTTTTGTGGCATGCGTGTTTTTCTTCAATAGGATGATTATTGGATAATTGAATTTTTAAGAATAATTAGGGAATGTTATGTTCTTCACTTGGGATCAATCATTGAAACTGTCCGTGGCAATCTCAAATTACGGCTTTACCATGAAAAGTAAAGATTCCCATGTGTTTTTACGTTTTACGAGACGATCAGCTACATTTGAAGAAGGGGATAAGAAATCATGTAGAGGGCATGGTGGATATAAGTAATTAAAGGCTAACATCGATACTCTGTTGAGAACCATTTTAAACGACATGGAATTCGGATTTTTCCATAGTTATTTAGGAATGTTGCAACGAAATTGGATTGTCTGAAACTACAGAGAATTCCTTCGGTATGAGTTCACCCGGTTACTTAGCCATTGTGTTTCTGGGATTGAACAGGGCTATCGAAGCTGCGAAAGGATGTGAGATGTTGTGAGTATGAGGATGTGCATGTGATGTGGGAGATGCTGAGGAAAACTGAAACAGAATTTGGTCGATCCCCAAAAAGATGCAAGAAGAGACCATTGACGAATTGCTTTGAATGGGCTCCTTTTCTTTGTCGCAGCTTCTGAACATGTGATTTTCACTCAGGGTTTCAGTTTTCATCCTATCTTCCGGGTTAGAAACGTTTGAAGTTGATATCGGTCCAACCACAATAAAAAAGAGAGAAAGGATGGATTGGCTTATGAGATTTGCCCCTCTTCCTTTTTATGTCAGCTATCTGTAGATATTAATTGCCTGCCAAGTGAATGTGCTCCATTACTTCCTATCTTCACGCTCTATCTTGTACTATGTGGTATATGTGTTTTTTGTTGTCTTAAAAAACATGCTGCCATGTTTATGCTATTATATATATAGGGTATGAGGTAGCTGCTCTACCTTATCTATGAACTTTTGAATGATCCCTTTACAATTTTTGGGTGTGCTCTTTCTCTTTTTTGGCCATTATTTGGGCATCTTTACATGACAATATGCAAAAAACATGGTGTTAAAATCTAAAATTTTGATAGGTAGTGTGAAAGGCTTAGGCATTTGGTTCATTTTGAATCTTTCTGGAATGCTTCAGCTAATAATTGATCAAAAGGAAATAGTATGATTTTTCCATTGATAGGAAGGTGATCATCCTTGCAGCTAATGTCATTTGAGGGTGGTTTCTGTGATGTGCTAGGTGTCCTCCCTCCTTGAGGTTTCCGTTTCTGTTTTTGAAATTAAATTGATCGGTAAAGGTCTAAATCAATTTGATTTTGATCGTTGCTGGTGCATTTTGTCATGGTTTGTATAATTCATTCTTCATTTGATCAAGACATTACGCAAGCATTTATTCTGACCATCAAAATTGCATTGATTGGGTTAGATTTAGTTATGATCTGAAAGCTAAAGGTCTCCAAACCATAAACGTTGTGATGTCAAATGCTGTTGATTTCAGCTCCAAATCAAATACTATACTCAAAATTCAAGCACAACACCATTCAAAAGTAAAATGCCATTTATGGGTTTAAGCCCATGTTTTCTGCCCATTGGATGCTATTAGGAAAGCTGCTTCTCCTCCTCTTGGGTCCTCCATGGGTCTAATTTTTGTATGGGCATTTCCTCCCAAATCCTAAACCAAGCCCAACTTTTCCTTTCGGAGCTTATCACAAATGAAATTCTGAATCCAATTTTGGTGTTAATTCAATAATTGCTAGGCTGTTAGTTGGTGGCATCCAAATTGAGCGTTCTTGGCTGCTGATTGATGTTCCTGCGAATAAGTCAAGTAACCAAAGCAGGCAGCCTAACGCAATGACCAGTTTGAAGAGATTAGAATCCTTGGTTATAACAACTTACAACAACATCCGTCGATAATAACTCCTTGTTTAATTATATCAAAGAAGCCAAGCCGCCAAGAACATCACTTTTCATGTTCACCGCATCCAGTGTTCCACAACATCCACGATTGATATTAAGGGTCGTTGTAAAATGGGCCGACACTATTCTTATGACTTTGAGTCCTGAGGTTGGTTAAATGCGAAGCGAGCGCTCTAGCATGTCAGGTACAGTCCCTCGATCAGCCTTTTGGCATGGTCGGTCTTTTTTTGTTAATTTTGTCTAGGAACTTGAATCCTACAAAGTGACAAAATGGTCAGTCTCTGTCTGAGAGAAGGCAAGCAAGCGGTGCACAAAAAGTAAAAACGAAGTGCATGGCAGTTGGCACAAAACAAAATGCTAAAGCGTTCCATAGTCATAAACATGGCCAAACGGCTCGCATTCCATCACACATCTTTTATTTTTCTTGCTGCATTAAAGTCTCTTCTTTCATTCCTTATACTGTGACGGTGTTCACTCCCCTTGCAAAAGCAATGGCAATTACTCCCTTCTCTGCATCCCTACTACAGCCATGAGAGATCAGACAATGAAATTCACATGCTTTCTTTTATTATTCACTTACTTACCATTAAAGTTTTACAATATTTATTTATTTATTTTTATATATCAACGAGTTCAAAGGCATGGGCCGTTCTTAGGCACTAGGATAGTACTCACCCCTACTTCATCTCCTTATCTCCACGGATTTTCCGGTAGTCTTTGAAGTTTTTCAAATCTGGGTGACGAAAGCTGGGATTCCAAGTTTTTTTCTTTTTTTTTTTAAAATATATTTTGATCGGAAGAAAAATGTTAATGGGCTGAGTTGCTGCATATAAGGAGTTTTTGAGAGGTTTTCTGAGGGTGTAATTGTAAAGGACAAATACACTTACTTGTTTTGAAGGGGAAATCGTCATCTGCCAATAACATTGACATTATGAAGGTTCCTGGGATTTGGGTTTTCTTCTTTGTGGTCGGAACAGCTTTGTTTGTCTTTACCTTCTCCAGCAGCTCCTCCATTCATGGTAAATATTTTTAACTTGTCATTTTCTTTCACTTCGACTAATTGGTCTAGATAGAATTCGTAAGAGTAAATTGGGGGATGTGTTATTGCCAAATGCATGGTTTCTTAACCTGATGTTATACTATATTGCATGAAACCTGAAATGCCAGTTAACCTTATCTTGTTATATTGTTGTATGTCGATAGTTTTGTTCAACTGTCTCAAATTCTTTATTCTCCAGCAGTCTTTAACTCCCACTTTTTTATGATAGTGTTTAGTTGTTTCAGTTAATATGCCTAGAGAATTTTTTTATGATAGTGTTTAGTTGTTTCAGTTAATATGCCTAGAGAAATTTTGCTTTCTGTCTCATTCTTTATTGGTTGTTGCCTTGTTGGTTATAGGGGAGGGTTTAAAGCAATTATTTGTGGTCTATTTTTATTATATTTGTAACTATTTGATCAACTTTTAAGCTTTGATTGGTCCATTTTAGATCATGCCAGTAATTGTATAGCTTAGGTTGCAACTTGCATGTCAAGGCAATTCATGATATCTACTACCAATTCTTCCTCACTCACTGACTGATCAGAAATGTCCTCTTCTTTTGCCTAGATGAACTGATGAAGATCAAATATTTTTGCTAAATTTAATGCAGTGCGTTGATAAATCTAGTAAAACAACAGCAACCAGATATATATCATTGTAGGAATCAACAAATATATGTTAATAGCAGCTGACTTCTTAAATGTCATTCCAGGTATGGAGTTTTCCCAACATGGTGATGGTACGAGTCTAACAGGAACAAGTAGGAAGCTGAGGGTAAATCCACTATATGGCCAAAATCAACTTAGAACTTTTTCTTTGTGGATTTTGAGACATTTTCTCTTCTGAAATTGCAGGGGAATGGCTACAATCCAAGCAATGAAAAGAAGGGCAATGTGGATCTAGAAGATTATCATCCTATCGATCCAGTTCCAAGCTCAAGGGGCTCTATAAATCCTGGTCCTATCGAGCATGGTAGTCCTCTTATCCCATACATACCAAAACCTTCACCTCCGGGTCATCCCAAGATTGGTGGTTCCACTTAGCCATCGGAAAGTCATTTCTATGATCTAAAGAATGTGGCATGTGATCTGTATCATCTGATATTTTAACCAGCTTGTTTTCTGTACCATGTCCAGAAAATAACTTCAAGTTGCCTATGTAAGCGGCATATGATTGTGTATGAATGTGTTTGGCATTGACCTTGTATCATGAACGTCACTTCCATTTTTCAAGAAATAACTAGCTTATATACTTATGCTTTCTAAGTTTTCTTTTTGTCTAATCTCCTTTTCCAGGGGCATAATTAGCATATCTATTTGCACAACATGATAATATTGTTATCCAACTAAAACAGGAAACAGTAAAAAGAGTGTAACAGCCGCTGACTGATCCCCCAACTTGCACCCAAAAAAAAAAAAAAATTGATTAATAGGTTTCTACTTTGGTGCTTGGTCAAATAAAACTTGATGAATAATTTTATAAATCTTTCAAAATTTTGAATAAAACAATATTTAAATTTATTTATTAAAATTTAATTCAATTAAATATTTAAAATTATTAAAGTCAAGGTTAACAAATTTAATTAAATATCATATCTTAAAAATAACTATATAAACTAATTTAATTGTAAAAAGACTTTCAAGCTCAAACGACATAATAATATTAAAAATATTAAAAATAATAATAATATTATTAATATTATTAATAATTTACGTTTAAATAATTTTAGTTTATTTCCTGTTCAAAAATCTTTTATCTAGCTAACCAAAAAAAATTCAACAAAAGATTATACATATAAACTAAATTTAGATTTTAAAATATTGTAATAAAATTAAACATGAAAGTAATTAAGTTTAAAATAGTAGTACTAAAAAAATGGTATACTCTGTAAAATTAATTTTTTTTGTTCCTGTAGCATGCAGAAAATTAACTAGTTAACCTCTCGAAATTACTGTGTATGACTTAGCAAAAAAAATAACTTAGTGTGTATGAATGATATTTCAGATTTTATGAAAAATTTTAAAAGATTTGTTGTCTTTGTCAAAATTTTATTGCAGTAAGAGCCAATATTTTTTCATTTATAAACTACAACAAATAAAAAATTATTTACTGGAAATTCGGGTAAAAGGTTTATATACAACGTCGTGCACCTTCTTCAGTGTTGTAAGGGGAGTGAGGAAACGGGTGCCGCCAGCATTCCCCATGATACCTGATGCTGGTGTGTTTGTTAATGGTAGCAGTATGTAGTGTTTCTTGGATAAATGAAAACACCACTTATCCCAAGAAAAAATTCATGATCCCCATGTTAGTACTTTCTACTATACCACTACCTGACTTGATATCACTTTCATTTCTTTACAATGCAGAGCTGTTTTCCATTTTTACCACAGTACTATTTTTTTCTTCTATGATCTGCTATTCATATGGATTCCTGGCTCTTGAATTTATGGAAAAGGTAAAAAGATGATAAACAAGTGCAATTGGTGAAATCTTTTGGTAATCTTTACCTCGAACATAGAATTTCAGCTAGGCGTAACTCTACCATATAATAAGATACACTTGAAAGGCCTAAACAGGACACTAGTAGTTGAAAGGCTTGCTTGGTAGACCTCCTTTTCACTCCAGCAATCGTTGAGAAACACTTGAAGTCCTATGCTCCACAAACCCTTTAAATATTTCACCTACTACTATATTCTTTGCATTTGTAAAGCGAAGGGCTATCCTGACTTTTTGATGGGGCAACAGTTTGACTAGCGATATATTGTTTCCAACTTGCCTGAGTGTTAATGGAGTTGAGCCACTAGGCAACTATCAGAAAACAAGCAAACATGGATAGAAAACAATCATGGCGCCACCAATGGTGGACCTGCTTAACCAGAGGCACAAAAAAGAGGGTGATCAAATCACAACCAAAGCTAAGAAAGCGAACTAGAGTGGACTTATTTATATCACCAACTCCATTGACTATAGCACAAAAATAACCACTTCTATCTCTTCTTCTTTAAGTTAATTTCCTTACCATTTTTATTGGTTTTCTTCATTCATATCAACCAATCCTTTGCCTACAAAGTGAAACACTTAGACCCATCAATCAACATATCACCAAGTGAAAAACTTCCCTAGTCTGAGTGCCAACTTCTTTCCTTCCCACAGCTTAATGGAACACAGAAAGTCATGATACAGAGTTGCAAAAGCAACTGCTTTCATTCAGTCCCTTCCTACAGCTAACTACCACACTACTCTTTTTTCTCTGGGCTTTTGCCTTATGCAAAGTGGAAAGTAGATATCATAATCACCAAAGCTATGGGACCATAGAAAAATCATTTGCTTTGGACCTCTGGCCATGGCTTCAGCCACCATCATATACACCAGAGTTTAAAAACATTACTTAAAAAGGATTAGTTACTTTAACTTCAATTATAAAATGAAGTGATGATGAAGGCAGGACGTTTTCGATTTCCTACTAATCATCATTTGTTAATAAAGTTTTTAACTGTCTATCATCTCTAGCCGCCTATAGTTAATTGGCAGATGTCAATTCTGACCAAAGAGATTAAACTCAACCCATATGGTATCCTAGTCAATCATTTTCCAAATTGGCTACTCATTCATATTGATAGACCTACCATCCCCGTTTAATGCAAAAAAATAAAAATGTTATTGCTTGTGGAGGAAATTGAAGAGTACCCCTTTAGAATGATCTTTGAAACCAAACAAACTTGATTTGTTAAAATATAATTATGTTTAACTGATGTTTTAGTAAATGGTCGTGCTGAAGCCTTGAAGGAACTGTAAATCTTCTCTCTTTTGTTGGATTGTCCATTACAAAACCAGTGGCGTTAACTTTAAATTATGGTTTCAATCAAATAAGATTCCTACAAATTATAGCAGGGTTTCTTTGTCATGTGTCCAAAAAAAAGTTCCATTTTTTCATGGGGAACAAATATTTCTCTGCTTCTGCTACAAGCAATAGATTCATTAAGCAAAGTTAAAAGCCATGATACGATACCAGCAGACATAGACAAACTACTCTGGTTTTGAATGAAATTAGGATTTCATTTTGATATTCTCTCTGATTAAAACTGACCCGCTTCTTTTTCCAAACAGGAAAGTGGAAAATTTTCTGCCATGTTATCCATTTGGTTTAATTGCCTTTTCTTTTTTCTTTTTTTATTTTCTCATCTTTGTCGGGTACTTAACACATGCATGATTCACAATTCAACTTTTTGATATCTTAGAATCTTATTGATAATTTTATCACCGCCCAATTGACAGGCCTACCAATCTACCCAAAAAAAAGTTTCTAACCCTTAACCCTGGAAGCCTGAGAAATAGAGAGAGGTCGTCAGAAATGTGGGGCAGATGGGGAGGAAAGAGTGGCAACTGGCAAGAACCCATACTATAAAGCAGTGAGGAAAGTAGGGGGGGGGGGAGAGAAGTACGACATGGACAATGCAGACAATATGGGACGGAGCATCCTAGAAAGAGATATATGCTTTTGGTTAATTATATAAACTATGAGGTGTTTGCTTCTCTTTGTGTTGGGATGTGGGGGCCTTTTTTTAGCCTTCTCTTCTTGCATTAACCATAACCTAATAACCAATAAAACAGTAATCTTTGATCAGGGTATTTGAGAATACTTCCATAGAAGGACATAATTTAGCTTAGTTTGTCATTCATTTATGGGGATAATAAAGCATCTATTATTTATTGGAAGAATGATGCTTGTCATGAGTTATGTTTGATAAAGAAATTTCTTCCTCATCGTATTTCATAATTATTCTCCATTAGTTCGATTCCATTTAAGAGTTGATTAAAATGGATTCAATAATAAAACGTAACTTTAACTATAATAGAAATCTTCTAATCGGGCTCCCAAATGTAGCTTTAATAAATAATTTCCTTAATCATATCGAATCATATTCAAGTGATCAAAAAATTTTTTTTTTTAAAACATAAGCGAAATAAAAAAAATGTTCACGGAATAAATATGCTTAAAACTCGGACTTATATACTATTGATAATGCTTTTGTAGGTAAGATAAGAATTGGAATAACGAAATAGTTTATTCTTTGTTGACAGTAGCATTACAAAAGAAAGATGTTTAGGAAACTGAGTGCCAGAGAAGGAAACTTGCTTTTTTTTTGGGAGAGGGTGGTCCTTGGATGGAATTTAACTAGAGGGACATAGAAGCATGTGTTGGCATCTCAAAAATGTGATTCTTATTTGCAGATTTTTGCTCTCTTTGTGTAGTTCATCGAATCAAATATGATTTTCATGACAGATTCTTTGAGTGATGCACAGACCAAAAACTTTAGGACCATAAAAGACAGGGGTTCATATAGATTAAATGCTTTATGTGTAAACTTTGTTGGATACTTTTTCCAGGCTAGAAGTGGAAACTTGAGCCATGAAAGAAAGTTTCTAACTTTCAATGCGTTAGTAACACATGCATTCACACATCGCGCGTACACACACATAATTAATAAAATTAAAATAAAGCCTAATTAATTGATAATCACATTTTGTTTTTCAAAGAGATCTCAACCTTTATTTGTAGTAACTTTCTTTCATTTCCTATTGATTTCAGGGTTTTACCCCGTGAGGACTGCTCGGCACCAACAATGGTTAATTATATTTTTCATCTTAGAAAAAAAGAAAAAATAGCCAAATTCTAATTGTATTGTGATGAAAATTTTCAAAGCCAACGCCAAGCAAAGCATGGTATATTGGGCGAAAAGGGTGGTTTAGGAGTAGATTAAAAGTAGGGAAAAAAAATCAATTCTTAGCTTCGTTATCAACCTCTTTTCCACTTGTTTAAGCAGCTGCAAGTCGGTGAAAGTGGGCATTTCATGTGGATAATTCTCAAAGTCAGCAATTCATATTAAGATAAAGAAGGTGCCTTAATGTTGAAGCGTGGGAAGGAAAAGCATTTTCTACTTTGTATTAGTAGCTTAATTGTTGAAAATGATTGGTTCTCTATGCTAATCTTCATCATAGCTAGGCGACATAGTACAAAGATTAGAGCATAATTAAGGTAATAGATGAAACATTTTGAGGTGGAAAAGAGATAGGGATTTTTATTTGGTTAATTCAATTAATTTTAAATTGAATTATTTAAAATCGAATTAATTAAATTATTTTATTTTATTAAATAAATCAAATTTATCAATTTTAAAAATTTAACAGATCGAATTTAATTCGATTATCGAATCGAATTATTTAAAAATTAAAATTTTTTCAAATCATTTTTATTAATTTAATGATCAATTGATTAATTAATTAAATTTATTCGATCAATTAATTTAATTAAAATTGAATTTCTTTAAAAAAGAGAAGTTGATTTTTGACATAATATTTTTTTTTTCGTTGAAATTAAGGATTGGTAAAATTGTTTCAATCTTTCATGTATTTTTAAGACCTTCATTATTAACTACATTCAAAATTTACATTAAAAAAAAAAATCATCATGACGTTGGAACCCAAACCATAGCAAGGTGAAAGAAGCTTGACGTAATGAATATTTTGATAAGACAAAGACTTGGGAATAAGGTTAAAATTTGGTGGGGTTGGACAATAATTGATTGTCAATTTCTCCTTCAGAAGCTGTTAAAGAGTTCGTTACGCATTAGTTAATTGACATTTTGCTTATTATTATAATCATTTGGTCTCCGGTTCTATCGTTAATTTGATGCTCATATTTCTACATCTCTTTTACATCCCCTACTATTCCATTAGCAATTTGAGTAAAGAAACTTAACAATTTTTTTTTTTTTAAAGAAACTTAAAAGTTTGCCCTGTGAGACATTACAAAATAATTAAGCAAGTGATCATTTGCTTAGGGCATGTTTGGATGAATGCTGCAGACTTATTAAATATATTGTTTAATCTTTTATTTCTTTTTCTCTTCCAAACTTATTAAAGTCCTAAACAAACAAATATAAGTAAAAGATTAGTTATAATGATATTTAAAAAATTACAATTAATGTGATTAATGTGTATTTTTTTAAAATTAATGAGAATAATAATTTGATTAATACAAAATCTTTCTTAAAATAATATCATAGGAATGAGTATCTATAAATATATTTTGTTATAAATTTATCAAGCTTGTAATAAAGTGAGTGGTGATAAAAAAATATTTATCTAATAATTTATTAAAAAAGATTAATGATTATTTTTCGTATGATTTAACTTTGGTGCCATAATATTTTTGGATCGACTACGAATTAAAGAGGAAGAGGGTCAGCGTTGATAATAGGCTTTTTGTAAAGTAGTTCCTTGTCCCAATTTGCACAGCAAATATAAACGGCTATATTTTGCTATCACAATAATAATAACAATTCAATTCCCTTAAAAGAATTTAAATTCGGTGCGTCGTTAGCGTAGGCGTAACGTCTCTCTGAGGATTTCACAGTCCTTTTCTCCCAAAAAAATCCTGTAACGTTACTCCCCACAAAACCCGCCTCCACGTGTACTTCTTTTTCCAATATTATCCTCAACTAAACACGTTGCCACCCCTCCACGCGAGTTCCAGTCTCCCCCATAAAAACCCGCGAGTACAATCCTCTCATTTCAATTAAAAAAAACTAATCTTTTATTTTATTTTTTTTCCCGTATCCCCAAGCAGAAAAAAGCCTAGTAAGACCGTTATACTCACATCTCGCTACGGCATCCCTCAACCCTCAAGGCTCACTCCCTTCTCTCTTTCTCGCTTTTTGTCTCACTCTCTCGTCGGCAATGCTCATTTTTCCGCTCTTCCCCTAAATTCCGACTATAAGGTCAAAAAGGGAAAATCTGTTAAGCTCTGAAAATTTTTAATTAACTCCAAACTCTGGTTTTTCCTTTTTTAAAATTTTTTTGAAGTGAAAAATTTTTTTTGGGGGGGGGGGTATGATTAATAGATACGGTTAGGTTTGGGAGGAGAGTGAGATTAAAGGATCAGTCAGATAATAGAATTGAATTGTGTTAGTGCCCGCAATGGTAGCTGCATTGTCCTCGACGGTAAAGCACGGACGAGGGACACCACATCAAAACCCGTCTCGGCCTCCGTTATTGCCTTCAGACACCGACAATGCCATTGCTCCGCGCCATCAAAAGTTCCGAGAAGTCTCTTCTCGTTATTTGTCCACGTCGACATCCTCCTCTAATTCGTCCACGTCATCATCATCTTCTTCTGCGGCTTCTGCTAAACGGTGTCCGTCGCCGTTGGTTTCGCGGACTTCTTCTCATTCGACGGCTGTTACGACGCCAAAGCACGCGACTCCATCGGTTATCAAGCGGTCGCAATCAGTAGAACGGAGACAGGCGGTTGTTACGCCGCGGCCTAATAATTCTATGGATTTGAGAAGTAGTAATGGTAACAACAACGGCGAATTATCCGCTGTTCAGAAGTTGCTCTTCACTTCTACGAGAAGCTTATCTGTTTCGTTTCAGGGAGAGTCGTTTTCCTATCAGTTTAGCAAAGCTAAACCAACTCCATCACAAAGCGCGGCAAGAAAAGGCACGCCGGAGAGGCGGAGGCCAACTGCGGCAATAACGACTCCGGGGAGAGGAACAGATCAAACTGAGAATTCAAAGACGGAGCGGTGGCCGGCGAGGTTAAGGCAACCGAATTCGGTGAGTAGAAGCATGGATTGCACCGACGAGAAGAAGAGATTAAACGGATCTGTTACTGGCAATGTAGTTAGGTCATTAAAAAATTCCATGATTGATGATGGAGATTTAACGGCCGTTACGGCCGTTGGATCTGAGGCTCAATGTGATCCTGCGGCTTCTGATACTGAAAGCGTTTCTTCTGGTAGTACTTCAGGAGCTCCAGAAAGTTCTTGTAACGATAAAGGAGACGTTAAACGTGGGCCTCGGGGGATAAAGGTCCCGGCCCGCTTCTGGCAAGAGACTAACAACCGGTTACGCCTGTCCGATCCTGGCTCTCCGGTTTCTAAGAAAAATACGGTTCACTTTAAGCTAATTGCACCAGACAAGTTCGCAATTGATAGTCCTTTGTCGTCTCCGAAAGGTGTAGTGAACAGCAGAGCACAGCTATCGCCAATTCGTGGGCCGGTTCGGCCTGCATCGCCTAGTAAGCTTGGGGCGTTCTCAACTTCGTCTCCTTTGAGGGGAATGAGTCCCTCTAGAGTGAAGAATGGATTGAGTGGTAATTTCATAAATACACCGTCGATTTTGAGCTTTGCTGGTGATGTTATTAAGATGGGTAAGATCGGGGAGAATAAGGTTTCGGATGCTCATTTATTGAGGCTACTTCATAACCGGTTGTTGCAGTGGCGTTTTGTTAATGCTAGAGCAGATGCTGCTCTGTCTTTCCAGAGGTCTAATGCGGAGGTATGACTCTAAGAGTTGACTTTGAATTTCTCTCTTGTTGCGTTTGACCTTTATAGTTGCTTGCTGTTTGGTACTATCACTATGCTGTCGACTTTTTTATGCTTTTAATTTTGCATGCTGTACTATTTCTACATTCGTAGGAATTCACCCTTAATGTAATTTCACAGTACAATGCGCAGAACTAAATGTTGCTTACCATCAATTGTAAAGGATTATGGCTAAGATTTGTATTATGTTAAATTTTTTAGAATCTACCCCGGCTGCACGTAATTTGTCTTGCTCTTACTGCCCAGAATTTGAGAACTTTCGCTTAAAAACACAAGAAGAACCCTGACAAATAAAATTGAGTTGAATTATATTCTATCGTAAAAACACAGACAGTGATGTTCTTGCTAAAGCTGGAATTCTCTGGGCCACTTCTGCTTGATAGGGCTTGTACTCCGGCTTTTTCGTTATTCTGTTTTATAATTGCTTTTGCGGTGTAGAAGCAGTTCTGATATCATGTGCAAGCAGCCTGTGAGAGTTGTTTTGTGGCTTATGAGATTGATCATGTTGAGGGCAGAGAAGCTGAAGTATTTTTAACAGCTTTTCAATCAGAGTTACTAATCTCGGTTGTGTAAGGGATATCTTGGTACAATCTTTGATAAGTGAAAATGGATGAAGATACTGGAATGAAAGAGGGAACCTAATGATAGAAATGGGATAAAAAGAGACTTTGCAGCCTGCTTTGCATGGTCTTTTCCTTCACACTAAATCCAGAGGCCATGTGAGAGACACTGAGTTCAGTAGATTCTGATTTCAAATTAACATTGAATGTCAAGAAAGCTAATTGTCCAAGTGAAAGACACTGGTTCATTAGTTGCTGATCTTGTTGCTGTAAGGAATGAGTCAAAGAGAGCATTCATCATATTGGGAACAATTTGATCAAATTAGAGGCAAGCAGAGGTTGCAGATTATATGTGCCCTAGAAACATCTATGGTTGATGACTTATTGATGTCTGAGAAAGGATAAAGAAGAGAGTTGATATTTTTCATATTTTAATGATTGACATGTTTAACATTCATTTTAATCTTTTTGCATTGATTGTATCTGTAAGACGCTTCATTTTTAACTTTCCTATTGTTTTCAGGTTACTGATGGTTTATGTTTTTGATTATCTTCATTTTAGTTGGTTAAAATATGACGAAGAATCCTTTTGTCATCATGTTTCTATAACAGAAAAGCCTCTATAATGCATGGACAACCACCTCAAAACTGCGAGAATCTGTTAGAGCCAAAAGAACCGAGTTACAGTTGCTGAGGCAAAACTTGAAGCTGATTTCCATCCTCAAGGGGCAAGTAAGAACCATCTCTCCATTGTGGATTTGTTTCTTGTTGACTTGATATTTTCTTGGGTTTTTTACATCTTCTCATCATTTTGATGATCTTAACTTGATTATTGCTAGTTTTTCATGTCTGCATCTTCCATTACATTTCAAAGTGTAGATCTCTCTGTCTTGCTCTATTTGTCTGGCTGTCTCTCTTTCCCCCTTGCCTCATCATTAATTGTGCTTGAAATTTGAACTTGATTGTGTAACCTCATGAATAGCCTGAATTTGCTGCTTATCGGAAGAAACCTGAAAATTGTATTCTTGTCATCTATAGCCATCGTTTCTTTCAAATATCTGATTTGGATTGCATTTTTCACTTCATGTAATCCAATGCTTTTTCATCGACTGACTGCTGTATATAATATTATTTTCATTGATGAGTGCAGATGGTATTTTTGGACGAATGGGCTGCCCTGGACCATGATTATTGCGGTTCTTTGTCTGGGGCTACTGAAGCTTTGATGGCTAGCACGCTCCGCCTTCCAGTTGTTTGTGGGGCTAGGGTAAGTTCCTTGTTCTGACTTTTGTCAATTTCGTTTAAGCTGTGGCATCTCAGTTGCCAATGCATTGGTATGTTGCGTCTTAAAAGAAACGTCTTGGTTTTCTCTTCATTTGTGCAGGTTGATATTCCAAAATTGAAGGATGCTATTTGTTCAGCAGTTGACATAATGCAGGCAATGGCATCCTCCGTATGCTCATCGTTATCAAAGGTAATTCTTTCTTTCTTTCTTCATCATCCTTAGCCCCTCACCCTCACCTTCCCCTCATTTTCTTTTATTATGAGCAAATTTTGAATTTGCCTTTGTTCCTCTTTTATGTGCAAACTTTTTCTTTTCCTAAGTACTGGTTTTAGACAAGTTGCAACCAGCAAAAGTTCGTGTAATAGTAAGATATTGCTAACTGTGTGAGGGTTTTTTCTTGGACAAAGATCAGAGGTTGAGTACTCTTTCATTTAATGATAAGTATCTTTTAAAGATTATCTATGATAGAAAGAAGTATAATGATCTCATGTCTCTGACTCTCCGTTTGTATAAAAGGACTAGGTTTAATTCTTGTGGCCCTAGTTTGATTCCTAATCTTGCTGAATGATGAGTATATACTGGTTGGCTGGCTTCTGGTTTATTTTATTAATCCCAGTCAAATGAAAATAACCATCCATATTACATGTAAGGTCACCAGGTTATTAGTCTATCTGGTTAGTTGTCTCCATCTTTCTTTAATTATGTTATAGCCTTCAATAAATAAATCAAGACTTTTGACTTTTTCCTGTTACCCTGTTTGTACTCTACATAGAATATTTTCTTCCTTGACTAAAGCAACCAGCTGTTGATTTGTATTGTTAGAAATGCATGTAGCCACATGTACCACAATGTTAAAGCTTGACCTCTGGTATGAGCTTAAGCGTTGGAGCTTATTGTCTGACATGTGATCTTTTGAGTCAACTGGTACAGCTACTGTAAAATTCTTTATTATACTCAATGAACGAAGTTCTAAAATTGTTGCAGTGACTACAGCAGCTGATCAAATTGATTTGATGTTAGTTTTAGTGGCTTGTTTGCCCAATCAGTTCAACCAGTACTAAAAGTGATATAGGTTGATCCAATTTTGCGTCTTGCTTTTGGTTATGGAAGTTACCTTTTGAATTTTGGATGACTATGATAAACAGCTTACTGACTGTAATGACAATGGATCTCCTCTAAAGTTGTTTTTATCCTCAATAAAAGCAGATTTTATTGATTTTGGTCTGTTCTTTTATGCTTGCATCTAACCTTTTTTTTTTTTTTGGTTGGTTTCTAGGTTGAAAAAGTTAACTCTTTGGTGACAGAACTTGGAAATTTAAGCGCAAATGAGTTTGCTTTACTTGATCAATGCAAAGAACTTTTGTCAGCAATTGCAGCCATGCAGGTAAACATCTTATTTGTTTTGTTTTATTAGAGGAATTGCTGTATATAACTTGTTTTTTAGTCTAATTGTTTCTAATGACCAGGTGAAGGAATGTAGCCTGAGAACACACATTTTACAACTAAATCATTTACCTTCCAGCTTGACACCAAAATTGTAAAGCTCAGGTGATTTTCACTGCCTTTTTCTGATACTAACATGACATCAACCCCATTTCCATTTCATCCGAATATATTGTACTAAAGGTAATAAGAAAGTTTTCAATGATGGATTGAGTTTTACAAGCATGAGAGTGATAGTTTGGTCTTTTCTATTGATACGTGAATTTAGCCTTTATGTGTAATTTGATGGCTTGAAAGAAATTATTCTCATTGTGAAGTTAGATAGTTTTACAGGGTATTCTTTGTTGTTTTTTCTATAGGCCAAAGGAAAGTGTGTAAATATATGTAAAAATGATGTTTCCAATTTCAGTCAATGGTTCTTAATTTAAGCTTTGTTTTTGTTTGCTTTTATATAATGAATGATGTGTCATCCATCTTTTGATGTTCATCTTCTGTTGTAATCCTCTGTATTTGTTTAGAGTAAAAACTACTTATAACTCCAAACTCCCTTTGAGGCTTTGCTCGGTATAAAAATGAAAAGATAGAATAATTGAAGGAAATTTTCGTTTTCTCTGTCCACCTTTTTTTTGGCAAGAAAAATAGAAAATTACATGGGAATTAATTCATCATTTGTAAGTAAAAGAAATGGATTTTTTTTTTTTTATGTTTTAAAGTTTTTTTATATGTATTTTGTTGTCTCTCATTTTTTACTTTCCTTTTCCATTCAACTATTCTATTTCCACTTTTCTCTTATCAAGGCATAGTTTAAAAGGTAAAAAAGAATTGAAGAAGTTGAAACATGCAAAAAGATGTGGCTGGCTTGTTGAGGTCGGTGTTGAAAAGGAATGGACCAGTTGAACCGGGAATCAATGTTATCATTGGTATTGTTTTGGATAATGGTTCATAATTCGTCCAACTTGTTGCTTAGATGTAACCGGAAGGTGAGGTTTCCATTCATCAATATTTCAGACAAGGCAAAGTTGTGTAGCATGAAAGAAGTAATGAAATGTAAATCTATATCATATGAGGCCAAAAAAGAAGCCAATGAAACATAAAGAAAAGAAAAACTTTTAATTTATTAACTTCTATATTCGAAACACTTAAGATGACACCGAAAACGCTTTTGCACATTACACGAATATTATAGCCATTTAGTGATGTTAATTTGAGTGGAGCTATCCAACACCGATGTGATGCAAGTGAAGTTAAAATCATTGTGGGATCCACAGCATATGCAAATAGACGCGGCGGAACGGTGGAATGGAACAACAAGCTTTGCTTTTTGGTTAATTGAATCGAAGACCCTTTCCTATCAACGATCTTTTGTGAAAAAAAAAAAGGAATGTGTGATGCCGTGGAACCCACTTCCAATGGAGGAGGACTAGGGGGAGTAGAGGGAGGCGGGGCAGCCTGACGTGCAGCGCACCATTTTTTGCTTTTATAAAATCTAAACTTTGGGACCCAGCCCCGCTTCCCACCCTTTTTTTTTTTTGTTTTTTCTTCCCTTTCTTTTTTTTTTTTCTCCATTCTTTAAAGTTCCCTTGTCTGTTCCTTTTTCCTTCGTTCTTATGCATGCTGACTATCTTGCTTGAGACCACAAAGTGAAGGCTCAGCTGACTTTAATGTGAGTTTCAGCCCTGCTTTGCTTGGAAACTGGTATATTTTCTCAATTTTGGTTAAAGATTCTAGCAGTAATATTTTAATCCCCTATTATTCTTTAAGTGAAAGTGAGGTTAGAAAGAGCATACATATATGAAAAAAAATTAAAACGGATAAAGGCAAGTTCAAAGCACTTTTATTTTCTTATCTATCAATATTTGATTGTATCATTAAAAAAATTTTCAAATTAAACTTAAAAAGATGTTGTAATGATATCATATGAGTGGCCTTTGGAAACCTCTAAAAATAGTTGATTAAATTAAACTATTTACCAAATTCAACCAACTTCCTCAAGTTCTCTACGAAAAGTTATGGTGACCTTATCATCTCCAATGAACTTTCACAAATCCAATTACCAAGTTGAAGATGATGAAAACTTCAACTTTTTTCAAGGTTAGCCAGTCATCTTCTTTTCGGGCAATAATTTCTCAAGGATAAATGAATCTATTTGCAAAAGAATAGGCATCCATACATATCATACCAAGAAAATAGCAGCAATTTTAATCATCTTCCCTACTTAAAAAGGATTAATTACTCATTTCTTATCTTCCCCAACTCAAATACTACTAATTTCAATCTATCATCATTAATTGCTTAACTATACTGATTATCAATATGCTTTCCTTGATACCAAAATCATAATGACTCAGATTATCCTCATTTTTTCACCCTCCCCAAACAAAACTCACAAAATTATTAATTAAAATAATAATAAAAAAAACTTCTATTCTTGTTATTTTCTCTTCATTATTCACTACAACGCCGGCTTATCAAAAAAGACCGCTTTTTTTTTTTTTTTGTTGGTCTTAGTTTTCTCAAACGAAAAGATTCAAAATCTTTCTCTCTTGCCTGCCTTCGTTTCCGTTGCTTTCAAAGGTAGTTATCTCTGATTCCTCCGAATAAAACGACGCCGTTTTTGCTCTCTTATTTTCTTCCTGGTATCGGCTTCCGCTTCCACGTCTTCCTCCACCGAACTTAGTCGTCAAAGAGAGGCTTAGATCCGAAGCCGATTGATTCTCGTTCATCATCGTCATCAAAGGCTTAGACTGAGCGTAGCGGCTTTGGAAGTTGCATGAATTAGCACAGAAAAGAACCGATGACTCGTCGCAACTCGGCGTCCAAACTCCGGCTAAAATCCCCGGAATCGGCCGTAAAGCTCCGCCTTGAAGCACCGTCTCCACCGCTGCTTGACAGATATGCCAGTTCCCACTCGATAACAGCCCTACCGCTCCGTTCACCGGATTCACGGTACGACCACAAGCCTCAAACAACAAAGACTGATACAAAGCTATAAAAAACCCAAAAAAAAAAAAAAACTTTAAAAAATATACCTAAAAAAAACAAAAATTCGATAATGTAAATAGAAAATTAAGTATTTTTGAGAGGGTACCGGGGCGTTGGTATTCGGGGACTGAGGAGATAAGAGAGAGGAGGTCACTACGGCCGAAAAACTTGGCGAGAAATAAGGTGGCGTTGCCTTGGGCTTCGGGGGATTCGATCCAGCGTAAGCTCGACCGTAACACGCAGGTCTCGCTGCATCCCTTTCGGAGCACTCGGCAGCCGTTGCAGCTCATATTTTTCCTCAACTAATAACCGTCTGATCTTAATAAAAAAAATCTGATCCTTTTGTTGACCGGAGATTACCTGGGTTCCAAGCAAGTCAAAGAAAGAGAGTGAAGGAAGTGAACTAGAAATACCAGAAGAAAGGGAATAGCCCGAGATGAAAGGGAAATGAAGAGAAGGGGTTTATTAATCAACGTGATGATTAAGGGTTTAGTTAAATTAACCATGGTTGGGTTGGGGTACGTGGTGGTGGGAAGGGAATATCTTCCAAACTCTGGGCACGACCGGCTCCGGGTTTCCGCTTCCTTTATTGATCTTGTTTTCATGTGCACCGTTCGATTCCATCATTTTGATTGATGTGGATCGTTCGATTGGTTTAGTCCATCCAATTTTTCAATCGTTTCTTTACCTTCTTTTCGTACGAATTTTCAAAACTAGAAGAAAACTGTAGAACCTGATCCTTGACCTCCTTCAAACCAAGTAAATTAAACCCTTCAATTTCTATGTTCTCTCTTACTAAATACACCAACCCGATCCTTTACCTATCGAAACTGATTGATAAAGAAATAACTTTTTCATCAATTACACTAATATTTTATCTAGTTTTGGGTTTGAATTCGATGAAAGATTACGAGATAATATTTTTTATAATTTTATTAAATTTAATGTAAATAAAATAAAATAAATGTATTTTAACGAATCGATTCGAATATGAGATGTAACGATAATTAATGAGAATCTTAATTGATGAGGGATTGAAATCATATGTAGAGTTCAGGATGGAACCAGATATTGATACTTATAAGTAAAGGTGGTGCTCTAGCATTCGTCAATAAATAGTAATGGAACATATGGGATGGTAGGAATATAATTGATTTTGATGACAAAGCTAGCCAGTTCAATCCCCCTTTTTGTTCTTTCTTTTCCTTTAGCTGTCTAAATACTATTTGTTGCATATAGATAGATCGAGGTCTGATAAGTTTCAAATCTGTCTCCCACCATATCTATCTGCATTCTGCCATGTGATGAATAAGCATTGAGTAGTTTTGAGTCTTATCTTTGGAACATGGCCTTGTTTTTCTTGTTCCCAACAGCACCAATAATTTCAATCTGATTAAGAACATGAAACCATATTTGTCTTTCGTCAGGTACTTTAATTGTAACCGATGTCAGATTGGGAGCTTCCCTAGCATATAACAACAGAATAATTGGTTAGAAGCATCTATGTTGAGGCTTGGATAATGAATTTATATTCCTCTCTGACAGTTCCTTCTTCCTTCTAGTGCTCATCAAACATTTGTCTCATTAGCACATAATCAGCATGCAATTGGACAGTATATGTATGAATATGATTTGTTTCAAATTTCACTTGGGACCTGACTCAGCTAGGTATAAAAAAATCATTTTTCTAGTACTTATTCAAAAAATCCATTCACTGCATTAGGTAGGAATGATGGCAATATGTATATACATATATATATTTTTCATCTAGAAGTTGAAGTATATATAATCTCTTTTTCTATTTTATGGCTTAGACATTGGATCATATGTATGTATATATATCTAAAAAGTTTCAATCATGCATCCTTAATTTTGCCTGGTAATGGGCATATAGTAATCTCTATGTTGTCAAATTTCTGCTCAAGAATGGGCTGCGACTCCTTCTCCGTAAAAGAAATGCAACCATTGGCTCAATCAAAGCCTTTAGCACATGTGGGCTTGGATTGGGCCTCTTATATCCTCGTGTCACAGATTAAAATTTATAAAAGCTTCTACATTTGGGTTAGCCAGTGAAGCCCGTCTAGCTAACTTCAGTTGGCAGAGCACAAAGGCTCTTAATGTTCTGATTTTTTATTTGCAAGCATCAGATTATGCCTCTGTATTCTTCGCGTTGACCTATCACTTCGAAGGCATTTACCGACTTAAACTGGTGTTTCATGCCAGTGGCTCCGCGGAGCACATCGTCGTGATGATTGCTTTCTTTCCTTTTGTCATAAAAACGCCATAGAAAATAAATTTTACTCATTTGAGCTTCGATGCGTGCCACTATAGCATTTTTTTAATGGTAAATGTGGAAGCCACGTATGACCGATTCCATCCAATATGGGCAACAACATGCACTACTGATCTACAGCAGCTGCTTCCATCATCGTGGTCCAGTGGTCCTCCAGCCCCATATATTATATACATATATATAAAAGAAGAGATAGAGTTGTAGTTGGGCTTAACCACTTGCCTAATACTTTATGTTTTTTTTTTTTTTTATGAGTTAATTATCTTGATAAAGATAATTAATTTAAGACTTTTTCTCATCTACTGGTTGCAGCCATACCCAACACAGAGTCAATGTTTGACTTCAGCTTTTGTCTTTTTCTTCCTTTTAATGCTTTTGGCCACCAAACTAGAACGCCGACGTTCTGCACCAAGTCATACCGTACGATAAGATACTCAAATATAAAGAACTGTGAACGGATAAGCTTCTTGGCATTGTTGGTAATGGAGTTTGGCGGTTGAAACTTGAAATTTTAGGTATTGACACAAGAATAACTATACTTTCTTTCTTAAAATTTTGGCAAACTATGAACAAATTCAGTGGAATTTCAAAAGCACATGGTAAAATCATACAAATTAATATATCATTTAATTTGGTTGGAAATTCAATTGGTCAGCACCTCTAGAAGTTGTCGACTATTTGACTTTTACATGCCTTTTCCAATGGGCATCAAAGATATATAGTTTTGACAATCATGAAAAAAGATCTAAAAGCCTTTTGTATGTCATCACTATATAATGCTGTCACTTTAGTACTATCATTTTAATTAATAATCCTTCGATTTCATTTTTGTTGTCTTTATTTGACTTTATGAAGCTTTGATTTTAATTTATTTAATATTAAATTTTAAATTTTTTTTATAATTTTAATGTATCCTATTTTTTATTATCAATAGTAAAAATATTTAAAAATAATAATAATATAAGATGTTAAAAATGAAAAAAAAAATCATTTTGAAAAATTCCAAATAAAAAGGATAAAAAAATAGGACCAATGGGGTAAACAAAATTATAATACTATTTAATTTATGAATCTAAGCTCAAATAGATGAATACATTTGGTATGGCTCTTTCATTAATCAAGCTGATTAAACGAAGGCAGGTGACCTTATCAAAATAATCCTTTTTTTCTTTTTTCTTATAGCTAGTCGGTTCACCAACCAACTAAATTAATCAATAAGCACTGTCTAGTTGGACAGTAACCTTCAATTCAGACACTGTCTAGTTGACTTTATCACTTTCATTAAAGATTTGTTGTGTTTTATTAGTTTTTCTTTGCGCTGATCATATAACAGTGTATTCAAATCATATCTCTATGTCCTTCGCTTACGCAAGGGGCCTTCATTTTCCCTTTTTTTAGTTAAATCCCAACTTTTTCTGGACTTTGGGTTAGATCCAGAAGTAAACCTTTCGCACTTTATGGCTAAAAGTAAGCATCTTGTTTAATGTGTGTAGCTTTACATTTCAATTTCTTTTAAAAACAGAATATGCCAACTCAATCACCAAATTTTGATCAGGTTTTCATTCCTGCAATGGAAGTGCGAATGGCAAACAGCCGAAATGAAGTACTTCAATTAACGTCAGATTGCAATAAGATCAGTCGACTGATGATGATTTGGTCGTCAGAACTTTTGACTGTGTGCAAATTTCTTTGTTTATTTGGTTGGAGTTTACTTTGACAACACACATGGAAATGTCTTGGCCTGGTAGCTAGTCTTCTTGGTGGTAGCGTTAAACTTGGAAAGATTTCAAAGACAACATCAAGTTCAAATGTATTTTTGCACTTTGAAAAATACGGTTCCTAGAAAGTTACATAAACTGTAGAAAAAATTTGCGCGTAGAAACTGGAAAAACTCGAGGTGGGTTTGTTTTTTAGTCCATATTGATGCTGGTGTACCATTAAGAGCCAGACAAACAAAGCTGAACCTTGTTAAAAAAAAAAAAAGAGAAAGAAAGAAAAACACATGCATGTTGTTTAAGATTGATGATGATTTTCATGCATTATGCATTTGATTGTTATATTTTAGTTAGAAAACTATGAAGGGGAGTTTCCATGAAAACTACGAGAAGCAAATTAAAGTAAACCCATCATTAGGGATACAGTTTTGGGATTCGTTGGTGTTTGTTTCATTTCCTGTTGTATTAGACATATGGAAGACAGCAAAACAAGCAACCCCCCTCCCCGGCCAGCAAAAGCCACCCACCATCCTAATCACTTTCCCACACGAAAACCGCGTGCCGAAACAGCCCCCGCACCACCAGATGCCTATCTTCTTATCCACACCGAGCATCCCTTCTTATCACTCGTCCTCCCCACTCGGGATTAAACTTAAACGAAATTATATAGATAAAATTTATAAAATTTTTTATTAAAAATAAGTAAATAAATTTTTTATAAAAAATTCAAATTGATAAATTAATAAATTTTAATATAAAGATTAATAATATATAAAAAATTTTATTAAAAATTTTATTTATAATTTAAATTTATTCAATACTTATTCAATGATAAATATTTTATCAATATTTTTATTAAAAATATCTATTTAATAAATATATCAAAATTTATTAAATTTTTTTTTAAATTTTACACGTTTCATTTATATAATAAGATTTTTAATTTTTAAATTTTTTTATGTTTGATTTATATAATGAGATTTTTTAATTTTTTAATTTTAATTTTGATTTACTTATTTTTAATAAAAATTTTTTAAGTATTTCTCTTCCCTCGACCTCAAAACTTTATATAAACAATTAATTAAGAATTATAAGGCCAATAAAACATGCAAATGCAACATGCACGTGATCTTCATGGGTTGGAACCTTTTAGCCTTTAGCTGGTTTTTGCCACTGTAAGTCTGGAACTATACCTTGCCAAAAATACCCGTCCGTCAAACTGAAGCTTCAACAGCCTCTGACAGCCACCAGCAATTATATCCATTTTGTTGCGCATGTTAGGGTAAACGTATGAAAATTATACAACAGTAAGCCGCAGATAAAAATTAAGTGGTGAGTTGTGAATTAAGAGGAATTAAATTAACTGAATTGAATTGACTAATTAATAAAAACAGTGGCAATTGAGATTAGGAATTCTTCAAGTGCTATGTACAGAAAAGAATTGTCTCACCAAACCAAAAAGAGACAAAAAAAGAAGAAATACATCGAATCTGACATATAATTTAATTCCTAATTGTTTAGTTGACTTCAATTTTGGATGGCATCCGCATCAACAGATGAGCCTTCTTAGCAGGGTGTGGGCTTTCCACCTCATCATCACCGTCAGAAACAAAGAAATTAATCGATGAGAAGTCTGCCAAAGCCGGTAAGTTCAGGTCAAAGGCCCTTTTGCTGATGTGGCCGTTGGAGTTGGTGGAGCCCACTCCTTCGGATGGCGTCACGCCGTTACCTCTCGCGCTATTCCCAGCCCCACCTTCATAGTGGCATCGCTTGTGGCCTCCCAAGGCCTGTCCTGTAGGGAAGCTTTTGTGACAGATTGAACACTCGTGGGACCTACCGCTTGGGTTCAACGCAGCGGAACTGACTCCGCCGGCGTTTGCAGAGGTAGTTGTTGACGATGAGTGATCGTCGTTGCCGCCTGAAAACTTACGGTGGCTGGTTTTGTGGCCACCCAAAGCCTGGAAAGAGTTAAAGACCTTGTTGCAAACGCTGCACTTGTAGCCAAGTTTCTGCTCTGTTGAGGTCGAGGCTGGCGCTGACGGTGGCGAGGTGGTTGGAGTAGGAGAGCGGTGGCGGTGTGGGATAGTGAAAGTGGAGGTAGAGTCGGCTCCACCACCGCGTGCTAGCATGATAAGGCATAGAGCAAGGTATTCTTCCTCGGTGGGAACGTGGTCGAAACGTGGTCGCTTTGAACGTTTGCGCTTGGCAAACGACTCCAGGCAGTGCAAATTGCCATCTTCAAATTGAAAAGGGGCCGCGGCAGCTGTTGGAGAGTTAAGAGCTTCTAAAGCCATCTGATTCAAACACTGAAAAACAACAAAATAAAGAAAGGGAAGAGTCTTTCGTCCTTTCGAGTGGGGAGTTTTTAAGTTCTTGGTTGAGGGAAGAGTGAATGGTAAACTGTGAGTTGAAGAGTGAGAGTGAGGGTGGGGGAGGTTTTAAAGAGGGAGTGGAGGGATGGAAGTTGCGTGACAAGTGGTGAGAAAGTAGAAAAGCTATAGTTGCTATAATACAGACAAATAGTTGTTATTTAGCATAACGGTGACAAAAAACAATAGAAAAGGGCGTGGAGCACGTTTAGTTGAGTTTTCTTGGTGGCTAAGGGGCGATTCCTTTCCAGTGTTGGTCAAAGACGAGATTGAAGTGAAGGAAGACTTGGAAGGAAGACAGCTTCCAAGTCAAATACTAACACCCCAAGCAGAGTTCAAAATCAAACACGGTGCAATTCAGGGCCCAGGCCCCTCTCAAAGCACCAGGCGATAAATTAGGCTATACCCCAGCTCGCTGCTGCTAAGACTTTACCTTGTCATTGGGTGCCGACTCACTTCCCATTCCACCATCTACCTTGTAGGATCAGCTTATTAGTTGCCAGATTGGACCTTTCTTTAATTTCTGCGCGGCAAAAACTTTTGGTAGGTAAAGTCTCTGATACATGCACGTGGACAAGAGCTTTCCAAACAATTTTGATGAATCAATATTTGATTTGATTTTCAATGAAGTCTTACTGCTATTATGGCTACAGTGTGTGAATGAAACTGAACTTAATAGTCATGTGAACAAAATCGAATAAATTTTGGATTTCGTTTAGTAAGATGAGACCCACACGGTTTTGATGATTCGTGAGTGTATAAAGCTACAATTTGGTTGAGTTATTCGCCTTATGATACTATGCAAGCTAAAATGAAGTAAGTCGGTTGAATAATTAGAGAAAGAATTGTTTATTTTTTATCTTTTCGGTTTCTAATTTGTAATTGAGTTTTCTATAGAAAGCTGTAGGAAGTTACGCGAAACATCGCGATAATCACATCCACCGCACGCCGACTAATGGTTGAAGGGTCCATTTGGGCCCCAAATAAATCAGAAAATAGCCGTCCAAATTCCAAATAAAAACAAATCAAAGTTTAATCACTGAAATCTATGAAGGGGAAAAGATTGACATTTGTTTTGCTAGCGTAGATTCCAGACTGATCCACTCAATTGGGAGCTGTGACTAGGGTTATTTAAGGATGTAATTTATCCAATTTAAATTAATATAATATTAATTTTAAATTTTAAATTTATTCAAATTTGATTAAATTTTTTTTAATTTAAATTCGATTGAAGATAAAAATTAAATTATTTAAATTTATTTAATTAAATTCGATTAATATAAAAAATAAACTTAATTTTTATTTTTAATAAAAATTTAATATTTTATACTTCAATTCGAATTTGAATTTAAAATATTTTATTAATTAAAATAATAAAAATATAAAAATTTAATTAAATTCATAAATTATTTAATTCATATATAAAAATATTTAAACATAATTTAATCGATAAATCAAATTATTAAAATTTAAATTCGACTCGATAATAATTAATTTAAATTTAAATTTTATTCGAATCGAATCTAAATATATTGTGATTATTAATGAATTATTTATACCCATAGTAACGAATCAATTAAAATCAACCTTAAAAAAAAAAACGAAGGGGATAATGAAAGTAACTATCCCAAACGTATTGGGTTAAGTATTGCTCCGTTCACTCGCTAATACGCTAGAAGCTACTCGTTGGACAATCTTTGAAGCCAGGTATCATTTTCTTAGCCTGGGAACATGGTGTGAAGTCTATTATGATTCCCCAATAATTGTGGAGCGTACATAAAAATATCACTGCTCTTTGCCATGTGCAGAAAGGCTAAATCATCCAAAAACACAGCATACGACTTTAAGCAAATTAAAAAAAAAAATGGTTGTCTTTGTTGAAAATTTGTATAATTCTTTGTAATCTAAGAAGTTTCTTTTGATCCAAGATGAAAATGAAAGCAGGATAAGTATGAAAAAAAAAAAAAACATATAGTCGGCATCAGAGAGCAGCAAGGGCAAGCAGTGGCCGCCTTAAGTCATCGCTTACATAATCAAATATTCTTATTTCTTTTATTAGTTCAGTTTCAGCCCACCTACAGAATCTGGGTGCAAATCAAAGGTAACTACAAAATAACAACACATGGGTTTCTCGTTTTGGATTATCCAATGCAGTCAGTGAAGAGTCATTGAACTTATCTAATACTTTAAAACCCATCACTGCAAAGTTGTAAAGAAAATGAAAAACATGTGGGTTTTCAGAAACTTTTGTCAAACTGCTGCACGAAATCGAGATTTTGTGCATTGTCAAAGGAACTGATTCAGCTCGCTTTGACATTTCTTTCATTGTTGCACAAGTGAAATTCTCGGATATACAGATTAAGGTCTTGAAGCATCAGACGCTTAAGATTTTTTCGGCAGTGTTCAGTGGAGGATGGCATAAACCGTCACAATCTTTTGGTAGCGCAAGTGTTTTTGAGTTGCGTAAGAAGATTGTGACGTTATTGAAGTCATTTTTCACGCCAATTGTTCGGTTGGACATTGCCACATTGGACTGTAATTAGAAATGCTCCCTGTCTAATATTAGACACCCACCCACATCAGATGGTGAAAGTCTTGGCCTATTGGTAAGAGCCACGGATGAAATATAAGGAATTTAATCACGTTTTTATTTTTATTTTTAAATTTATCGAGCCCATTTGACAACCCAACCCAAAAATTAATTTGGTCTGTTTCTTTTGCTCTTCCATACCACAAAAAAGCCCATCTAAAAGAACTGGTGAGATTTTCGGGCCTGAAATCCTAAACAACTACTTTAAATTCATGGTCATCGAAATTAGAGATGCTTACGCGTTAAGTTTGAGTGGGTTTTTGTTAGTTTTGAATGTTTCGATTAAATGTTAAAATATTATTTTTATATTTAAATTCGATTAAATTTATATATGTATAAAATTATAATTAATTTAATTTGATTTAAAATTAATAAAATATTTTTTAATATAAATATAAAAAATATATAATATATATAATTAAATAAAAAAAAAAACATTGTTTATATACATAAGGACAGAGTGGATTTATTTAAAATTTAATCTGATTTTTTTATTATAAATTCAATCTAATCTAATTTAAAATTTAATAAAATCAAATCAGATCAAAATCTGATAAATTCGAATCAGATTATCAACCATAATCGGACTACCTGTTTCCCCTGGCATTTGACTAACTGAATTCATTTTTCTCTTCGCCTAACCTCACAATATTCCTTGGCCTTAAGAAAGAAAAAAAAAAAAAAAAAGGTAAAATACGATCTGTTTTTTATCTTTCCTATTTCGAGTAGATTAAATCGGGAAATGGCTGTAAATAGAATAACCATATATTTTTTTTCCCTCAATAAACAAGAATAGCAAGCAAATTATGTTGTACAGTCTACTCAACCAAGCTTCTTCCCGCATGCCGCATGCTCTTCCCAAGCATTCATTCTCTCAAACAATTTGTAAGTAGTTTAATAATTACAAGCAAAAGTGATAAGACAAGTGTTAAAAATAATTAAATCATAATTCTTTAAGCCATTATCTTCATTTTTTTTTTTGGGTATGGATCCATGCGTCTTGAAAATTAAGTTGTATATTGAATTTATTATGATAATAATAGATGGAAAAAGTGTGATGAATGCAAATTCTAATTTAATAATGAATTTTTTTTATTTATTTGCTTTGACTTTATTTGTCAATAACATTAGAATTAAATTGCATTCTTTTTTTTTTTTTTTGTATCATTTTGGGAAATTTTGATATTGCAATTGTCACCAGTTGATGAACACAATATTGTTTAATTATATAATTAGACTTTAGACCAAGCTTCGAAAACAAATTAAACTTTTCTTTTAATGGAACATGGAAATTAAATTTATTTTTACAATATGTATTAGCTTGGACAGATACTAGCTCATGCATATAATTACTTTTTATGTTGACGAAGAAAGCATAGTTTTACCAACCACGACGGTCCACATTAACACGGCTTTTCAAAGAAATAATATTAATTTTCTGACTATCCCATCTTATTATATTTGTGTTTATATTTGTAAAAATACAACTAATTAATCCTTAATTAAATCAATTAGGACTAATACAAAAATAATTAACATATTTTTCTTCTTTGTCGAATGCAGTCGGCTAGCTTGCATGTATATAATGTAAGTAATTAATTAATGCTAATTAGAATTCGGTGTATTTCTTAGGGGTAATTAATAATAATTTCTAAACTTTTATTAATTCGTAATTAAACATGTGATAAATATGATTACTTATCTTTTAGGTATAATTTTTTTTTATAATGAAGGTCGAGCGTACAATAAAAAAATTAATGTGTTAAAATTTGAATATCAAATTAATTAAAGACGTGGTTGTATGAGTTAAATAAATTAATCTAAATTCATTTTTTGTGCATAGTTCACTGTTTAGTGATGGAAACGAACTGCTCGAGAAATTCACCATTTTTTTTCTTTTCTAATAATCTGGAAATGCAGCCAATAGACACACGGATGAATGAAGAGCTGTCAGGTAGCCAAATGGTGGCTGATGAAAATCGAGATAAATTATATGGTCGTTGGTAGTTTGATGAGACATGAATCAAGCAAGCTGTCCTTTTATGATTAGTCATTTTTTCGATCCCCAAAAACTAAGAAAGAAAAACTCTGTAAATGAACCAATATCAAAAGGTTGTGATTTTCAGGGAATCAGTGGAAAGTGAGGAACAGCTAATTTTAAATTGCAATGAAGAATAATATCAGATTTTGACAAGTTAAAATTCCCACCACGGCCAAGTCTTTCTTGATTTTGTTCCTTTAAATTTTCGAACATGTTAGAGCCTTGCTGTTTGAAAGGTCGTGCAATGGCCAGTATAAGTTCCAAAGAACACCAATGACTTTATCGAACTTTCCTTCAAAACAAAACCTCAAAATTGGTCTGTCTGACACGTCAGTTTCTGACGATCGGCAGAATCGTAGGGGCCAACGTACGATAATTTCGAAGTGTGTTTGTGGCTTTGTTCAGGCAATATATTGGACAACAGTACCCTCTATTAGTATTTCTCTTAACTAAGATATCACAGCTGGGATTATATTGAGTTTGTCATAGCTAGTTAGATTTGCGCTTCAGCTTTCAGGGAATCTTGGTTAGTTTACAAAAAGTTTGCCTGTTAACAGATCTGAGTAGAGATTTTCTTTCTTTTCTTTTAGGGGCAATGGGATTGGTTTGCAAAACTATGCAAAGAATTCATGACATACGCCATGTAAAATATAAACAGGCAAAAGATACATGGTCGAAAATAAATGGCTGAGAGGCCTGAGGGGATTTGATCAGTTGGGGAATACTTTGCATTTTATTATAACTTTCACATGGTTTATGGTTAGAACCTTTTCATCAGGTGCATGCTTTAGGTGCAGCCATTGGCCATGAGAGTAATTAACAGGCTGAGATATGTACAACATTATCAAGCTTGATTGATCACAGCCTGGTTTCAGGGCTGCAATATTAGCAAGCTTGATACATATGAATTTGCCTTTGCAATAGCTTGGGGAATGGGGATAGATAGGTCAGTAACTAGTCACATATAGGCAATGCGGGAGGCCTAATTTCAGGATTGGACTTGAACCTTTTAAAACTAAGTTGTTAAGACTTTGTACCACCAGTCTTACGAAGGTATAATATTAATAGATAGATCATAGCAAGTTAAAAGGGATAAACCAAAGCAACAACTCTTAGGTTCCTGCCAGTTGCTATCTGGGACAGGGAACGAGTTTGGTGGTGACCGTGCCGGATTTTTAAGTCCATTTTAAAGAATGTCAGACTCATTTCCCACGATCTTGCCGTCCTTATGCTGCACTTTTGTTTAATCTGCTAACTTTCCTCATGCTTATTATATTGAAGGGAAGACTCCCACGTTCTGACATTTCAAAATGGTTAGAATAGTCTAATCTTTACGCGTGCTTCATTCTCATGCTGTCTCAGCCTCACTGCATCACCCGCATAATGACTAATTAATCACATTTAGGCACCTCTCAATGTTTGTTCTTGGACCCCTTATGTCATTTTAAATGCACTTTAATCAGGTCCATGGTGTTTAAGGGTCATTTAACCCTTGTATTAGTTTAATCTATCAATGCATGAACGTGGCCACCCTCTGAGTTGTACTTTGCCTGGTTTTGGCCCCACAGTGGACTCCTGGATTAATAACAGAATAATTATTTTGAATTAAGAACTCAATAAACTAATGCAGGTCAATCCTTGCTAACATTATTTTTATGATTCGGGGTATAAATATGTCTCTGGCTTTTGCTCACCTCAAGCACCTTTGAGAGCTTCAATTAGCAAGTATCAGTACAGAGAAACAAAACCGCTCCTTATTTTCTCCACAGGCTTCTCAATTTACAAGAGAGATGGAGTCGCTTGCAGCTTTTCCTGGAGAGTGCGACTCTTTTAACAGAATGTTCTCCACTGAAGAGCTTGACTTCACTCAGCAAATTCTTCATCAGTTTTCATTTCCTGTCGAGCATGAAGAGGGATTGGGCTTCATAAATCCGTCGACTTTTTGTCCTAATCCTGAAGCCAATATGAGCATTGATGGGGTCAATGAGAGTTTGTTATGTTCTTCCAATGCTCTTTACTCTAATTTTCAGTACAATTCTCAGGAAAGTAGTCAAAGTAGCATTTCTAGTGGTAATGTTTTTGTTCCCTCTTCAAATCATGAAACCTATTACCTTACTGGTTCTAATCAAATTGCTTTAACAAATGATAAAGCCATGTCCTTGGATATTTCTATGGACATTGGCGGGGTAAGTGATAAAATTACCGACTCGTTTCCTCTAGCATTCCCAAACATTTCAATGGAAGACACTGTTAATGTCATTGAAGATTTGAGAACTGACTGTTTGGGAAAATTAGATGCTAGCCATCCAGCAGCTAATGTTGTGCTTGCTAAAGAATTGCTACTCAAGAGGAAGTTTGATGCACTGGAATTGCATGCTGAAGGGGATAAAATCAATAGCAATTTATATGAGAACACAAAGAAAAGAACTCGGATTTCAAAAGATGTAAGAGAAAAAAAAAGAATTTTCCTCTCAAGCATATATATAATCTTATTATAGTAGTTCTAGTTCTAATTCATGGTTTGAAAATGCAGGCACCAAAAGTTCATAAGAATGTGCAGTACTCAAAAAAGAACCGCAATAGTAATTTAAATGGCAATGAAGGAGAGAGTAACATTGGTTCGGATGGACAGAGTTCTAGCACCTTTAGTTCAGACAATGACAATGTTTCTCAGGACACCAATGGGGTGGCAACCTCAGATTCCAAGGCTTCTCTAGTTCTTAACTTGAATGGAAAGACAAGAGCCAGTAGAGGGTCAGCAACTGATCCCCAGAGCCTCTATGCAAGGGTAAGAAATTTCCTTCCAGCTTATCCGAGCTATTATGATTCCATTGATACAAGACCATATATTTAAATGTTTTTTGCTTGATTATTGCAGAAAAGAAGAGAGAGGATTAACGAGAGATTGAGAATTTTACAGAAACTTGTCCCCAATGGAACAAAGGTAACTAAGCAAAATTATAATTCCACGTATATATGATTTAATTAAATAGCTACTTTATAATTACGAGGCAAAAAATACAAGGTTCTGAAACTCATATTTTGTTCATTGATGATATACAATACAGGTTGATATCAGCACAATGCTTGAAGAGGCTGTTCATTATGTGAAGTTCTTGCAGCTCCAAATCAAGGTAAGGGAAAAATGGGATTGAATAAAACCCTAAAACAAATCTTGACAAGGGTTGCTTTAAATCATTACTCTAATATTGTACTGTCCTTTGTGCATGATTGCAGCTTTTGAGCTCTGATGATCTATGGATGTATGCTCCCATTGCTTACAATGGCATTGATATCGGTCTGGACAAGAAGATCTCCACACTTCTATGACCCTGGAAAAAGGGCTACCCGACACAGACTTAAGTACCTAATTAATTGACAACAAATTAAAAAAATACTATTATATATACATCTTCTGACTTTGTAGATCTTGAGAAATCTGAATGAAACATGAGTAATTAATCCTTGTTTTTATAATGAATTATCCCATCCCATCCCATCCCATCTGTTTCTTTTATTTTTGTATGTTATTCCAGCTGAACGTCCCCTGGCACATGCTTACAGATGCCTGTGCCGCAGGGGATTGTCAAAGTTGCAGCAATTCAATGTTATGAACTATGAAGTGAACTTAGCACCAAACTGGACAGTATAAATAGGCGTATAAATTAAGTATAAATAGCAATCATGTGGCCATGAATCCGTTAGTTTAAGCTTTCTGTTTGCATTGTAGGCGTATAAATATATTCCAAAACTACAGTTTTGACGCCAATTCCAATGCTCAAGCGAATTCACATAATCTTCAATCAAGATTGATGTTTGAGAATGCAACCAAAAACCAAAATGCTGAACCAAGGATTAATATATTTGGAGCAAATAAAACAGAAAATGATGCTTTAAACCCAACTGATTGTAGGAAAAAAATTTCATGTTTTCTCAAATTAAATACTACATACCATTATTCACCTAAGTGTTTCACTATTTGGATTTTGATGAAATTAAACTTGATAAATATAATATAATATTTAGTTGGACCTCTGGATAGGCCTCGGCAAGTTATCTTGAATTGGGCCGGGCCTATTAAATCCATAAGAAAATATTTTGTTGGCTTACGTGGCACATGCCACGTAAATTGCAACAGTTGGCATTTGGCATGGCTCTTGGCCTGTAACGCACGGGGTTAAGAACGTAATTTCGTATTGTCCTTAAACCCCTGCGATCCCCGACGAACTCCACTTGCAGTCCCCAAAACTTCCTCATTCCTCGTAGCGAGAGAGGAACATCGCTCCACTCGGCATCGCCTCTCTGATCTTTCTCTACTCGGCCATGGCGATGGCATCTTCCGAACAACCTTTGAAGAACCGAAGGCTGTACGAGCCGCCACCTGAGCGGCCGGAGACCGTTGCGGCAGCCGGCGACCTCCGTGGCTCCACCAACCACTCCACCTCCGCTGTCTCAGGAGGAAATTCTCGCGAGAAGGAGAAACGGAGACGAAATTCGAAGTGTTTACGATAATTACTAGAGAACCAAGTTGTATTACCCTGAAAGGCAAAGATGATCGGCACCTGCCCGAGCGTGAACAAGCTTACCTAGCTCTCATAACTGCATCTAGAGGTCACCTTCTTTTTTTTTTCCGTTAATTAGTGACATTGAATTTTAATCCACAATGAGTTGAAGCAGAAACATTAATAGAATTAAACAAGTTTTGGACAGAATCAGAAATTGAGACAAAATTCCTTATTTTAAACCAAAATGAGTTGAATTATAGTTAATGAGTAGATTTCAAGGAGCGAACTAATATAATAATTTGATTGGATTTCAACAGAGCTTCAATTCTTTATAGTGTTTTGGATGCAATGAAATATTCATAGTTATGCACTGAAACTCTTTTTGGAACATTTGTTTTTACTACTTTGCAGGTTGTTCAAGTGTACAGCGTCTTGTGGCTGATTTCGTTCCTCGATATGCCTCATACTGTCCGTCCAACTGCTCTTGAAGCTGCTACAAAAGTCAGTGTCAATGTGCATAACTCTAGCTTGGCAGCGATAAATAGGGGCGAAGATGCTGATAATGTTGCATTTCAAACTGCCAAAGCTTGCATTTTTGGTCTAGCTGATATTTGTTCCACAGCTTCTGCAGAGGCACCAACATCATCGGTTATCAGAGGTATCTGCTTAGCAGTTTTCCAGATTGTGCTTTCTTTTTTCGTTTTGTCCCTCAAGGGAAAGGATTTGTTTTAGATTGTTGATAATGATAATTTCAAAATGCAGGATTCTGATGAAATGTTTCTGAGCTAAAGCAAAACTTTTCTGATGAAGATGAATCTTCGTTGATTAAGTTATCCAAATTCCGTATCCCAAGTCTACTCTGGATTTTTTTCCGTTGTCCTAAGAATTTGCTTTCTGCCTGTTTTGAGCTCATCAGGTCATCTGCAACTGAAGAAGCTGATAAAGGACTGTATTTTCTGAGACAGGCAACAGGAAGGCTTAATAATCTTGACGCTGATAGTGGTTTAGATAAAGTAAGCTTAGGTCAGGGCCTGAATGCTGTACGGTTCTTTTGGAACAAGCACCAAAGGCTGTGTGCTTTTTGGTAAGACACCAAGGTCAGATATTGGCAATGTCATAGAAGATGCTTCTCCTGTTCTGAAGAGTTCTTTGTTGGATCTGGTAATACTTTATAATTACTGCATCTATCAAATAAAGTTAATGGAATTGAGTTGTTTACTTGTTTCCAATTTCTTATTTCTGACTAAATCAATGTCATTTACCCTTTGTTGTATGAATAATTTGTCTTTATATTCTAAAATTTTGCATACGTTCGTAGATTGCTCATTTCTAGTGGCATCTCATATCCTTTTATGCAGGTTTTCAGTAGAAACCCATCATTGAAAAGTTGGATGTTCTTAAAGTACAAGAATTTTGTAGGTTATCCCCATCTAAATCTTTTACTGGAGATAATGTCTAGCTTGGGCGGAATCTTTGAATCATTTGGGAAACATATTAACATAGAAGCCAGTCAAGTAGACAGTAATGAGGATGATTCTGATTCCTCAAAATTTGTTAGTCAGCCACACTCGATCTCTAGAAGATCCAATCAACATGAAACCTTGAGTGACCAATCAGGAAGAGCTAAATCCAGCAATGAGAGTGGTGTTGAAAATTTATCAGGTCAATATCTGAATTCTCACATTTTTCCCCTTGAAACTAATCTCCACTTGAATGCTGGTTCTAGTCTTGATAGTGGAGGTTCAAGGTCCATGGACTTTGAAAGGCATGACCATGGGGATTTATTGAGTAGCAGTTCTTCTGTTCGTAGGGACCCTATCAAGACATCAGATGCTTTCACCTGCTACTAGGGCACCACTGGACTTCAAGAGTAACTCTTTTGAAGGTAGAAAACACGTTAAGAATGTTGACAAGAATCAAGTTTCAGATTCAAGTGGTGCTTCTGCCTTGAGATCATCTAGTCGAGGTGTAAGCATCACGTTGGCGTCACCTGGTAATTATTTGGCAGCATCATATGGTTCAACATCTTCTCAAACTGCTTGGTATTTTGATGGTGATCCTGCTGCCATGCTCAATCTATGCGTATTTCAAAATGGGGCTAAAGAAAGAAGCCTCAATACTAATTCAAGGATGGTAAGAATTATAGTTATAAGGTTGCAGGTTCAGTTGCTGTTGCAAATGCCAATGAAGCTTCATTGGTTACCCAAGCTCAGGAAGAATTAATACATGGGCTTGGACGTGGTGGCAACCTTCCTCTCGGTTTTTTTTTTTCCAAGTTAAAACATTTCTTTTTATATAGACAGAAAAAAAATACAATTAAAAAAATTCAACTATCTATATAATGTGTACATAAAATTACAAATTTAATTGTACATTATAAATTCTTTTTTTATTTTTATAGAAATTTTCATTTCTAAAACTAAATCTTTTAATAAATTATTTTCGTTATTTATTTTTTTCAAAAAATTTATTAGTTATATTTTAATTGTTCTTTAAATATTCAACAAATTTCTTTTAATTGTAAAATGAAATTTATACTTATTTTATTTAATTACATTATTATTATTATTATTTTATTTAACATTAATTTTTTTATTAGATTTTTATTAATTCATCTTATTTTTATATCGGCTCCTCCAAAGTAAAAATCCTGTCTTCACCCTTGAAAAGGACCTATTCCATACAAAACTTTACTTAAATCCATTTCAAGAATTCTTTTCACAGGAAGCTGCAAATATTTGTATTTCCATAGGAAGCTGCAAATATTTGTTAAGTACATTTCTTTTGAGTTTCACTTTCACTATATGCAGTTAGTTGAAACTATTAATCTCTTATAGCCAAGTTGCAATAAATGATGGACTGATCATAGGCTGTCGGTCGAACTTTGGCCGCTCGAGAATTGTGGTGCGGAAAATTCAGATCATAAGCAGTCTTAACCCCATGGGAAAGTTATTAACATCCACATATGGAAGAAAAGATTGGAAGGAAAGCAAAAGGAGAAAAACAGTACTCAATTTCAATCCCATGAAAACTGAAAAGAATTTAACTTCTCATTGATGCCTCAAAATATTCACAGAATACTATCAACACTATCAACGTTACACAAGTTAAACTAGAATAACTCTGTGTATGAAGCCAAAATGGTTCCTAGATTATCTGTTCTAGAGTTTTGGAATTCAATGAATTGATGTATGAATGATATAACAAACGGCAGCACTACAATCAACTCTTCCTGCCCAGCAGAAGTTTATGAATCTTCATCACCTACATTGACAGCAAAGTGCCCAATGTTTCTACCCTGAATACAAGAAGAAGAACAAACATTAACCAGGCAATTTACTAATGGTGCATTTGGTTGTAAAACACACTTGATCAACTCCCCATGGAAGACACTTGCCTCAGATAGCATCCGCTGCTTGTTCAAGTGCTGGGTTCTTACTTTGTTGATGACTGAATTTGGTGATTTGTAAATTCTCTGTACCACAGAATCCAAAAAAAAATCAACTATTAATTTCATTCCTTTGGTTTAGTCAAGACACATATATGTATCAAAATGATTGCAAACCTGGAAGGAAAAAAATGATAATTAACGGAGCATTGTACTTTAAAAATGCGATAGCTCACAAAGTAAGTAGTTCATGCCTTACAGACCGGACAAAGAGCTAAAGTATTACGATGGCCTAACGAATCATAGGCTTAAATCTTACCATTACAATCAAAATATAAAAGAAAGAACTGACAGATAAACACTTAAGTTAGCATGGTTACAGAAATATTTTGATTGAGATAAACGTATTAATAAAGTAGGAACCAACCTTTTCACTGTTGGATATATGTTCACTGCCTAGAAGATTCCTTCTTTTTGGTGTGAAACCAAAAACATCTTTAAGGAACTCATTTTCCTGTACAAGTGAAACAAAAAATGTTATCTTAATTAACCAGCAAATAAAAGACAAGCAACTTGCACCAACAGTTGTCAACTTCACTGAAAGAAGACCAACCTGCATGTGTTTAATGAAACCTCCACCAAGAAAGTGCCTCAAAAAGTTCAACTGTTGGATTGAAATTTTATACATTATTATAAAAATTCATGGCATGTAACTACTATAGGAAGGTGTAGAATTAGAAGAGGAAGAAAAACCTGAATCAACTGTGACCATGTTGACGTCTGTAGTGAATCCCAGCCAATCTTCATTGATGTCTCAGGACAGTAACCATCCTAACATCATCAAGATAATAACAGTTGAGAAGTCCTGATAATCCTAAATTAATGAAAATAAAAGACAATAATATGAGTACCTCAAGGAACTCTAAAACATCCTTAAACAAGTTCCTCTGGTCGTTAAGGACCTTCTTGGCAGAACCTTTACCACCAGCTTCCATGGAGAGGTCTCTGACTTGATTCAGAATTTTTCCCTTCAGTCCTTGTATATGTGAGTACCCTTCTTTAGATTTATTTCCTTCTGAAACTGAACCATCACTGGAACCTTTAAATTCAGCTGCAAACTTCTCTAAGCTTCCCACCTCAAAAATTACTGCCAGTGCTTCACCAGCAGCAATGCGCACAGATCGGTCATCCTTATCTAGCAAACTAGACAAATATGTAATGGACCTGCATAATTTGCCAAGACTGATCAGTCTCTTAGCCCATTCAAGTTGGCCCAGCTTTGTGTTTTTTAGCATGTTAGTTCAGTAGTATCTATATTGCGGGACAATCAAATCTCACAAGGTTCCATGACCTACTTTTCTCAGATTTAAATCCCAAAATTTTGTTTAGCTGAGATAGATATGGATGGAGGGATTTAAAGACAATAAATTATAAGAAAAAAAAAAAAAAGAACAAAGTATTATCCATAGAGTTCACTCACCCTTGCCAAATTTTGGGACTGAGTCCCCTTCCATCCATGGTTGTCAAAAGAAATGACCAGGCAGACACAACTGCTGTTATTACAGCTGCAGAAGGTTTGACAGTAATAACCTACAAGTCAAACAGAAGTAATTAGTCCTCAAATAAAGCAAAGAACTATGCATTAATAAATCATCATGTTTTTCCATTAACAAGATCTAATAAGCAATAACTGATACATGAACCTCAATACATTATCTGATGCTTTTCAATTAGTGAATGTCAAGCATGCTTGCTTACATTAGAACCTAGTTTAGGATGAACCAATTGCCACATAATTTGCATTGATTTTTCTGTTTCCTCTGGATCATTCCCCCCAACAAAAGTGATGATAGCCAAACACTCCAGTAGCTACAATAAGAAACCAGATCATGTGAAACAACTGGTTGAGCATTGTAATACCAACAAAACATTAGAGGTAGAATAAATTCGTATTTAATTTCTGACATACCGAAGCTATCTTAGAAGATTCAGAACCAGACTTAAAAGCCTGTGAAAGAGGAGTGATTGATTCTTCCAATATTTCCCGTGCATTATCTCCTAGACCGACAGTTAAAGCCAGCAAACCTACCAAAAGAAATTATCAGCTTGAATACTGAAGCCTTGTGATTCTTCTGTGTCTGTACGCATGAAAATTTGCAAAAGCATTCAAGACTAACCAATGGCATGTGATGCTAAAGATATCTCTTTCTTGGACCCTTTTTTGATAGAATTCAGACACTGATGCAGTAATGTAGCAAATCTGGACAACAGCCAAAGATAATAATATGACCATCAGAAGCACAAGGATTCAAGAAATCAAACCATATATTTCAATCATAAGAAACATTTTCACCCACACATGCAAATGCCTTAGGCAATACAAAACAACAATCTAATACCATGTAATTTGAAGTATATTAATTTCTCAATCTCATTAAAAGAATGTTATTCCTAATTCTTCACATGCCAATTTTTTACCAACGCAACTAATGGATCCTAGTGAGCCCATCAAAGCTCCATGAAATCTCATAGAACCATGATCTTAATCCCTTCTGCAATTCTTGCAATAACATAAATCACAATCAAGATAAAAAAAAGACTTAGAAAAAGAGCAACTTACTTCTTCTCCACGAACTGATGCTGCAAGTTGCCATTGAAAGCCTCAATAATCACTGTCAAGGCCTTCTCTCGCGTAGAACCCCTTCACCAACAAAAGAGAAAAAAACCAATTGAGCGACATTTAACTCTGAAGCCTAATTATTCTCGAAATTTTGCAAATCTCAAAAACCTAGCAAAGTAACTAAGTTCACCTAACCTATATGTTGTTCCATTCACCAAAATAAACAATCAAACCATTCAAATGAATCATATTTTCATTCAAAAATAAATAAATAAATAAGCAAATAACTGAATCTAACCGCTTTTCATATAAAGCATCGACAGCTTCATCAAGTAAACTATCCTTATTAACCTCTAATTCTTCGGTACCAGAAACCGACATTGTTGACGATGAAGTCACACTACTATTATCATCGTCGCTATCTAACATCGCCGCATTCTTACGCTGAGTTCTACCTGCCAAATTCAAATAACTCCTCTTATTCAACTAAAAAAAACGAAATCTTTAACAAAATAAATATAAAGTCAACGCTAAGCTCACCCCCAAAAGAAAAAAAAAAGTTAATCAAATTAATTAGCCAAAAAAACCCAAAAAAAAAAAAAAACAAAATAGGAACAAAATTTCTTACGTTTTCCCATGTCGGTGATGACTTCTCGTCCGTAAGCTTTTATATGTCAGAAACAGGTACAAGGTTGACTAACAATTTTAGGATGAGATGGCTTTGAAATTAAGAAACGATCAACAAGACAGAACTGAACCGAAGAAGAAACCAAACAGAACAACAAAGACGACAACAAAAGTGAATTGAAGTACGATGCAGCCATTAAAATTGTTTATATATATATATATATATAGGTGAAATTTGTAGGTTATATAACTAAGGAAAATAATCGTTTGTAAAAATTAGAGAAACCTTTCTAGGTTTGGCTTGGGAATTGGGGGAGCTCTATGACTCTACAGAATAATTCAAATTTGGGTGGTATCAGGAATGGAATATTCGGTCAACGTATAGCGAGGTGTAGTCAGAACTGTGCTACCTATGACGTGGCGATTTGGATGCCGTTACTTGGAAAGGTGGGATCTGATGGGGATTGGGATTGTCGGCGTCACGCGCCAAGTGAGACGCGAGGCGGGTGTAGGAAGAGAGCACGAGGAATTACGATGAAGACACGTGATTATTATGGGAAAGTTTTGTGGGGTTTGAGAATTGAGTTGTTCTTATACGTTTGTTTGTCTTAGAAACTCGTAAAAATTAAGAAACAACAATCGCACTGAATAGAAAAGAAATTACTGTGGGTAAAAAAAGGTAATTTTTTGGCCGTGAACCAAGAAAATAAATACCCTTACTTCGCATACGAGATTAAAAAAAATACTTATATGCTACTTGTAGTTATGTTTAATCTTTCACGCACGTTTTTTTTCTCAAAATTTAATTGTTATATTTCTTATATTTATTTATGTTTTTTTTTGTCTGAAATTTTTTATGTTCGATAATTATTTTTAGATTTTTATTAATTTAAAATAAATAATTTTTTTTTAAATTTGTTTTCTTTATTGATAAGATTTAAAACTAAAAGTTAATGAAAACTTGTTTATTTATGTATTATAAAATACAGATATTGCAGCAAACCTAATTGGGCCTTTCATACTGTTACGCTAACAGTGACTCAAGAAATTCAATTGGGCTTTTAAACTGAATTGGCTGAAGTGGCCCGGATCATCTTCTCACAATGCTAGTTATTTTTATGGTGCCCAAATGCCCAAAGAGATGAGTATTCAAAATCAAAGGCTCGTTTGTTGTAGCTGGACGGGAATTATGAGAGCCCAACGTAGATTAAGTTTTAATTAGCCATCGCTGCCTTCTTTCATGGGGGATTGGAGGCCGGTTGTGGGATCATATTGGAAGCAAACGCACGCATGTGAGCATAGTATCCAGAGGTGTTATAAGAGTGAGAATAGGTGAATAAATAATATATTAGTATTGATAAATTATTTGAATTTAATTTGAATTAAATTTGAATATGATTAAGTTATTATCAAGTTGATATTGAGTTTGAGTAATTAGATTTATCAATCGAGTTGAGTTTGATATTTTTATATTTAGCTTAAGTAATCATGAACTTAATTAAATTTTTATTATTTTAATTAAAAAATATCTCAAATTCGAATACAAAAATTAAATTTTTATTAAATATAAAATTTAAATTTATTTTTTTATATTAATCAAATTTAATCAAGCGAATTCGAATAATTTGATTTTTACTTTGAGTTTAACTTGAGCTAAAAAAAAAAATTTATTGAATTTTAATCGAATTTTAAATCTCAAATTTGAAATCAAATTTAAAGTTAATGTTGTATTAATTTGAATTTGATCGATTACATCTCTAAAAAGCTTGAAAGAGAATAAGGGCAGTCGAAACATTTGGAATCCTAACCTCCTTTGCCTTTCCTGACTCCTTGTGAAATACTGGGTCAGATTAGCCGGCACTTTTGTTGTAAGAGATGGGAGGGGAGTTAGTGTATTTGTATTGTGGGGTATGACACTTGTTTGTCAGAAGTTTATAAGTCACCAAACACAATCATGTAGGGCTCCCCTCCCTCCTTTCTTTTTACTTCCAGGCACCATTATTTTTGCTGTAAATTTCTTCCCTGACAGCACCCAATTTATGGTCTTCAAAATAAATCCTATCACCAACCTCCCAATGTAGGTAAATATACTCTATCGGTACTCAAAAAATTAGGAGAGCTTTCAGCAAATGATTTAAGCATAAACAATGCCTTAAAACTGCTATAATTTTATTGGATAAGGAGAGTTGAACACGTATTCATTGAGGAGAGCAACCATTTCCATTCTTTTTGACATGGGTTAAGCAGGAGACATTCATTTTATCACTGCAAACATTTTCTCCTATTGGATTTTGGTCAATGTTCTTACTATGGGCTGATATTTCATTTTTTTCTTTAGCAATAGTTCTCTGGCCCATTCTTTTTCCCCTGAGCTCGCCATTCTGAGAAGCCTTCTATTTGGGTTACAGAGTTAGCAGAACATAGGCCCATATCACAACCATTGTTTGCCCTATCCAAGTTTGGGATAAATTGCATTGATTCAAGGAAAACGACAAAAGCTATCAAATGCAGTCTGTGACTCGTTTTGTTTTCATGTATAACCTTCTCTTTCCCATGGAAACGGTAATAAAATAGAAAATAAACCGACCCAGAAAAGGACAGGCACAAAAGCTAATACCCTAATACATATAAAAAATTGAACATCAAAAACCAAAGTAGTTTTTTTTTTTTTTAATGGGAGAAAGTGATAAAGGACCAGGAGAATAAAATAGGACCATGTTTTTTTGTTGCTGGAGCAGAGCAAAAGGCAAGGAGATGAGAATCAGTTAGAAAATTTCAATGACCCACTTTGACAGGCACAAAAAGAAGATGAGAGAAATATTGTTGATAGCATCAACTAATTGATAGAACAGTAACAGAACAGGAAGTAGACTACAAGACATATATATATATATATATGTATATAATGGAAAGTGGAAACCCCACTAAAATCCTATGAATCTCAGAACAACTAAAAATAATAGATGTGGAGTTGTGTCAATGGACGCGTGCAACCGCAATCTAATCACCCGATCCCCTCCCTTTGGCATTGGTTGCCTCAGAGTACTAATTAACTTGTCTTCTTATCCTTTTCAGTTCATTTTGGAATCACTCAAATCAGCTCCTTTGGCATATAGAAACAGGCTAATATCTAAACAAAATCCAACTTAGCCACAAAATAGGAAGAAACGTATGCACCTTCCCACCCCCACCTCACATGAAATTTGATCAAAATTTTCAAAACAAACATGAACTATATATAATCATTTGATACAAGACTAAGACCATTAATAAATCATCTTCATCGTCCTGATACCGATTTACTATTAGACAATTGATTACTAATTTTGGTTCGAAACGTTAGGTATATCCCTTATAAGATGAAAACATTATTAATTGTTTTTAACTCGATCAAAGATATTTTCAGATCTTATATCTCAATTCGTAAACAATCTTAATAAGAATAACAGTATCTTGTTGATTTCAAAGAACCCTCCCTTAATCATAAAAACACTCCTGACCGTTAGCAACCTAGAAGCAAAAGCCATGACAAAGGCCATATGATTGGAAGAGAAATTGTCATGAACCAAAAAATTCCAAGCATATGGGAAACTCTCTAGTTTCCCAAGGATGATTTTAAAGAGAGGAGAAAGGGAATCATGACAAAAATCATCAGAATAAAGTTTCTAAATTCTAATTCTGGTCTGAGAAAATATGGAGTGGTGAAGTATAATTATTTGGTGGAAAGCGACGAGGACTTTGAAGAAGTAGGTCATTGAAATCAACCCACCTTATCCAACCAAGTACACATATCAAATCAAATTACAAGTCAGAGCATCAAATGGGAGCCACAGGCGTGCACATATCAACTCGCATGCCAGAAAAGTGAAAGCTTAGACTTTCTTAATCTCTTATCTTTTATCTAATTATCAGTAGCAGTAAATATATATCATCCATTTTTTGTAACAGTGAAGGACTAAAGAGAGATGGAAATCAAGAGTTGGCGTCACAGGAAGAAAAGGGGGTATTAAAAAGAAAGTGAATGATTATGTCGAAAATTTGTTCTTAACAATAATCTACTAAGCAATGATAAAAGAAAATGAAATCAAAAGTATCCAACTCTCTCTTTCTTCCAGAGATGGGAATCCAATAGTAATTATATATAGGGCTGCCTTTTATGTTTTCTTTTTTTTTTTAACAATGGTTGAACATGAATTTTACAATAAGATTTAAGAGCTAACTCGATCTTTCTTTTTACAATACCTGAATTTATTAATTGTTGTTGATATACCCATGCATAAACAGAGAGTGAACATCAAAGTCATTGAAAGTTCTAATGCTTTTCACAAATTTTATGGTATAAGAACAAAATTGAAAGAACAATGAAGGTTATTCTTGATAAGAATGAGATGAAAGTTTCAAAGGGAAACACTCAGTTTTGATTCTCCATTAGTTCTTTTTTTCCAATGATTCTCCCATAGTTGGATTACACTATTTTCCCTTTTGATAGTGGCATAGTCACATAATAGATAATTTTTTGCAAAAGAGATTATAGTCTAAATACTGAAATTTAAATTTTATATTTATTGAAAATCATTTTTAAATATGATAATACGAACCTATTAAATTAAATTATGAATTCAAAATTCATTTGATACATACCTTTTAACTCTCTTTTTTTTTTTTATTAAACATAAAGCTTATTCAAGTATTTTTTTTAGTACATAAAAAATTATAAATATTAAATCTGTTGATATTCCTTAAAAATATTCAATGAATTAACTAAATCAAACTTGCAGCTCTGTTTAAGTATTAGATGATGAGGTGACATTGGTTTTGTCTGCCAATACCAATAGTGATTAGACATAATATATGAATGAAATTCAAAGTCCATATCTTATCCCTATTTATTAGCACAGAAACTTTGGGTTTTGTTGACTTTTTAAGGTTTCATGAAAATGCTTTCCTAAATGCATATTATTTGCCCATCTGTCATTCAACTAAAAGGGAAAGAAAGCAGAAGCTTTTCATGCTCTACCATCTTATCCCATTCTTTACCTAGACAAGGTCGAATATGGTTAGATGCTACACTGCAAAGTAAAGCAAAGCAAAGAAAAGAAAAGAAGAATCAGAAGTGTAGATAAGATAAGCCCTGTGAATTGTGACTCATCAAACCACTTAAAGACCCCAAGGAAACATTGCCTCCACAAGATTTTGTACCAAAGTAACGAAGCCATGCCCAAATAACGTACACATCCTCCCTCTCTCTATCTTTCTCTTAATGTCATTTTTCCATAATATGCCAGTGTCGGGCATAGGGGGCCCAAACTCCATAACTTATCTGCAAACTTTCTAATTTCATGTCCTCACATGCCTTTTATTTTCTTTGATGAGCCTATTAGCTTAGCTTCGCTTGCCTAAGGTGACAAACAAAGCTGGGTTCACGCTGTCTTGATGCTTAACTTGTCTGCTCGTCGTGGATGTCATTTCCATAGTCCCAATCCTTAGGTTCTGTCATTAAATTTCCATCAAACTAAGGGAAAACTAAGAAAAAAAATAGATAACGTGAAAAGAAAGCAATGCTTAGTCCTGTCAATTACAATCTTCAGCTTCAGGACAAATCCAAATGTCGTAAGTATTTGTATATATCAACAACCCTATTACATTGGCATGCTTATATCATTCATATCATAAACCATAAGAAACCATGTAAAAGAAAAAGTTGGCAAGAATACAGCACTGTATTGGATTAAATTGTGTTAAATTCTGGTCCTTGTTTTTAAGACCATACAATAACGAACTAGTTAGTATGCCATCAAAACTAAACAAGGTGTGACAAGTGAGATTTGGGAATGTATAATTGTTCATTGAATTATCGATCTATATGATGGTTGTGTGAGCCAAGTGGAGGGAAAACTTGCTAAATATATTGATGATATTCTATAGCAATCGAGTGCTTCGGTGCTTGTAATGATGGCCTGATCTTTCCTTTTTTCCATTTTTATGGAAGCACCACCGGTGGGGAAGACCTCAAGTATATGGGAATTTGCTAGAGGTTTGTAATTAAAGATGAAAGTTAGTAATTTATTTGAGATTGGTACTGTTGCAGTTAACTTGGAAAAGTAGTAGATTTTGTGGAAAGAGGGAAGAAAAAGCAGCTTCTTATTACGCTTGGGAACGCCTATCTTTGTCAAATTGGAGCAAATTTTCTAAAGAGATGCAGAGTCAATTCTGTGGCCAATAAGTTGGATGCGGCAACGAGAAAAAGATGGACCATCCAGTATATCTTTTAGGTGAAGGCTACCCCCATTGAATCAGATTCCAATGTGACCCCACAAGGTCCGGCTCATTTACCATGTGTAACATTCATACCCCACATAATCTCAGCAATTTCCATGAAACAATCTGATCACTGGTAAGAATAATTTTTTTATTCTAAGTTTCTAAAATTCCTTTCCCTTGCATGAACCCCTGCTTGCTTGTTGTGCATGCTGTCTAATTTCTCTTGTGGCTTCAATTGTCATTTGTTATCATCATCAATAACGTCATCATGCAACTTCAGGATGCAGCCATTAGCTTCATAGCAATAACAAAACAAAGCTTGATTAAAGGCGAAAGAAACATAGGACACTTAATTCTCCTGCTTCATTTGCCATCTTGTATCATTCACCGATAACGCCAGTATGCAACTGCATGTTATAGGGATTACATAATTCTGATACTACTTATTAGGTAAAAAGCTCTAATTCGATCAAGTTAATGAAAGCAAAATCAAATAATCAATCATTCACATAAGAGATAATAATTTAGTGTGATTCGATCCAACTAATCTACATCTACGGTAAGAATTACAAACAAATATCAAATCAAATTAAACACTTATAACTAATACCTATAGACCTTTTCAATCTCTTCTAATTCTATGAAGTATTCTCAACTCAAACAAATACATCCCATGTGTATCTTTTTAATACAAACAAACACATACCTATGTACCCATTCATCATACCTATGTGGATCTTTTCAGTCTCTTCTAATCCACTCCATGACTTATACAAACATACACACTTATAAGACGTAAATCTTCAGTAGTCTTATGTGGTATCTATCCCATAAAATCCTACAACTCTCTTATATCTTTTTCTTATACCTAACCCTATAGAAACTTCACATATTTATAAGCATACAAACTTGTCTATTAAGAATTTTTTTCTCTTAAAATTCTTCTTCTGCAAGTCTTCTTGTTTATCAAGTAATAACTAATCAATCCTAAATAAATCTGTTATGAGATTTGAGTTATTATTCATAACAATCTCTATCTCAACTCAAATTTCATCAAACATCTATCTTTATGCTAATATGCTTGGCTCCACCTGCAATAGAAGTTTTATAATCTTTTTCTATTATGTGTTTACGCTTCATGTAAATCGATCTATCAAAGCATGAACTCAAACTCCTCTCTTGAACTGAGCTTTTTTGGGCTTGCCTCTTCTTTTCATGGCTTAAACCAATAGCTTTTTCACGTCTTGAACCTTCAACTCTGATACTACTTATTAGGGATCTCCACAGTTCTAATACCACTTGTTTGGCAAAAAATTTTAATCCAATCAAGTCAATGAAAGTAAAATCAAATAATCAATCAATCACATAAGAGATAACAATTTAACGTGGTTTAGTCCAATTGACCTATGTCTACGGATGAAAAATAAGATCCATTAGTTGTAGAAAATTATAAACAAATATCAAATCAAATCAAACACTCATAACTAATACCCATAGACTCTCTCAATCTTCTTTAGTTTTATGGAGTATTCTCAACACAAATAAATACATCTCATGTGCACCCTTTTAATATAAACAAACATATACCACATGTACCCATTCATCATACTTATGTGTAAACTCTCAATCTTTTCTAATCCACTCTCATGTACCATACAAGTATACATACCCATAAAACACAAATTTCTAGTAATTTTATGGGATATCTATTCCATAAAACTCTACAATTCTCTTACATATTTTTTTCATACTTAACCCTGTAAAGATTTCATATATTTATAAGCATACAAACTTGACTATTAAAAATTATTTTCCTCTTAAAATTTTTCTTTTACAAGTCAAACTTATTTTTTAAAAATCTATTTTCTTTTAAAATTTTTTTTTGCAAGTTTTTTTATCCATCAAGTAATATCTAAACAATCTCCAATAAATCTGTTATGGAATTTAAGTCATTATTCCTAACAATCTTCACTTTAACTCAAAATTCAATAAACAACTATTTTCATACTAGACATACTTGACTCCACCTACAATGAAATTATCGCAATCATATTTTATTGTATGTTCATGCTTCACGTAAATCAATCTATCAAAGTATGAACTTGAACTCCTCTCTTGAATTGAGCTCTTTTGGGTTTGCCTCTTCTTTCCATGTCTCAAACCATCAACTTTTTTCACGTCTTGAACCTTCAGCTCTGATACCACTTGTTAGGGATCACACAACTTTGATACCAGTTGTTAGGCAAAAAGCCCTAATCCAATCAAGCCAACGAAAGTGAAATCAAATAATCAATCAATCACATAAGAGATAATAATTTAACGTGATTTGATCAAATCAACTTATGTCCATGAATGAGAAACAAGTCCATTAGTTGTAGAGAATTACAAACAAGTATAAAATCAAATCAAACACTCATAACTAATACCTATAGGCATTTTCAATCTCCTCTAGTCCTATGAAGTATTCTCAACCCAAACGAATACATTTCATGTGCATCCTTTCAACACAAACAAATATATACCCATATGTATTCATTCATCATACTTATATGGACCCTCTCAATTTTTTTTAATCCACTCTCATGCATTATATAAACATACATACCTATAAGACATAAATCTCTAGTAGTCTTATAGTGTGTTTATCCCATAAAACCCTAAAATTTCTTTATATCTTTTTCTCATATTTAACTTTGTAGTAATTTTACCTATTTATAAACATACAAACTTATCTATTAAGAATCTATTTTCTCTTAGAATTCTTTTTTTACAAGTCAAACTTGCATTTTAAGAATCATTTTCTCTCATAATTCTTCTTTTATAAGTTTTTTTATCTATCAAGCAATATCTAATCAATCTCAAATAAATCTGTTATGAGATTTGAGTCATTATTCTTAACATAGATTGCAGCCACTAGCACCATCATAATCACAAAACATAGCTGATCAATTAATGGTGAGAAACATTAGCATATCCATTGAAATTAAACTTAACATTGTTGGTTTGGTCAGGGCTACCATTTTATTATTCCTGCCTCTGCCATTTGGCCATGTGCAGAAGATGAAGAGAGGCAGATTCCAGTCCTTCATGAAATTGTTATCATTGGTCGTATTTACTCTTCATTCCTACCGTGAGGGTTTATTCTCCACCAATTGATCAACATGACAATATGGTAAAATCCAATTTTTCTCATGACTCTGGAATATTAGATCCCTGAAAAGCGATAACGCCATGTCTACAAATTAATCTAAAGATTCTTTTTTCCTTATCTTCTATAGCGGGATAGGGGACTGAATTTGACGTACCATCTCTATCAGGCTTGTCAGTTCTACAATTATATTCTGGAGGCCTGAAAACAGCTTAGATATTAAAAACCTTCCAAAAAGTACTTGATTTTTTTTGTTGAATACATAGGGACGAAGGAGATAACGTTAGAGGCCCTTTTTTTTTAGGAAAAGAAAAATGAACGTTGTTGCTAGCAAAAACAAATCTTGGCTAAGCTCTAACTCCTCAGTATGTTGTACAGGAATCAGGATGTAGACCAAATAAAAAAGAAATGGCACAAAGGAGCTGAATGAAAATAGGGCAGCAAAACTGAGTGCCGATAAGTTCTGGCAGAGTCCTGCTACATTTGGTCCAAAAACTACGTTCCACTGCCCAAGCTTAAGAACTTTTTGTTGGTCCGGTTCAGAATGAAATGAATGGTCTGAGTAGTACGGGTAAATATGGAAACCAACCAACAACAGTTAGATAAATCTTAAAAGGAGAAGTTTGAATGCAGATTCACTCTTTAATTTCACTTGAGGTGGTTGCATTTTGCATCATCATTCACAAATTTCAACTATTTTTCTCCCAAATGATTCACACCAACAGTTAAAAAAGAAACTCCCTTGATTGAAGGGAGCACTTTTTGTCTTCTAATCTCCTTTCAAGGCTAGGTATCTAGTCATTTAGCCTAGAACAAGAAATATCACCAAAGTCAAGAATAAAAAGCAAAAAATGATAGAAGCGAGTGAGAAGTGCCGCTGGTCTAACAGTCATCCATAGCATATCGTCAATGACAGACCAGGAGAACTTCCGGCCCAACAAATCATCCCTTTTTCACCCGTCTTGATTATGACCTCCTTCGCACACCACAATATTGGCGTTAGATTGCATTCCCCAATTATTTCACTTAGATAAAACCATCACCATCAGAGTCATTAACCTGCCACCAACGAAGAACCGTTTTAGTTAGTAAAGAAGGAAAGATCCTTCTTGCAAACCAATATAAATATCACTCCAAATCTGCAGAGACTTGAAAAAACAAACCTACCCCAACCAAACACATTTCTAGTATAACTTTTAGAGAGTTTCTTTGTCTCATACTCATAATATTCTCCAAAACAAACCCTTATGGGAAACGTCCTTTTAGAAGCTTTGAACGTCCGAGTGGTTGGCTCCGGCGAAAAAATCCTGGTGCTTGCTCATGGGTTTGGCACGGACCAGTCGGCCTGGCAACGCATTTTCCCACTTTTCACACCTTATTATCGTATAATTCTATTCGACCTCGTTTGTGCTGGCAGTGTCAACCCTGATTACTTCGATTTTAGAAGATACACTACGCTTGATGCCTACGTTGATGACTTGCTTAATATTCTTGATGCTCTTGGCGTTAACCGTTGCGCTTACGTTGGTCACTCCTTCTCCGCCATGGTTGGCATCTTAGCTTCCATTCGCCGCCCTGAACTCTTCTCCAAACTCATTCTCATCGGCGCTTCTCCTAGGTTAGAAAAAAAAATGGAAAAGGAAGAAGATCGATCTTCATTTTTTTGTTATAAGTTTGCTTTACTGATGAAATAATGTTAATTGGAAATGAAATTTATGGGTTCCAGGTTTCTTAATGACAAAGATTACCACGGAGGGTTTGACCAAGGCGAAATTGAGAAGGTTTTCTCAGCAATGGAAGCTAATTATGAAGCCTGGGTCAACGGGTTCGCCCCACTAGCTGTGGGGGCTGATGTGCCGACAGTGGTTCGAGAATTCAGCCGAACCCTTTTCAACATGAGGCCAGACATATCATTATTCGTTTGCAGGACCGTATTCAACAGTGATCTGAGAGGGATACTTGGCCTAGTCAGAGTACCCTGTTGCATAGTCCAGACAGCCAAGGATGTCTCGGTTCCAGCTTCGGTCGCCGAATATTTAAGGAACCATTTAGGGGGACGAACCACGATCGAGATTTTGAGGACGGAAGGCCATTTGCCGCATTTGAGCGCACCAGCGTTACTGGCTCCAGTGCTCAGGCGAGCCCTTTCACGGTAAGTTTTAGACTTAGGTAGGGGTGGGTCCAGGAAGAAATGTAATAAGTGAAGGGGATGCCGACACCTGACCAATAATTTGTGAACCATACGATCCTTGGACTAATTAAGATAATATCTATTTCTTTTTTTTTCTAAAGAGATAAGAACACCCACGTGATAGTCACGTGGTGACGTATATTCTTTTTGTTTGTTTCTTTTCTTGTTTTTCCTTTTGACTTTATTAGTATTTTTTTTTTAACTATTTGGTAGTTTTTAAAGTTCTTTTGCTCTCTATTTTCATTTGTCTTGACATGAAAACGTTTATAGTGCCGTTGCCTTTCGGTACTCCAATTTCATCAAGATTTTTTTTTTCTTTTTGTACTTTTAGGCATAAACAACTAAACGTTAGTTAAATAATTCGTTAATATATTTAATTTTTATTTATTTATTAAATTTAATAAAATATTTCAAAATTATTAAATAAATAAATATTAATATGATAAATTTTATTTATATTTAAATTAAATATTAACTAAAAAATTCAATTAATAATTCAACAATATATTAATTTTTATTCGTTTATTAAATCATAAATATAATAAAATTTTATCTCTGTTCGCTCAAACATTAATTTTGATAAAAGAAAATTTGCGGCTTGTGGACCGGGGAGACTGCCTTTGGTTTGGTTGATGTCTGGTTACTATGTCCTCTAGGATCCAAAACTTTAAATGGCTCATGAATTTGATGGACCTTGCCCAGAGATTCTGTGTCCCCGGCAATCTTGTTTACGATTTCATAGCCGTCATTTTCATGTTTGCAGTTTCCAGCATCCCATTTTCACTTGCTTAGGGGATTTTCTGTTTGGATTTTGGTTACCCAAAACTCTAGGAAGGTGCATAAAGGAAAAAATCGAGTGCCATAATACTCAATTTTTCGTTTTGATTTTTCATGCAGCAAGTTGAACTTGATGTTACGGAAATGGTAGAAGAAAGAAACCACAAAGTTTAAAGCTTAATTATGTTTAGTTCTTTGCAACAAAAAGAAATACCAAAAGAAAACAAGGGGGTAGAGTCATAGACAATATATAAAATGACAATTATCTTCTCATGCTTCAATAGTTGAAATTTCCTTGGTAGTGTAAATTTGTGAATTTAACAATAGTTGAAAAAACATGCTTTGAGAGCTGAATGTCAATGCTCAACAAATGCTGTCAAATACCGCAATCCCATTAGAAAGCCAGTCATTCATTCACATTTTCAACGAGTTGAGCATACATCGAATTTGTTGAACATTAACCTATATCAAATAATAAATTATAGCTTGAAACTTGAAGGTGTCTCTTTCACTCTTCAAATTCCTATGGCCCTTTCAAACTTATTTACCCCATTACTTTCTTGAATAAAACCACATCATCCTCCAAAGTTTATTACAACAGTTTTCAATGAAGTTCATTCACAACTTGCCTATACAACAAGTTTCTTACCAGGTTCTCTGGAGTTTGGTCGGAAAGGTTCTTGTTTTAATAAGCCTGATTTTCTCACAGCCGATGGATGGGAGTCTTCAATGTCCCTGTCTGTCTATCTACATTCTACACTATTTTCCTTTTCGGATATTGCTTGTTCAAAAATAGAAAAGAAACAAGTTGAAATATTCATCTATAACAAACATGTAAAAAGCACACGAACAAAACAAACAGGCTAGGTGTCAGAACTCGGACCAGATAAAATAAACAAAAGTAGTAAACTAGAAAAAGTGTAATACACAACAGGTCTTTTGCAGGTCAGAGGCAAATTAGTACTATTTCCACGAAAACTTTAAGATCTCCAATTAAAAACTGACCAGCAGTTGGGTTGAGAATCGGGAACACATGCTCTTCAGGCCTTCACATCAGTTCTGCTTTGTACTTTGTACTGAAAAAGTGTCAAAGGAGTCATGAAATCTCAGCCTCATAGATGCAAACACAAAAGATTTGGGCGCTCTGGGGCCTGCTCCTGAAATTTAAAATCATGGATTTTGTGCAAATAATGTAAATATGTCCTGACTTCATGGGCCGTGGTAGCACCAAAAATTCCAGCACAGCCCAAGAACTGCAAAACATCAGTCACAAGTAATTTGTCCTGTGATTTCCGTGTCTGAGATCAGATTTGTTTTTGGGGTGGCCAATTTACCATCAAACTTGCCCTTTATACTTGGAAAGTCGAAAGAAAAAGTTCTGATTTGAACCTGAGATTCTTGAACAAGTATGAAACACTGTTATTAATAAATTTGTGTTTGGGATATCCTACAGTCTGATGGTCGGTTGATTGATGATTATTTGATTATAAAATGGAAATTAAAAAATCAGATGCAAATTCCAAAGCAAAGCATATATAAATGCTACCAAGACTTTCAACTCATTGACCCTAAAAAACCGTCATTTTATTATTTCATGTTGTGCCAAAGTGGAGTATATTGTGGTCAAGGAAATAAAAAGGTTGTTGATCTTGAAGAACATATTTTTTTCTAATCACGATTTTCAACTAACACGCATAATCCTTTGATTATTTTATTAAAGAATTAGTGATTAAAAAACCTTCTAAAGTAATATATAAGGATTATAGTGATGGGAAGTGGCCTCCATAACCAGGTGTGCTTATTTCATCAGATTAGAAAGGTCTAGTGCAAATTCTCGTACCCAACTAATAAATGATCGGTAGGGTAGGGTCAGATCGTTAACCCTGGCCTCTTGGACCTAAACTACTACGGTGAGAAAAAATTTTGAGGAATTTTAAAATTGATGCAAAATTATAATATTTGATTTGGTTTTGGACGATTTTTTATTTAATTTGGATATTATATATATATATATATATATAGATTAAGATATAATATTGGATTAAAAAATAAAAAAAAAAAATCAAATCGAACTGAATTATACATATTTTTTAATTTTTATATATATTTTAAATTTTTATAAAATAAAAATAATAAGTTTATATCAAAATCTATTTAAATAAATTAAAATTTTATATTAAAATAATATATAAAAATTAAAAAAAATTAAAAATTAAAAATCGATAAACTGAATTAAATTGAACTAATAAAATTTGATTTGATCCTGTTCGAATTGAATGAAGAATTAATTTGAATTCAAATCAAATTTAAAATTTTATAATATTATATAATGTCATAATTGTTTTGTGTCCACTTGACTAATTTGAAAACGAAATAAAAAATGAGAGTCACCATCAATATTTTTTAGTTAGATGTGATTGGTCACTTATTAAAATATATCATTTTAATTAAATTTTAAAATTAATTAAAATTTATTAAAAGAATAATTTTAGGGTCTGCGTAAAAATCTAAGTTCGGGAGTCGGTTATACGTAGGGAAGGATTAGCACCCTCACAGCGTCCGTTTAAAAACGGTATCACTTAACTATGTGTTATCTATTGATTTCAATAAAAATAGTCTTTATTTTTTGTGTTTGAAAAATAATTTTCTTAAATTTTTTATTTATTAGAAATTGTTTTTTTATTTATTATTTATTGTTTCATTTTTATTCTAGAAAAATAAATTAGAACCTTTTTATTGAAATAATTCTTAAAATATTTCAGTACGTTGGTAATATTAGAAGAACTTTTTCTCACCTAGAGATTTCTTAAATATCGTTTCTCATAATACTTTAGAATCTCATCATTAGAAGCTCAAATTTACTTTTCATAAAAAAATGATGTTGTGTATACAATGCAGAATGTTACCATGTTGATGCACACATTTTATTATCTTTTTTAGAAATTTTATTAATTATTTTTTTTTAATTTTTTTAATTTAAATTTTTGAAGGAAAAAAGAATTTTTATTATATTGAAGTTTTTATTTAAATATTTCAATACAATGGTAGTATTTTTTAAAAAAAATCTTCTCATCTAGGGATTTCGTAAAACATCACTAAGAATATTTTTATAATCTCATCATTGGATAAAATTTACTTTTTCTTTATTGATATTATCACTTTATTACTTTTTTATAAATTAATCTTTATTTTTTTATTAACAAAAGATAAATTTTATTGTATTGAAAACATTTTATAAATACTCCAATACATTAGTAGTATTTAAAAAAAATCTTCTCACATTGAGATTTCGTAGGTATCACTACTCGGAGTACCTTTGAATCTCATCATCGGATAAAATTTTTTTCTTACATTTTTATTATTTTTGTGTTATTATTAAGTTTATTTTAAAAATTAATAAAATTTTAAAAAAATTTTACTACATATTTCATCATTTAATTTAACAAATATAAATATTTTAATATGCATAAATATTAGTAAAATAATATATAAAAAAATTTAAAAAAAATTTTTTTTTACTTGAACCAGACCGGTCAACGGTTCGATCAATGCAAGTCTGGTTGGATAGATGGTTCGGTCCGGTCTGGTTCGATCTGGAGGTTCAGCTGGACTAGTCAAAGGTTGAAGGAGACGTGGGTCACCGGGTCGGTTACGCGAACCTTGGATTAGGTCGATGAGTTGACGCACGAATCTTAGGTGATTAAAACGACGTCATTTTGATTTTGACAGTTTATATAAAAGGTCCTAAAAAAATTTTTTTAGTCATTTCTCTTTCTCTTAGAAAAAAATCTCCTTTTTTTTTTTTTTCTTTTTCATGCCAATTAGGACTAGTGGCCGTCCACCTTGACGGCCACTGTGGTCCTTGTCGAAGGCGAGCTCTGATCACTATCGTCGTGTCAAAAAATTCTAAAAAACACCAACAAATTTCTCTCGACCCCTTAAACATAAATCTGACCTTTTTTTAGCAAAAAAAAGTCCCCAATTCCCTAAATATGCCTTCTAAATTTTAGCCAAAATAATTTTCTCTCTTTTTTTTTTTTATATTCTAACCTTTTTTTTTGTAGGTTTTTTTTTTTTGCGCTAGGTTCCCCATTTCAGGGGACTATTTTTTTTTTTTTTATTTTTGTAGAATGGTTTTTTTTGTAAGTCTTCTTTTTTTTTTTTTTTACAAAAAGCTTTTTTTTTTCTTTATAAAATTTTTTTGGTAATTTTTTTTTATCCTCCTTCCGTTTTGTAGGTAACAAGCTCTATTTATAGAGCTTCTGGGATTCAAATCTCAAAATTTTGAAGATTCGAATCTCATATTTTCAATCAAAAATCCACACTACCAAGTTAGGTAGTGTGTCAAACGGTTGTCGGTGGTGGCAGAGGCTGACATTTTGGACTTTAGTGATGGTGCATTTAATGCACTAAATTTGTATCGGATAAGGAAAGAAGAAGAAGGAAAAGAAAGAAAGAAATAAATAAATAAATAAAAATAATAATGATAATAAAAAATGATGTTTACAA